TTTTAATTATCTTCTTAACTCGTTAATAGTATTAAGTATTTAGAACTTATAATCTAGTCGATATTCTAACTTATCTAGACGATATAATAATTATAATAGTAGTTATAGAAGATTTAGCTTTAATCGATAAAAGACTTAGGGTTTAGAAATATAAACGACTAGAAAGAGGTATAAAAGAAAGTAAGAAGAAAAGAAGTAAGAGACGTCTACTTATACTTCTTAAAACTTCGCCGAATTAATCTCGAAGTAGCTTTAAAGAGTAACGACGAGTACTATTATACGTATAGACTCTCTTTACTTACTATCTTAATAATCTTAATTTACTCTCGATTTATTTAGCTTTACTATTTCGGGCGTATATACTACTTCTATAGCTAAAGATAAAAGATATATACTTACTCTATATATCTCGATCGATACCGAAGATATAGATACTATAGATACTTATTCTAACGATAGAACTATTTAAGAAACGAAGTATTTAGGATATAGAAATACTATTTTATTCTCTACTATAAGACTAATAAAGGTACTCGATATTCTTCGACGACGAATAAGGCTATTTAACGGTCTAGATAGAGGAGGATATAATAAAATAGGCACTCTACGTACTAAGTATTATAAAGACGTCGAGGATCGTCTTTCGGTCTCGACTAGCGTCGTACGCTATCGTATAACCCCTAGAAAGTATATAGTCTGACGAGGCCCCAGGCCCCGTTGAAATAGGACAAGTCCTCCGTGAAATCACAACTTCACTTAAAACTGTTCATTCATGTGCTGTCTTCCTTCCTTTAAAACAGACGGGGCTAGCCCGTGCAGTACGATACAACGCGAAGACTCTGCTCGACGCGCAAACATGCTGACCACACCTGCGCTGACGTTATGGCCTTGACGGGGCCCGGCATGGAAGCAATTGGTTTAGTAGTCCAGCATGCTCGACAACAACTCCTCTACAGAAGCGCCAATTCCGACTTCGGCCATATGTGACAAGTATCCGGAGAACTGATCGTTGGCGGATATGGAGAAGACGGGAAAGGTTGGTTCGGTGGATTTGGTCCCCCTCTCTGCCAGCATGGTCAAGGTGGTGTTGGTGAGCATGTCGAACGCGTCACGATACGGGCCCGCCGCTGCCCACCGTTCTGCCATGATGGCTAAAACAACAGCACAAGCCGTGCAGGTAGTGGACACCTTGTCCAGACGAAATTGCGCCCGCACCTCTGGACTCGACCACAAACAGTACAGAAACGTGACTCCACCAAGGAATAGGTTGTGCAACCCAGCCCACGTGTCAGTGAGACGGTCGCTGATGTAAAATTGTCGATATCCCGTGCAGAGAAGCGCCGCAGATTGTGCACACTCCAGGTAAGTAGCAGGAGGAACATCGCTCTGGGGACTAAGAAGACGGTAGCGGTGGAGCAGGAGGATTGAGTGGTGATACATCATTTCAAACCACTCTCGTGAGCCAAAAGCATTGTTGTGCTCCCGGTTGGAAGCCAGTTGGCTTGGGGACGAGTCTAGCCACTCGTCAAGCTCACGTTTGAGGCTCAGAATGACCGAGTCCGGCGTTGCTGTGGAGCCTGCGCCAACCTGAGGATATACGGAACTTTGAATTCGAGCCCAGATCTGGCGAAGACGGATAGTGTGAATTGCAGCTGACATGGTAGTGCTTGGATCTAAGTTGGACCTTCTTGGCTCACATAACACCCCGGATGCTGTTATGTTTTCATCGTCGATGTCAAGAGGAAACTAACCCACAGTCAGAAAAATCTGAGCACTTCTGCAGCGGAGAGAATCATAAAGACCAGTTACCTGCACATCAATGTCGTTATCCGTGATGCTCTGCGGCCGTCCCAGGGTCACGGACATGGCTCGGTCCAGATTGTAACAGCACCAAAACACACGCCTTCTGATTTGAGTTCTCAGGGCATTGGAATCAAGCTTATACCATGGTATCTTTCGATGGAGGCCCAATTCGGTACACTGTCGGAGGGCAAGCCCAGAAAGCATCCTTCAGAAAGAAAGTCAGCTATCCACAAGGTGGTTCTTGAGTGTCAATTTGGGACAGGGGCGTACCAAACTGAGACACCCACCGGCGACCGGATGGAATACATGGCACAACAAAGGATGGCTTGTATGGACTCTAAAGTGTTGAGCTGCATGACATGCTCGAACAAATTCTCCGCCGATGCGTACAGGCCCTGGCGATATGTCAATCTCTGAGACATTGGAGATCAACGATCAATCGCATACCTCGGGAAGCGAACCCCCAGCCAATGGACCTGTCAAAGCTCCTACGGCGCACAACTGGTGAGGTTCAGCAAGACGTTCAGGATTTATTTCGCGGGAACAGTGACTGACCGCGAATACAAAGAAGGCTTTTGTAGGATTCGGTGTATAGCCGCCCTCACATGCTGTCATCACCTCTTCCTCCCACTCGAGGTAAGTCGGGCGGTGAAGAAAGGGGAACTGGGGGTGCACTTGTTCAAAGTAGGCCGATGTTAACATGCTTGTGTAGGCTCTGCCAGGTAGTGGAGCTGGAGTTGCCCGTGGCCGAGCTTGAACTGATTTGTCTGCGATACCCGACATAGTCATACCCGGACCTTGTGCTCGAACTGCTCGAAGGGATGCCGAAAACATCTTGGTAAACGAGTAGGCTGACGAGGCCCCAAAGTAGTGACGCTCTGCCCCAGCTGACTGCAGGCATAACAATTCCAAGTTCGAGAAGTTATGAGGGCTGTCGTTGCTGTCATTGCGAACTTCGGCAACCTCTGCAACGCCTGCATCTCCCGGACTAACAGTGCTGCGACTGCTGTTCATTCCTGGCCGTCAGCCTTGTCTGGAATACAGCGGCACGAAAAGCAGGACCAACCTCTCATGCGTTGAGCAGGTGTCCTGATGGACGTCCACATTTTGCTCAGTTCCAGTGTTCTGCAACAGGTCTATGTCTGTGTCTGGCTGCATTTCTCGGATCTTCCGTTCGAGGAAGGCGACATGATTTTCAAGCAGCGAATTATGCTGCTCAAGGGACTCCAGGTACCCCCGTGGATGTCGTCGCTTGGTCGCCGGATCCTGGCTTACACATACTGCGGCCGGGTCCTTAGTAGAGCCCTAATGAGCGCAGAGAGGAGCGACTGACTTCTGTTTGCCCGAAGGCAGTTATTGCACGATGGGGTTTGGCCATCACACTTCGCATCGAGTCTGTCAGTAGAAGAACTTGTAATACTGGACCTACTTCGGGAGAACGCACCTTCTGCTTCTTCTGTTGGCATGCAACACATGCACGCGACACCCTCGTGCGTGGAACCGAGGCGCGGCGACCTGGAGAAAGTGGCTGATCAGGCATGGAGACAACCGTGGGATGAATCCGGGGTAGAATCCTGCATGGCGAGCTCGTGGAAACAAGTCTGGAGAACGAAGAGATTAAGTACGGGTTTATCCGAATGCGTTAAGCGAGGAAGCAATAAGTCGTCCAGTCTCCACACAAAACGCGGCCCACGGACTGGGGGATTTGATAAGGGGTCGGCAAGGCTGCGATCCACTGCGGCACAAACTTAAAAGCTGGAAGAGTCCGAGGTGGATCAAGTTCGCTCGGAAAAGTCCACTGCTACAACTGCCAGCCTTGTTCTTCCTTCCATGGTCCAGTCAGAATCATGGCATTTTCACTATCATTTACACTCCATTTGGCCCGTCTGAGGCAGGGTCTAACCTCGTGCTATAGCCGTCAGTCGGCTGGCCTGGAGGTCACTTGGCTCGCTGGATGATGCCGGTTGCATTATCAAAAGATAACAATTGGACCGGACGTGATTCGTCACACGCGTCGTCGCCGAAATTGATCAAGGCTGGAAGCCGAAAGGGGAGGCGACAGTTGCCATGGAAGAAGTATAGATACACTGTGCTATATCGCCCTGGACTCGCCTCGTCGCACTCTTCATCAACAACTTCTACCCAACTCACGACTGTGTGCATAGCCAAACATGGAAGGCACCCGGAAAGACGTAAAGGACGCCACCATGCCTCAAGTGCATAAAGTCACCTCAACTGACTTCAACGAAGGGGAAATTGTCGTCGAGGAGGGGGCACCTCGCGGCCACTATGGCTTCTCCGGCGACGAAGTTGAGCTGGCATTGCGAGGGTACGCACCCAATACTCAACTGGAAAAGAAGATGATCCGCAAGGTGGATTTGTCTCTGCTACCGATGCTCTGGCTCATGTGTGTCATGGCGTACGTGGACCGCAACAACATTGTAAGCCATCCATTGCAACAACAATACGCTTCCACAGATACTAACATTGGGGAAGGGGAACGCAAACGCTGCTGGCATGAGTGAGGATATTGGGCTCTCGGACAACCGTAAGATGCAGCCAGGGAGAGACCTTCGGAAGGATCATTACTAAAGACCCAACCAGAATATGCCTTTCTCATCTCGATCTTCTTTATCGCCTACCTTGTCTGGGAAGTTCCTTCAAACATGATTCTGGCACGCGTTCGTCCCTCATGGTATCTATCGGGCCTCATGATTGTAAGCCAACCACATCCCAGCTTCGACAAATGCTTTGCGATATGATATGACTCCAAGATATACTGATCGCAACCATGAATTCAGACTTGGGGCGCGGTATGCTGTGCGATGTCAAAGGTGAAGAACAGCCGCGACATCCTTGTGTGTCGGTTCTTTCTAGGCATGATCGAAGCAGGCTTCTTCCCGGGTGTGCTTTATATCATGTCGTGTTGGTACAAGCGCAATGAGATAGGTAAGACTAAGCTGTCACCTATGGCTGTCAATCATGCACGCATACTAATAACGAGCAGGCAAACGATTCAGCTTGTTCTACACCGCCATCTGCTTTTCAGGAGCAGCTGCGGGACTCATTGCTGGTGCCGTCATCTCCGGATTGGAGGGACACGGCGGCATCGCTGGGTGGCGCTGGCTGTTTCTCATCGAAGGACTTGTCACTATCGGAATCGGGATATTAGCAAAGTTCGTTTTGCTCGATTACCCGCATATCCCCTCGAAGCGCCTGACTCCCGAGGAGCGAGCAATCTCCATCGCTCGTATCATGCATGACAAGCAAGAGACGGAAATACGCACGAGGAAGCTGAATCCGTGGCAAAGCTTCAAAGCCGCGATTGTCGACCTGCGCATGTACGTTTTCATCGCAGTCTATGTTTGCCAGAACAGCGCAACCAGCGTGTCATACTTCATCCCCACGGTTTTGAAAAGTATGGGCTATACTGGCACATCCGCACAATGGATGACAGTGCCTATCTGGGCGGTGAGTAGCCTAACATCAATCCCCCTCCCTTACGTTTTAACAGCGTTGCTGATGTTATTCAGACCGGCACTGCGGTACTCCTGCTTCTTCCCCAGAGCTCCGACCGGTTCAAAGAGCGGCGCTGGCATATTGTGGGAGGTCTCTCCGTGGCATGGATCAGTGCCGTCGTCGGTCTCACTTGCACCAGCAATGATAAAGTACGATACGCATTTATGTGCTTGTACATCGGCGGCCTCTACCCGACAGCTCCTCTCATTCTCAGTTGGGTGTCTGAGACGCTTTCTCTGCCCGCCGAGAAGCGTGCCGTTTGCATCGCCATCACCAACAGTATCGGATCAGCGTCGGCGATCTATGCCAGTTACTTTTGGCCCAGTTCAGATGCACCAAGGTATAAGACGGGGTTTGCATGTGTCATCAGCTTCATTGGTGTGTCATTGATATTGGCTGCATCGGTGCCGCTTATCTTCCGCGTGCTGCCGAAGTTCACTACCAAGGCTGAACGCGAACTTGAGATTGAAGAGGAGGTTCAAGCAAGGAGTTAGTCCTCTCTATAATACTGCTCACGTGTCGGATAGGGTTGGCTTAGATTTGGAGCACGTATTGCGACGTGCCTGTCGGTCCTGGATTAAGCAGTTGCGATCTTATATACAGGTTTTTTTTTATGATTCATGTTTATACTTGTGCTGATGGCCCCACTATGACTGCCGATGTCGAACTCATTTGCGAGATGACTTTTTCTATAGCATGTCAGACAAAGATAACTCTTCAAGACTCTATCAGTCTCTGTGTTCTGAAGGTTCAATGGCTGACTGTTCCTTGCCACTCTCTGAGGCTCTGGCATAATCTAGACATTGGCGACTGGCAACACCAATCCTAGGTCGTACTTACCTAGGTCTTCCATATCCTGATTTTGACCATTGCTACCTACCTCTACGGTCTTGCTGCAGACACCCAATCGCTTCTCCAGTCTTGGCTCGAGACAAGAATGTATTACTTATCATTTCAACTACCTCTACCACTCCCCCCGCTTGTGTTGGGCAATGCACTTCTGCACGATTCCCGGTGACAGATCCCACAGTTCTCGATGGATATGACGGACGAGGCATGTGAGACAATACATTTTCTAGTAACTTTGACACATATCAGGCTGTTTGGTGGACCAGCATTGCCGATACTAAGGCTGTCGAGCATTCATCCGGAGCGAACAGACCCACAGCCTCGTCGCCCCCCTCGGTCACTCGAGGATCGCTGGGGAGTCTGGAGATATGAGCTAGGAAAATTCCGAGCCTAAGGGGTTCGTGGTGGGGCGTTAACCATTTCCACTTCGGACTATTCCGAGGCCTTCTTTCCCTCCAAATTCACAATGGATGAAGCCGAATATGCGGAGGAACTCGATATCGTGACTAGGTACCGTCGCCACGAATATTCTGGAGGTATACTGACAGTTGAAAGGGGTTCAGTTCAAGGTGGGCCTTTCATGGAGCCTCAACGCTGAGACTGGCTGCGACGGGATCGGACAGTCCCCTGGAACCCGCACAGCGAGATGAAGTTGTGCATCCTAATACTCAAGATCTGGGCCTCAGGGGCCCCGGGGGTGATCCTCGGAGTCATCCGCATCACGCCTTTGGCCATCGCTCAGTACGAGAAAACATCTTCTACGTGTTGATGGACACTCTTCCATTAATATAAATGCCAGCAACAAGGAAGCCATTTCAATCTGCAAACGACGTCCATACCGCAGCCTCGATCCGATACCAGACACGACAAAATGGCAAAGAAATCGATTGTTACCATTGACGCCTCCGAGCCGCTCGAGAAGATCAATGAAATCATTGAACGGGACGGGGGAGTCATTGTCTCGAACTTCCTCTCGCCTGAGCTTCTACAAGAATGTTTAGATGCGGGTAAGAGGTCTCAATGAGCAGTGTTCCTATGAATGAAGATCCTAACATTCGGATAGTCGAGCCATATTTCGAGCACAGACCGTTGTATACATCCACTGCGACTCACAAGGAGTTGGGCAAAGAGTTTTTCTCCCCAGGCTCTCAGCGTGTCTATGTGAGGATGATTCTCTGCTCACACCATCCTCCTTGCACAGTCTAATCCAAATTTGCAGGGATTGTTGGGCAAGATGCCGGAGCAGATCACCAAAATCCTCCGTTTATCTGTCTGGAATGGGATAATGGACCGGTTCTTAAGGTGGGTCTCTGCCTCAACCCTTTGTCTGAGGATTCCCAAGCTGATTTTTCTGCGTCTAGCGACGAGTTTTCCTCTTACACGGGCGAGACACTGGTACCCCAGAAGAGTGGCTACATGCTCAACGCAACAACTGCCATTCGGCTGGTTCCTGGCGCCAAAGCCCAGCCTTTACACAGAGTAAGAGCCGGTTAAACTCTTTTCCCAAATTGCTATAGAGAGAGGCTTACCGGCGGCAGGATCAAATGGCATACCAAATCCGGCCTGACCCCAGATATCCCCTGTTCACAGTCATGGTAGGATGTCTGATTGCAGCTTCGAAAACGACGGTCAAGAATGGAGCCACCAGAGTCATACCTGGTAGCCATCTCTGGGGAGCGGATCGGGCTCCCAAGCCAGAGGAAGCCGTCTACGCAGAGATGGAGCCTGGCTCTGCCCTGTTCACACTTGGCTGTAAGTTGAGACCAACTCGGCGTTAGTTGTCAGCATGGTTACTGATATAACTTCACGCACAGCTACATTTCATGCCGGTTCAGAGAACAAGTGTGACCCGAGCGATCCGCTAGCGTTACGGACGCTGTTTGCCGTCTTTGGGTACGTAATCTCTGCCCACGATTGTGAGACGAGACTGACGAGTTGTGTGTGATACAGTCAGCGGGATTATTTCAGACAACATCAGGAAGAGGTGCTTTCGACGCCGATTGAAGTCGCCCGCAAGCTTCCGGACGATATATTGAAAATCACCGGTTACTGTGAGTACCTCATACACAGACTCTGATCCGCTGAAGGAAGCAATCGGCTAAGCCTCTGTGAAGACAAAGCTGTTGGCGGCGTTGGTTATGTGGAAGACCACCAGGCGCCAGTGGAGTTCTTGCACCAAGACAACAATGGCATTGGGAAGTTCGGGCCCCAAACGGCCACGGTGGGGATCTAGAGGCACGGTTTAGTTTTGTGCATCTACTGTAGGAGTTGAGGGATCATCATGTCATCATTGCTCTTGATTGCCAGTGCCCGGTCAATGTTATGGTCGAGGCCAGTCTGTTTCGAGGCTTGGCAGTAGTAGTCGAGAGAGAGGAGGAGCAACACCGGCTCGAATCCTGGGAAAAGGAGGATATTTTGCAAGGGATCATTCTACTACTCCTAGAGGTAGTGCAGAATACAACATTGTACAGCCTGAGTCCAGCCGGTTAAGGCGGACTGTTTTAAAGCGGCACGGTCAGGTACATACAGTTGGTACCAAGATTAAAGTAGCAAGAAGCTCTTACCAGAAGCTATCAGAGTTTTAGAGGTTTTTCGTCAAACCAGTGGCGCCACCCGACACTGGCAATGCGACACACTACTATTATGCTCACCTCAATGGAAAGACACGATGACAGGACTTGCGGACTGCCCGTTCAGAATAAATGGTAAGCCATCGAAGAGTAACAAAAGGTAGGCCAACGGTAGAAAGAAAGCATCTGCATACGAACTGGAACGGCCCTTTGAAAGAGTCGCCCAACGTTACCAAAATGGTCTAAAAGCCGATGGCGAGACGCCGGAGCCAGGAAAAAATCTTAACATGACTCTCGACGGCATTGTCTCCGCCACAACATGACTACGTTATCTACTGCCTGGTTGTACAAATTATATCTGACTCAATGAAATGATGCATTTTACAGATATTCATCTCAGGTAAACCTATTGCACTTGAACACCAACTCTTCAGACATAGAGTTTTGTTTTTCCTGTTTGCCATATTTGGTCTCACAAGTTCCCCCATCGATTCTCTTGCTGTGGCCACCATGCTCGCCGCCGTCGGGCAACCCGTGCCCAACACCGAGCACGCAGTGAGCGTGTCCCTGCCATCATGGAGAGCGACCGTGGCCTACGAAGAAGGCGAAGGCTGGGTCGTGTCGAAGATGAAGACAGGATATCCGCGGTTCTTCATCCACCTGACCATTCAGGACTTGCAGAGGGAAATTCTAGATCTATACGGCCGACCAGGGGAGAGCGAGAGCGTGATGCTTTTCCCGTCTCTGGCAACAGCCACGCGATGCCAGAGATTTATACTCGATAAGCTTGAGGGCCAACTACCGGATCCCAGCGCAGTGCGGATTCTGCAACTGCAGCCGGTCATCCACCCGAACAAGATGCCGCAGACGGCGTTGTCGAGTCTTGTGTGTGTGTTTTTCCCAAAGGAGCATTTCGGCGTCGCGAAGCAGGTGTGGCAGCATTCGGGCGATGGGATTTCCAGTCGTCGCGGGGAGTTCTGCTTGAAAGCCCTGAGGGAAGGGCTTTTGAGGCCCGTGTCGCTGCCGCCGTCGTCGTCTTCGTCGTCTTCTCCTGCCAATGGCCATGATGGTGCGAAGGCGAAACATGATGATCTCTATACTAAAGGTCCTCGTCGGTATCAGCGGCCGGCATCGCGGAATGGTATTACACATGACGCGATCACGAGCAATAATCATCAACATCATCACGAATCTATCCACGAGACCGTTACCAACGGCACTACGGAAGAAGAAGCAGGGGACAAGGACCATGCCCAATTCGTCGAGGAACGATTCGGACGCAATCTGAACGTGAAGCTGGCGGCACAAGCGAAACTCGCCATCCGCCGACGGATCGCGGGTTGCTTGACGGACGACTCGGAATTGGACCAAGCGCTTGCCAGGTCGCGCGGCGCGGACTGCAGCGACCGCCAGCGCGGGTTGTCCGAGGACGACGTATACCTGTACCCATGCGGGATGTCATCGATTTTCAACATGCACCGAATTCTACTGCTGAATGCAGAACTCAAGGGTCAAGAACCGCGCAAAAGCATTTGTTTTGGGTTTCCCTACATTGACACATTGAAAATTCTAGAGAAATGGGGTCCCGGGTGTTTGTTTTATGGATTCGGCAGCTCGGCATGTCTGGACGATCTGGAGCGACGACTTGACGGCGGAGAACGGTTTTTGGCCCTGTTTACCGAGTTTCCGGGCAATCCACTGCTCAGCGCGCCGGACCTGGTGCGGATTCGCAAGTTGGCGGACAAATACGGGTTTGCGGTCGTGGTGGACGAGACGGTGGGCAACTTCATCAACACGGATGTGCTGAGCCATGCCGACGTGGTGGTTAGTAGTCTGACCAAAGTGTTCAGCGGTGACAGTAATGTCATGGGCGGGAGTGTCGTGCTTAACCCGCAGAGCTCGTGGTATGGTGATTTGAAGAGTTTGATGGCCCGCGAGTACGAGGACAATTACTGGGCTGAGGATGCCGTGTTTATGGAACGAAACTCGCGCGACTTTATTTCTCGCATCCATCGCATCAATGTCAATGCCGAGGCTATTGCTTCTGCTTTGAGACAATGTCCTTTCGTCAAGCAGGTCTATTATCCGAAATATAACGAGTCAAGGCCGAACTACGATGCTTGTCGCACCCCGAATGGTGGGTATGGTGGGTTGTTGTCGGTTACGTTCCACCATCCCGAACAGGCGGTCGCGTTCTTTGATGCCCTCGAGGTCCAGAAGGGGCCGAGCTTGGGGACGAATTTCACCCTTGCTTGTCCTTATGCGGTGCTGGCGCATTATACGGAGTTGGAATGGGTCGCTAGCTGGGGCGTCGATCCGGATCTTGTGCGTCTGAGTGTTGGGTTGGAAGAGCCGGATGATTTGACGGGGAGGATTCAGAGGGCTTTGAAGGCTGCTGAGAATGCTAAGGCTGTGGAATAGATCTGGACATCTGAGACTAGATGGACGGTCTAGAAGAGGTATGGGAAACGGCGGGATTCGCCATAGAAGTGACATTTTGCTGTTCAACTCAGCATATTGCCCTGCCGCCCCAGTGAAGTCGTCGTATCGATTGATAGTGTGCATTGGGACGGTAGAAAATTTGGAGATAGCAGTTTCGGTTATAACTGTAGTAGAGCGGGAGTGAGCGAGCGAGCAATGTAAAGTTGCTGTAGATGAGAAAATAAATGATTGCACAGCTGGAAAGACACTGTATTCGCTACAACAGACCAACGCATGGCCCTTTCATCCTCACATCCCGTATTTGCACCCTGAGAAAAAGCTCGTCCTATCGATCAAGCTGATACCAGTAGATCTGGTAGCCTTGTTCTGTGCCTGTAGCCTTGTCGAAGAAGATAATACGCCTGAAGGATAACTACTTCTCCGTACTGCTGTCCACGCGCTTTATGCCGCACCCTACTATCACGTGAACCCCTCTTCCATGCCCCTCACGGAATTTGCCGCGCATCCAACGTCATTTTCTGGGGATTGAACTCTACGAACGTTTTCGACCGGAATCGTCGCGGTTCACTAACAGTCTCATAAGGTACTCATTATCATGCTGGCAAACAGTCAGTATACCTCGATTTTCTGAATGTGATTTCGAAACTGTCGAGTTCGATGTGCAGTCACACCGTCAATCGACACTAAGTGTGGCAGGGAGAAGTCATTTATACATTGTACATCCTCCCCTCGACCTGATCATCCATCTGTATGCACATCCGCTCTCGATCCGAAACATCAAGAAGAAGAACAACACCAACAACCTCTACACCTACACAAACAGCGTTCTACAACAAACCCTTAATTTACGCATTCATTCTACTCTTCGCAGTCTGCTTCTTCCATCTCTTCCATCTACCACTTTCCCATTTCCTTCCTCGTACCAGCATCCAAGATCCTCCATCCTCCATCATGGCGTGGCGATGCTCAGGCCGCACCAACGCCGAACTAATCTCCAACCTCTTCTCCGCCGGGCTCATAACCTCCTCTCGGGTCCGGGACGCCATGTCCTCCGTCGACCGCGCACACTACTGCCCCTCCTCCGCGGCCGCAGCCTACGAAGACTCACCACAACCCATCGGGTTTGGCGCCACCATATCCGCACCACACATGCACGCCTCGGCCTGCGAATCGCTGCTAGAATATCTCCCTGAAAATCGGGGCGCGCGAGTCCTCGACATCGGCAGCGGCAGCGGATACTTGACGCACGTCCTAGCAAATCTGGTCTGTGGACCCGATGGGAACGGCGACGGCAAAGTCGTGGGTATCGATCATATTCAGGGACTGGTTGACCTTGCGAGACAAAATATGCGGAGGAGCGAGGAAGGAAGGAGATTGTTGGACAGTGGAAAAGTCGAGTTGGTGGTGGGGGATGGGAGAAAAGGGTATGAACAGGCTGGACCGTATGATGCTATTCATGTCGGTGCTGCGGCGAGTGAGGTGCATCAGAGTCTTATTGAGCAACTCAAATCTCCGGGGAGGATGTTTATTCCTGTGGAGGATAACGATGGCTGGGGAAGTCAGTGGATCTGGGTGGTTGATAAGGATAAGGATGGGAGAGTCACAAAGAAGAGGGATATGGGTGTGAGATATGTTCCTTTGACGGATGCGCCGAAGTGATGATATACGACCAAAAATAGTGAAGCACTTTGGGGCTTAATTTGATACGGAGGATACGGGAGGGAAGTTTTGGCGGCAAAACAGTAAGAATACTTGATACATAGGAGCAAAACACCTACGAGCAGAAGTGACCAGGAGGATATTCTGCGGCACAGGTTGACAACGATTCGTGGCGCGGTTCTGTGCTGACAAGGACATACCTACAGTACATTGGGATGGTTCTTACGGCGAAATGATAGGACGTTTACTGCTGTCTAGCACGTTATGGTCAACCTACACAGCATACTTTGAACGATTGGAGATTATCTACAGGAGACTCCGGTGCAGTGTGGTATGCTCCAAGATTGGAACACTGTCTTGAACCATGCACAGCACAACTTGAAACGAGAGCAGATAAGTCCTGAATGCCGACACTATTACACATACTGGGTATGCGCAGTCTTTTTTAAACATGTTCGTTGTCTGATGGAGCATCGATCTATAGACTACAATCGGATGGTCTTCTGACATCAATTAAAGTCTCTACCAACAGTGCGTTCGTACACGTCTCTTGACCTCATTTGACCCTCTTTGGTCATACTGTTCATGCTTCCACCATGGGTTCTTCGGCAACATAATGCAGATAAGCGCCCAACAACTTCGTACCCTCAATGTAGTTTCTGCGGTCGAGTTTCTCGTTGATACTGTGAGCGGCATCGGTGCTGCTGCCCATGGGGAGCAACAGGACATTCTTGCCAGTGGCCTCTTCGAAAGTGAGAGTAACAGGAATGCTGCCACCTTCACGGGTCAAGTCGGGCTGGACGCCAAAGACCTCCTTGACGGCCTTGCTGGCCGCAGTGAAATTCCAGTGCTTGGGGCTGGCGACCCACCACTTGCCATCGTGCTGGCAATACACGTCAAGGGTGTTCTTGGAGCCCAGTTTGGCAAACTCGTCCTTGACGTACTTGAACACGGCCTCGTTGACTTTCTCTGAATCCATGTCTGGCACGGTACGAATAGAAAACTTGCCAATGACCTTTGCAGGAATAACGGTTTTGGCACCAGGGGCGGAAAATGCGCCCTCGACGCCGTGGATCGACAACGACGGAAACCGCCAGCGCGCCATGAGGGTCCGCTCCTTGTCGTCAAAGATGGCCGTCTTGCTCCCCAAAGACTCATACAGATTGTCCATCGTGTATGCGATGGGGCCGTACAGTGCCTTTTCTTCCTCCGTCAGCGGCGCCACCATTTCGTTGATCCCCGGAATCAAAATCTTGCCCTTGGGATCAACCAGTTTGCTGAGAACGTGAACCAAGTCCGTCATGGGTTCGTGGGCTGTGCCGCCAAACACACCGGAGTGTAGGTCCTGGCCGGGTCCGGAGATGGCGACTGAGTAGTAGTTGCAGCCGCGGAGACCGTACGTGAGACACGGCTTCTCCGTGCCCAGCCAGTAGTTGTCCGAGATGCAGACGGCGTCGGCATCCTTGAAGAACTTCTTCGCTTCGGCCTTGATGAAGTCGTCGAGTCCTTCGGAGCCGTATTCCTCCATGCCCTCGAAACAGCAGAGCAGGTTCACGGGGAACTCGACGCCGGCCTTCTGGTGCGCTTCAATGGCATTCAACCATCCCAATACCGGTCCTTTGTCGTCCGTACTTCCACGGCCGTACATGCGCCCTTTGTCGTCGATGGTCAAGTTGAACGGTTCGGTTGCCCAGCCGTCTTCGAGCAGCGCAGGCTGCACGTCGTAGTGGCCGTACACGAGGATGGTGCGCTTGTTCTTGTCGTTTCCGTAGCGCGCAACAATCACCGGCGGGAGGTCGAGGTGCTCTTTGCCCGGTTGCTTTCCTAGCGGTCGCTGTTCGACTTGTGCGCCCAGGGCCTCAAGCTCCGAGGCGAGGAATTGTCCCATCTAGTAGCAGTATTCAGTCAGGGTCTGCCATGGTAGATTTTCCACGGTTGTCATTGACATACTCGCACCACATCCTTTCTTTTGTCCTCGTCTGCAGACACTGATGGAATCGCAACGGCTTTTCGCAGGCCTGAATTGGATCGTTAGCAAAATCAATGACCCTTACGAGGGGCAGTGCGATACGGCATACGGTCGATGAAGGAGTCGGCCAACTCGTCTACTCTGTAAATGGTCAGCAGCGGCACTTTCGACAAGATAAACGTTTGACCTACTTTTGGAAGTAGGGCTCTAATTGTGGTGCCATTTTGTGGTCGGAGATATGCCCGTAGTATGATCGGATTGGAACAGTGGTCAATGAACTCGGGCGTTGGAAGGATGAGAAGTGAGGTCGGATTGCGGTGTTCGATCGGGTCACTTGAGCGAACAAGCTATTCAGGCCCTTGAAGGTGAAGCGAGGGGTACAGGATCGAAGTGACATGCGTTATCAGGCGCAGGTGTGAAGGTGGGTAGGCTGTCGTGCTTTGGAGAACGTGTTTGGATGTACAGATGTACAGAACTGTAAAACCGACCATTGGTCAAATCGGCAAAGTCGGCCAATCGACCAGCTCCGGCTTCACATTGAATTATAGACAGAACACAGAGCAGCTGACAGTAGTATGGGCTGTCCAATTTCAGCAGTACAAAGCAGCTATTGAAGCTGGAAAAATTTAAATTCTACAATCCTCCTTTGTAATACGATCTTTTCCATATTACTCGTCTCTATACCACCGTTCTTTTCTGATCTGTCGGTCCTCGCGTGCTTCTCGTCTCTTGATGCCCCAGCGTGACTTGACAATCTGCGTCACCATTTTCTGCTGTTCACCTTTTTCCTTCGCAAGACCCTCGGTCACAAATATCGCAAACATGGGAGAGCAGTCGAATTTCTTCGCCAGGCGGTTTATACTCCATTGCACTGGATCGGCCTTTCGTAGTTCCCTCATCTCCTCCACGTCCTTTTCCGTCAAATGATATTTCTTCTCGGCTTGGCCCTTCAATGCGGGCAGCTGTTGACTGAGCGCTGATTGCAATTGCCTGGTTTCGGGATCTGGAAATACTTTTCTTCGGTCGTTGTTGGGCAAGAATATGTTGGGTGTGTGATACACATTGGGCATGCTCGGAGGAGGGTTGTAGATGATATGATCGTGATGTTCGGTTTTTGACGGCAGAAAGGAAGCATCGGGTTTGATATTGAGCTTGGATCTTGTTCGTCTATATGTCGACTGATGTCGCCGGGAAGAGGGTTGTAGGAGCTGCGCGCAAAGCTTGTAAAAGCGTGAGGACGCCGTCGGCGTGGAAAGATAGCTTGTGGACTGCATGCTGGCAAAGGGACGCCTTGTCCGTTCTTGATTTTCCAAGGGTTGGAACTCTGACTATCTGGCAGAGTGTACAGTTGCACGGTCGGTCGCAAATGGCAAAACACCAGCTGCTCCTTTCTTTCCGCAGCGAATTTAGTTATGAACAGACATCTTCCACTGCTCTTCTTCGGGATGCCGCCGCGAGGATATCTTGGAATGGCTAAAACCCGGCTGCAAGTCCTATTCAATAAGAGGACGCAATGACTGGATTCAGCATTTGAGAGTAATTCATGGCAGGCGGAACTCGAAGTCGAACTTCAACTTGAACTCGCACCGGCCAATGGCGGCTCCGGTTCTGCTGGCGTTGGCTTGGCAGCATGAGTAAGCACAGTCATTTTTAAATCCACGCTAAGAGATTAGTACCTCGGAAAAGTTTCCTGTTGAGGGACAAGCATCGTCACAAGTCACAAGACCGGAGCCTGAGTGGGTAGTGCTGCGGTGCTACGGGTATTATTGGGGCCCGACACTGGCAGTTGCAGTTGCAGTTGCAGTCCCTGAGACAACATGAACGTTCCATCCGTCATGCGTCGATTGGCCCTCCACTTGCCTGCGCTCAGCTGCGGTTTTATTAAGGCGCAGCATACTTACAGCAGCACCAACACTCCCCGTCGTCCAAGTATAGGTCTCGGTTGCTGCCACACTCTCCTCCTCTGACTGCTGCTGCTTGCTCACCTCTCCTTGTTCCTGTCCAACACCCGACCGAATCACACACTCACACCTCTGCGCCCTGTCCTGCCTGAGCTGCTGGGTTGATCCCTGGCCCTGTCACCGACTTGCTACCTGCCACTTCCGCATACCTACTCTCTCCTTGTTCCCCGATTTAACCATCATCGTACTTGGACCTAAAGACGCCCCAACGGTCCTGAACTTCACATACCTTTGTTGCACAGGACATCGGACGTTGTCTTCTGGTCGTCCCGAGAACGAGCACGAATAGAAGACTTCAAATTTCCGTCGAAAGCTCTGTATATCCAGGTCTTCACGGATATTCTCAAAGGTCTTCACGGATATTCTCAAAGAACCTCAGCTGTTATCTGCGCTTCTCGTTGCGTTGGCTTGCGCATGCACCCGGTCGCTTGCTAGCAATCCCAGTCAGTCCAAAGCGACTGTTTTTGAGCCTTGAATATCACTATACTTTGCTCGAACCCTATCTTGCAATGTTGAGCAGCCAGCAGCCGTTTTGAACCTACCTTTATCCTTCGCCAGTGCGCCTGTGGTGTGCATTCTCACGTTGACTCTTGCGCGATTGCGTCCATTCAAACGACCCTGATATCGTAACTGGTGGACAGCAGTCATGTCTTCCAAAGATCCGTCCATAAACGACAAAGCTAGTGCTCCAAGTACCGAGTCCAAAGACTCCGGCGCGCCCTTGCTACGCAATGCGTTGGGAGACTCCAAAGCAGCACCGCCATCCCAATCGGCCGAACAGTCGTCCAACTCAAAGCCCCGCAAGCGGGATTTCTGGAAGTTTGGAAAGAAGCAGGAGGAAGATAAACAACAGCCAAAGACCAGCGCTCCGGCTCCGGCTCCGGTCTCACCGCGGGCCACAGCCTCCACGGTCAACCCTCCGACCGCACTTGGTCCATCTTCTCCCGGCGGATCAAGATCACCGCATAGAGGTTCTCTTGCCCATGCTTACGGTCGTCCTGGATCACCCAGCAGCTTTGGACTGCACAATACGTCTTCGAGACCGCAGTCACCGGCGTCGTCGATGATATTTGAGCGGAATGTGCAGGAAGAAGTCATTCCACCGGAAACCTCTCCACACTTGCCCACTCATGTCATCATTGAGAATCATATTGCCCCAGCCTTGGATGCCTCGGCCGAGGCCATCACCAACGACAAGTTGGATCCGGACACAGTGGAAATTGTGACACATGCCACACATCAACCTGCCGCCGTTACCCTTACTGGGCTGGGTGCCGAGCAGTCGATGGCATCTTCCGTGGTGGACGACGGCTCTCCTTCACCCCCGCCCCAGCTGGCGGCGCCAGTTCATCGACAGGACACCGACAATGTATCTACATATGGATCTTTCGATTCGGGCGATGTCCGTCGCCTGAGTTTCATCTCGTTTGCTGATGTCGTGCATGGCGAGCAAGAAAACTTGGGAGTGGCTGAGGCCGCTCGACGAGACTCGGCTCACTTGTCGGGTCATCCTTCCTTAGTCCCTCCACGGTCACCATCCCCCATTAGATCTCCTACCTCTTCGGCGGCATTTGGTACATCTCCGCCGACGAGCGTGACCGCATCCGTCAAGGGGTTGGAGCAATCACCCAACCGAGCACCTCGAGGGACAGGAAGCCCGCTCCCGGGACAGAGCTCACCTTTGGCGTTGGGAAGTGAAGTCAATATTGAGACAATGAGACAGGCGCTACGAAAGACTGGCAGTGGAGATCTGAGTCATTTCCGCAGCGCACCGTCAAGCGCTATAGGCAATGACGATGGAAGCTATCTTGACCGACCGTTTCGATAAGGAATGTGAAGACGATCAAAGCGAATAGGACCGGGACTGGGATACGGTGGAAATGGAGGTGGGAGGCGAGATGGTCATGACTGAAGGAGGTCGTTGTCAGGCTCTGGTGGTTTTACCACATAAGAATGAAAGTTATGGATCTCGGGATGGTTGAATTTTTATCGTCCGCGGTACAACGCAAGGGGCAACGAGATGCGAACGCGAACATGATTTACGCTGGCGGAATATCATGCATGAGGTGCTTTGATGGTTGGAATGGAGGTTGCGATTACAATCGCAATGTGATGGGATTATGAACTTTGTGTCTCTGTTTCAGTTTTTGGTTTCGGCATATTTTATATTCAAGAGCACAAGAGTCAAGAACTCGGAGGAGAGTCGAGTTTTGGTACCTATATTTCTTTTTCAACAATTTGACTTGGTCTGCCGTGCTGCTCGCCAGGCCGCCAGTTTCCTTGCTTTAGTTACTCGCGTGCTGCATTGGACCTTTTCAGTTATAAGCATCGGAGGAGCATCAGATCAGTCACCCAACGAGAAGATTCAACCGTGACTACAATACAGCACCACCTCGTAGCAGGGACTAAGTAGTCACCTAGGTGGTAGTTCTGTGCATACCCTATACTGCCTATCAAGACATGCACATAGGTAGACAATAGAGTATAGCGGATACAGGTATACATATCGACATAGGTATTGACGTATTGACGTATAGCCAAACTGGCACAAAACACCCCATTTTCCTTCACCCATTCTCTCGGACACTATTCAAGCACATCATCATTCTCGGATGGATGGATGGATCCAAATCGATCGAGATCAATCCACCTAACCTATTTTGCCCTTTCCATTTTTCACTTTCCAATCAATATTCACATTCCCGTTTGATTGCATCCCAATCCAATCCAATCCACGGGTTCATTCTCGCTCGCTCGGTTCACACTATCCATCTCCTTTAATGTCCAGTCCAGTCTCAATGAAACTGCTCCTCCGTCACCCCCTTGCCCATCGCAGCCGTCGAACTAACGCCCCCCTGGACCATCTTCAACAACCCATCCACATAGTTCGCACCGGACCATTTCTGATGTGTCACGACATCAATCTTGGCCGCCATTTCGGGCTCCTGGATCAATTCGCCGTAGGCACGCATGCCGCGCTTGGCGAATTCTTTGGCGAAAGTGTCGGAAATCAGCGCGGTCGAATGCAGACCTGCCAGAGTAATAAATTGCCAGCAGTATCCCAACTCGCCGAGGCGTTGGATGTAGGTCTCTTGGTCTTTGGCGGACATGGCGGCCTTCCAGTTGAATGAGGGGGAGAGGTTGTAGGCGAGTCTAGTAAGGAAAACACAACGTTAGTACAGATATTCGCATCTCTTGGATCCGCTCGGCTTCGCTTTGCCTCGCTTCGCTCAGAGGTTCAACTTACTTCTGTTCCGGCCACACGGCATGAACGCCCTCGGCGAATTCCTTCGCCTGAGCGTAATCCGGCAGCTTACTCTCCATCCAGATCATGTCGGCATAAGGAGCATACGCAATGGCGCGGTTGATGGCGCACTGGCAGCCACCCTGGAGCCGGTAGTAACCCTCTCGGGTGCGAGGGGCATCCCAGTCCCAGTAGATGTCGACACCGGTTAAACCCTTTGCGATGGCGCGGCATTCGTTGTTCGACTTGCCCTTGGAGGCTTCCTTGTATTTGGCGATGAGACTCTGCTTGTCCACATGCACGCCGGCGTTGATGGCGTCGATGACGGCGTCGTCAAACAGTTTCAGGCCGGCCTGTTGCATCCAGTTGTCCTCGATGGCTTGGAGCTGGTCGCCGTTCTTGCCGGCTTGTTCGGCTGCGACCATGAGGTCATTGAGCGGTTGCAGGTTCGCGTTGGTCGATCCCAAGATGTACGCGTGGTCACGGTGGTCGATGGTCGTGGTGATCAGCGTCGCGGCCTCGGCATCCGTCCGGGCAACGGCCAACAAGTCGACACCCATAATGTCGGCTTGGGCTCGGATCGCCACTAGACGGTTGATGTGCTCGGACACGGGCACCAGCACCTTTCCGGCCATGTGGCCGCACTTCTTGGTGCCAGGGGCCTGGTCTTCAATGTGGATGCCGGCCGCACCGCGCTCGACGAACAACTTGGTCAACTTCATCACAGCCGTCAAGCCTCCGTGGCCGGTGTCGGCGTCGGCGATGATGGGGCGCAGGAAATCCGTGTTGGCCACCTGGGCTCGCTTCTCCTTGGGCGTCGTGAGACGCTCCTCTCGCTGTTTGCGGTCATGGAACAGTTGCGCCATGAACAGCTGGTTGACCTTGTTGGGCACCGTGTTCATCGGGTAGTCGGCCAAATCGGGGGATGGCTCGTCGGTCGACGAGGCGGTCGAAGAACATTGCCAACCAGAGACGTAGACGGTCTCGAGGTATTTGTTCATCTGGGTGAGCATGGTGGGTTCGAGACAGCCATAGGTCGTCGAGGCGGTCTTGGTCTATTTGTAAAAGGTCAGCCCGGCTATAATCTTGTCATACACGAGATCTCGCAGTCATACAGCAAATCGATGCTCAACCAACTTCCACAGCTTCTTGGCTTGCGTGTTGCTGGGATATTCAATCTTGATGGTGCCTCGCTTTTGGGCAATCTGCTCGGCAGTGTAGGGTCGTCGGGTATATCTCCATCTCGAGTCGGTCCACCATTGCTTGATGGCTTCCACGTCTTGCAGGTATTTCTGCTCTTCTTGTTCAATTTGAGCAGACATGTTGAAGGTGTTCACGAGGAAGACTTTGTACGAAAAAGGTAGGCCGCTGTCGTCTGGCTCTGTCTACTACTCTGAGAGAACACAACACCCTCAAACAAACACTACAAGAGAGGAGAGACCTGGATGATGAGGACAATCGACAGACAGACGAGCCGAGGAGCTTAAACAGTCATTGAGAGAAAAGTGGAAAAGAGGAGCATGCGCCATGAGTTAAGTAACAACAGCCACCTCCCCAGAGAGCGGCGGATCGGCCGAGCGCGGCGACATGACTGGTTGATGTTGCTTCCCTCCATCTCCGATGAGCTGAGAGGTATGACACCCCGGGGCACGGTCCTAAAGCGTGCTTGTTCATCTCGACCGGTTCTGGCCAAGCTTGGACACTGCGGTATTGGACCCGGGTCAAGGGCGGAAGAGGAGTTCTGAGAGTTAGGGAGGAAAAGCGGCCGACGGGGATTGGTTCTCGACACTGACAGGGCTGGGGAAGAAGCCGGACTGGAGGAGAGAAAAGAGGCAAAAACCCCGTCTAAACGCCAACGAGCGATTGATAGTCCAGACACTGCCATACTCTGCTAGGATGCAGGACAGTCACTTGCAAGAGCTGTCTCGGTGGACGCTCGGCTTGTGGGGGATGTGAGACGGTGGGAACGGGAAGCGAGGCAGGAGAGGCGCGAGGATTCGAGGATCCCGACGACGACGACGGCGACATGTGCCTCGATTGGGAATTGCATGTTTGAACGATGACGCCAGCTCCAGCTCGGCTCCGTTCGCCCGCCAAAATATCAAGCATTGCTGAATGTCCTCAATTGATGTACAATTGTACACAGTTGTCCATATAGACGAAGGAGGATTACTGCATCACTCTCTTCTTATCAACCTCCTTCTCATCTCTTACCTGCAGTGCTATACTCGTCGTCGATACACGTGCCCTGCGCAGGACAAAAACTGCATGAGTCAAATGCCCCGCCAGTCACGGTGTACCTCGGCACAAGTCACGTGAGCGATATCGGAAAAGGCAGGCGCCTCCTTTTGGTGACTCCAACCTGATGCTTCGTCAACTCTTCAGTCTTGAAACAACCTACGAAAAAGAATCGGAGCCTGATGATGACTCTACACGTCCGGTCTCTGTCGCCATATTGTTGTTTCGAGCTCCCCGTATGCTCACGAAGTAGTCCGAACTGTTACCGTGGCCGTTGCCGTGCAGATGCCGCCTTGCTACCCGATTAGAGAAAATGATTTGATATGAACAACTTCGTGGTCCTCTATCCGAGTGACTCTAACAATAACGGTCCAGGCATAGCCGCAAGACCAAGGTATGTACAGTTTATCAGGGCTTCCTGTCCTTGGTCTGCTTCATCACTCAAAGTTCTCATAACGCCGTCCATGGGTGCAAGGGCTCAAGAACAAAGCAAAAGTCGGAAAACCATGCACTGCCTGCTGAGCATACGCCACGCGCCGTCCGGTCCTCCAATCCTGCCCCGGGTCTGGTCATAAGAGATCGCGTCCAAATCGAAGAGAATGATGCCTTCAGGACCCCATAAAAATACAATGAACCCACCGTCCCAATCTGGAAGGATGCAAGCGTGCGACAACTTCGTGAACGCATGGCTCTTCGCGTTTATTAGTTCTCCGGACTCGAACTGATGGCGGCTTCACCTTCGTCTGCCGATTCCGGTCGTGATTCGTCTGATCCTTCATCGATGGTGTCGTCAAATGTGCCCAGCTTAATCTCGGTTGCTTTAGCAAACGTTTCCCAGGGAGTGAGGGTACCGAGTGCTCGTTTCATGTGCATCGGGATGAACGACAAGCCATACACGTAGCTCGCATTGACCCAGCCAAATCTGTTCACATCTGTTAGTCTGGACCCAAACAAGACGAAGGCTACAAACTTACCCTTCTCTCGGCACGCCTTTGAAGTCTGCACCTTGGTTGCCGTATTCCGCTTCCACCTTGTGGGGATCGAGCTCGCGGGTGACATCGTACTTTTCAACCACTACGCCGTTGAAGTCGACAAAGGCCTTGGTCACCATGTACAGCCACTTGTAGGCGAGACGTTGGGCATCCTCGATGTAGCCGTATTTGATCAAACCGCCCCAAGCAAGCATCTGCTGCGGGGCCCAGCCGTAAGGATAGTCCCACTGTCGGTTGGGCCGGTCCAGACCGATCTCACCACGGGACTCCTCGGTACCAGAAACCAATCCACCAAAGCATTCAAACTTGGGTAAGGCGTTGAGTACCAATGCAGCAGCCTGTCGCGGCGAAGCACATCCTGCCCACATGGCCCAAAAGGTGGTGGCGCTCTCGTATGTGGTGCGTTTCTTGTTGACCGTGTCATAGTCAAAGTACATACCCTTGGCTTCGTTCCACATGTATTTGTCGATGCGAGCCTTGCGCAACCGCGCCCGTCGGTCCCAGGGCGCCGAAGTCTCATATCCTTCCTTGCGGTTGGCGTCTGAACGGAATTCTTCGGGAATGACCAGTCGATCTTTGAAGTATTGTCGGATGCACCACGAAATATCGATTTCGTACTTGTAAAGCAGCGAGTTCAGATCAATGGTCGCCAGATTAGCCGCACAGCCCTCCAGCCGATATGAAGTGTCGTGTCCTGACTCTCGAACGGCACGGTCGTGTAGGAAATACTCGTCCAACTCTGGCTCCTTCACCTCTTCATTGTTGTAGGCCTTGACAAACTCCTCAAAGGACATTCCATGCTTCTTAGCATAGGGAGTGATGATGTGCACAAAATGCGAGGCTTCGGTTTCAGGCGGAACTCCGGCGCCGTCCGGCCGGTACCGAGAAAGGCCAGTGGCGGGGTCGTACCGAGGAGCAGACATCCAGACGTCATAGTACTCCTTGATCGCGGCGGTGATGGCCATTCGCAGAAAGTCGAGAGCACCAGGCTCGTGCTTGATCTTGTCGTAGACCTTGAGCGCCATGTCGGTCAAGAATGGAGGTTGCGATCGGGTGAGGTAGTACGAGCGATTGGCGTTCAAGATCTTGCCATAATGCTGAATGCAGAAACAGAAGTGGATGACCATCGACTTGGCCAGGTCGACTCTATCATTCTGGATCAAGCCAATCGACTCCATGTAACTGTCCCAGCCGTACAGCTCGTTGAACCGTCCACCAGGCACAATGAAGGGTTCGCCCTTCAGTGTCTCCTTACCATCGATCGTCACCTTCTTCATTGCCAATGCCAAAATTCCTGGAGCATCGTTCAGACTGCGCACGTATTGGGCGGTGATAGGCCCCTCCGGCAACCACCGGACATCCAATCGCATTTCAGGGCGGTCCTGGGCCACCTTGGTATAGTATTCATGCTGCTCCGGGCAGCCACGTGGAATGTAGATACGAGGTCGAGGATCGTCAGTCCAGTCTTTCGGATCACGGCCGGCCTTTTCAATGGTGTCGGCGTCGAGACAGCGGGTGAGGTTATTCCAGAACTCATGAGCGATCCGGCGTGATAGTCGGTCGACCGGATTCTCGCTGAGACGGGAACGATGAATCTTGACCACTTTCTTGCCCAGATCTTGTGCCAATGTCAACTCTTGCAGCAGATTGCTGATCATGTAATTGCCGCGAACTTCAGCTGTGCGATAGCCGGCAGAGGCCAACGTGCCGAGACTGATGTGCTGTGAAAATTGGTCAGTTTCTGCTGCAAAGATTGGAAGGAGATATGCTGGCTCACTTTTGGTCCATTGTCCTCAATTGTGATCTGCTGGTTCCCGTCAATGTCCTCTCTTTCGATCAAATCTTTGAGAGTGCGATCCACGTCGACCAGCAGTTCTTGATGTTGTTGGTAGTGCTCATCTATAGAGGTGTGTCAGTTCAAATCTTTTTCACGTCGCCTTGGGTGGAAAAACGCACCATGACTGGTACGGCGGGCAGGGTAGTTGCCTTTGTACCCTGGGAGATCTTCGCGGGCAGGCTTGATATACTGAGATCGGTTAGCGATGCTTCCTAAAAGGCACAAGTGCCGCACATACCGAGGAGATTGCTCTGTTGCGTGAACCCAAGAGCTGGCGTCTCACGGCTTCCTCATCGTAATAGACAGAAGGAGAAGAGTAGGGATCGCGACGGTCTAAGGATGAGCTCCGGCGATTGTGCCCATGTGGCGGGGTCATGACCGGTGGAAATGTGTTCAACTTTAGGTCCAGGAAACAAAGTCGAGGGGTCGCGAGAACTTAAAGAGAGACGAGGTTAACTGAGTTCTGTTCAGTCGGCGCAGGTTCAAGCGTGTCAAAGTGTTTTCCAAGTGGAAGTTGATGACAGCCGAGAGTCCGTGACGGTGACGGGGGTAAAAGATAATAATGACAGGGGGGCGGCAATGATGTCGTTGCGGACCCGCCTGAAAGTTTTGAAGGCGCTGCAAATGTCGTTTTTAGAGTTAGACGCCGGGAATAAGCAAAGACACCCAAGATTTGGGTTGGGGGCCCTGCACCACGCCTGGATACGAGCTAGAGAACAGATTTTTCTTCAGATCGGCTATGGCCAAAAGGATGATTATCGAGCACGCGACTGACTGTAGGAATGAGCTGAGGTGTATGTTGGCAGTAGTGACAGTGAGGGCGATCTTGAATGTAAGGGCGAGAGAGGCCGTGAGCGTGAATGAGGTGACAGGACGGTACTTAGTAGGAGGAGGTGGGTAGGTGGGCAGAAGAGAGAAGAAGCGGTGGGTAGGTTGTAGAATTCAAGTTGCGGTGTGTTGCTGCGCTGTACTGCAGCAGCGCAGTTGGTTGCAGTGGTACGTCGATCGCAGGTGAATCTACAAAGAGCCTGCAGTAGCAGCCGCAGGAGCAGCAGTGAATGTGAGAAGGAGAACCACTGGCACTCTGGACTGGCTGCGACTGCAGTACAGTGACTTCAGGCTGCAGTATCGTGGGGGTGACCGGCTGCTTGTCTGGCAGTCGCAGGCAGGCTACGCAAGTGACAACTCGTACTTGGAGAGACTGAAAGGACAGAGAGCGCAATCTAGCAGTGGCTGCAGTGATGGCTGCTCTCAGTCCGTATCTTCACTGCAGCGGCGGTCAACAACAACAAGCGGCAGTTGCTGCAAACAAGGAAAATTGAGGTCAATCAAATAAATGGTCAGGCGGACAACAATGAATGAGACGACAGACAATAGAATGCGCACTAATTAATTGATTGATTGATCGATTAATCCCACAGATTTCGTTTCAGTATAGGTAGGTATTTGTTGATGTCGGGTTCTTTTGCCAGCATTTCAACCTTGTAAAGGGTTTCATTTAATTAAATCTTAAGGACCTCCCACAACCTGCTTTGGTTGAAGTCAATCGTGATATGGCCGTCGACTCTCTCGAGTCGGGAACGAAAGTAGTGGCACAAACGGCAAGTCCGCCCACGCCGACAGGGGAGAAGAGCAGGGGAAGAAAGCAGGGTCCCGGCGGTCCGTGGCATCCAGGCTCTTTGTCTCTGACGCCTAAGCGAGGGGCTTGGGGGCAGCCAGCCACTCACTGTTAGGCTGCCAGGGGAAGACCGAGGGGCTCGCGGGGCTAGGGAGGCCTACTAGGGAAGCCTACAGCAATCCCAGTGTCCGTAGCCGGTGGTGTCGTGTCGCCTGCAGCGCAGTGACACGCGGGAGGTGCGATATTCGAATTGGGAAATCGAACCGCTGTATTGGGCTTCGGGCTTCACAGTCACGGTCGTGAACTCGGACAACAACTATAACCTGGTCACAAGCGCAGCTGATCGGAGTCCGTGTGGAATGTTAGGTATGGTAGTGGTGTAGCCGCGAACAATCTATTGACTTTACTACACCCTTGTTAATTGTTTTTTTGATTGTGATCTTCCTGATTACAGACCAGGTGATGAAATACCTCCTGGTAGTACAAACAGCCATTTCTCGTGGTTACTGTGGCGGTGGCCTGCGGTGAGACCACTCATGGTCACTCTGAATGCGCCGAGCAGTGGCCCCTGAAACTTGAACAGGATATCGCTCCAGGCCACTGCTGCACTGCATGCGGCGCAGTGGCAGTATTTCCCACAGCCTTGTTGCTCGCCTGAAATCAGCCAGAATGCTATATTTACCCTCAGCTGGAACAGTGAGCCGAAATAGGTTATGTTACTAAGGTAATATTCTCCCATCCATGTTGATGGCTTACTGTACTCCAGTACTGTCCACACCGCCCCTCGTCCCCCTGCCTACATTATTGTACACTGGCAGCGTCCTACGGTGATTCCAACAGTCGTCTTACCTACCATGTGGCTTAGGTACCTATAAATGCCAAAATGGCCTGCTTACTGGTCCTCAACTCTTCGTGACCCTCCCACTACGCATGTAGGTACTCGTAAGAAAGTTATACTCACTTCCCCACCAGCTGTGGCTGGTAGCGATCTTCTTGGACTCTCCCGCAATGTCGGCATCCGAGCCCGGCGTACGACAACTACTAGTACGACAGTGAGTATCCGCCTCCGCATTCCGGGGCTGCAAGGCACCATCATCATCGATCTGCACATCTCAAGGCTAGAGCCAACCATTATTGCCGGGCCCTCAACGGCAGTTAACGTCAATCCCATCTCAACGCCAATCATAAGGTAGCCAGGTACCACTAGTAGTGGTACTAGAATCGCCCGCCCGAGATCGATCTACAACATTGTATGCAATATCTCCAGAAGCATGGCGATGTCCCGAAACTCAGCCAGATGCTAGCAGGTACCAAGGTACTATATTACTACCTGCTCGTAGTGAAATCAGAACAGTGTAGAAACAAAATCCTGGGTACGGGTCTGCTGCTCCCAAGTCATCACTGCTATACTACGCTCACATAACTATCGTAGCCATGTCGAGGCATGCTTCCTCCCGATCTTGTCGCGATGGGCAGACTCGCCCGCACCAACCGCACCAGCTACGCACCGTACCCTGGGCCTCCCTTTCGAGGTATTTGCCACTTTCCCTTTCATCTTCATATTCCCACACTGTCGCCCCGACCTTGACTTTCTTCTTGAGCTTTTTCTTGACCACTCCGCCGATGCCCTCAATCTCCTGCTGGAAATAACCAGGCCTGTTGCTACTGGTGTAGTCCGGTGTGCCAACTCTACTCGACTCGTTCCCATCGTGCTCCCAGTAGTGGTCATGGGGACTGCCCTCAGAGCATTCCATCTCGACCCAGCATACAGATTTTCCGCTCTTGGCCAGACAGTCTGGCCCCCGTCCACATTTCTGCCCCTGGTTGCCGACCCCCAAGCCGGTGCCCAACCCACCGCCGATGTGAGTAGAATATCGAGATCGCCATGTCCACACCCGCTTGTATGTCGTGTCGGCGGCCCCGAGATTCTGTCCACAGGGACCGCACAAGAACACCCCGCGAGCTTCGCACGTGCAAGGGCCCCGAAGAAATGCTGGTGATGTGAATGAATCCAAGTAACTGTGGTCGATCTCACTGGCGTCCAGCTCAGAACCCGAACTCGAAGTAGAATGGCCGGAATACGAGCGCTCCGACTTGACTGAACTCGCGCTGGATATCAGAACGCCATCGATTGACTCCCGTGCCGGAAGACGGGGGAGAAGATGCGATTCCAGCGGTGCATCCAGACAAGTGCTGCATAAGCGCCGATGACGATCCTTTAGTCTGGCATTACTTGGGCTGGGAGACTTGGCCACGCAATTTCGACAGACGATTGTTCCACATCTGCGACAAGGAGCCACCAAGTCTCGAGCGCAAGAGCTGATCTTGCTGGACAGCCCCGTAGACGCATAAATCCCCTCGGGGACCGAGCGTACCCATGGTCTTGCAGCATCCTCCTCTTGACTGGACACTGGCCAGGCTGCGGACGGGCCGGGGTGAGGGTTGTCGCCGTTATTCAGCGATATTTCAATGTCTGTCTCTTGTAGACCAGTCGCTGCAAGTAGTTCTGCCAGCACAGGTTTCTCGTCGTGAATGCATCGCAGGGAATGTGCCTTAAGTTGGGGGGCATATTGGGTCAAACTTGAGTGGACGCTTCTGCAGGTTGCCGCCAAAGCATGAAGATCATTGAGGTCGAGGTGGCTGGCCAGAGATAAAGCGACACTAGATACCAGATATTAGTCTCTGAAGACGCCTGCATAAAGCAGGTTTGTCAGTGCATACGGATAACACGTTAAGGCCGCCGCCACTCTGTCTGTAGTTTTGCCCACTGAAGTAGCCACTCCCGTTATCACAGGCTTCAGCTGGTCATGGTTAGGAGTTGAGAATGGGGGTGGTGACCGTCTCGATTCCACCCCATTACACGATCGATCGTGGGATGAGCAGTCATCGTCGTCAAGGTCAACAAACACCGCCATGGTGCCATTGGAGGCAGCGAAAGTGATGGAAGGCAAGTAAGGGGTGACTCAATGGACTTTGCACAAGAAAGACTCCTCAAGCGCCTCAACTGTAGAGGGACCGGGAAGCCTGGTGATGCATAGGAAAGGCGTCGTTGAAGAACGGGCTGCGAGAGACGGTGTTGTAGAGGGGCGTCGACCAGCCTCCATATCGTCATGAGGAGAACTTGACGGGCGTGACCGTGCAACAGAACTTGAACGCCACGCGGAAGCGCACACGCGTGCGACTACATGCACCGAACTCGGAGACTACATTGTACAGCTTGAAAAGCTCTGATTACAGCTGCGTCGATGGATCTGGACCCACGAGAGCATCGTTCTGTCGGTCTACAGTACAAGCGGTGTGATCGGCCAGGGGAAGTCTTTAGTGATCCGCGAAGATTGAACCCGGATGTCGCAAAATATGAGTGCCTGACACCGTTGCCTCATGTTGACCCGATGGCCAACATGATCCATACCGCGTTTGTCTGGGACCGAGGCACACTGCTAAGGTCTTCAGGATAACGCAGTCTCTTATCTCAACCGTGAACTGCTCCATCTCCCTTCTTCAAATTGTAACTAATAACCAGGTACAAATTGCTTACGAGTCGGTCTGCCTACTACTAGTAGTTGCTGACACTGTGACGTCGACACGTGAGGGGGCAATCCACATCTTCATTAACAGAGTCGAGTTGCATTTTGCGAGCCTTGTGGACTTCTCACCATACAAAGTTCTGAAGGTCTCTTGAGTCGGTTTACGAGGATGGCGTCCATCAAGTTGCCTGCGTTCGAAAACACCCCTGTCGAACAGATTCCTTCGATTGTTTCCCGCCTCCGCAAGACTTTTCTCACACTGAAGACTCGCCCGGCAGACTTCCGACTGAAGCAGTTGCGCAAGTTGTACTGGGCCATTGCTGACCATGAAAAGGAGCTGTTGGAAGCATGCAAAAGAGACTTGGGCAAAGGGCTGTTCGAGGCCATGGTCTCCGAGGTCGACTGGGTGAAGAATGATATAATATACATGACCCAACACTTGGAGGAGTGGATGAAGGATGAGAAGGCCCCCGACATCCCATGGATGCACAGGATTGTCAACCCGAAAATACGGAAGGATCCCTTAGGTGTTGTTCTTGTGATTGGGTAGGTTCAAACTGAAGACAATGCTTGCTCAAACTCATTCTTTACAGTGCCTTCAACTTCCCTATCAATCTATCATTCGGCCCCATGATCGGTGCCATTGCAGCCGGAAACACTGTGGTTCTGAAGCCCTCCGAGCAGACCCCCAACTGTGCGGCAATGATGCAGAAGATTATGGAACAGTCATTAGATCCTGACTGCTATGTCTGCGTCCAAGGCGGAGTACCGGAGACATCGGCCCTGCTGGAGCAGAAATGGGACAAGATCTTCTTCACGGGGTCGGTAAATACAGCAAGAATTGTTGCGCAGGCTGCCGCAAAGAACTTGACCCCCGTTGCGCTGGAACTCGGCGGGAAAAATCCGGCAATTGTGACCAAGAAAGCGGACGTGCATCTGGCTGCTCGCCGTCTACTGTGGGCTAAAACATTCAATGCAGGACAGGTCTGCATCAGTCAAAACTTCGTTTTGGTTGACAAGGAAGTCGCTCCAGCCCTCATCTCGGAGTTGAAGGCGGCCTTGAAAGAGTTCTATCCTAATGGCGCGAAGCAGAGCACCGACTACTCTCGCATCGTCAATCTCCGAGCATTCAACCGCATCAAGAAGATGTTGGACTCAACTTCAGGCAAGATAGTTGCTGGGGGAACAATGGATGCTGACGAGCTATTCATCGAGCCTACCGTGATCGAAGTCACTGATCCCAAGGATCCTCTTCTGGTGGAGGAGTCCTTTGGACCGCTCATCCCTGTCCTGGCCGTCGACAACCTCGACCAAGCAATCAGCATCGCCAACGAAATCCACGAAACTCCTCTCGGGGTGTATGCTTTCGGCTCCAAGGAGGAGACTGATAAGGTGTTGGCGGCGACTCGTTCCGGTGGTGCCAGCATCAATGACGGTTTCTTCCACGGCATCATTCCGAATTTCCCTTTCGGCGGGGTAGGCGACTCGGGCACAGGAGCATATCGTGGAAAGGCATCCTTTGATTGCTTCACGCATCACCGGTCCATTACCAAAACACCAACATGGGTGGAAAAGCTGTTGGCGGTGAGGTATCCGCCCTTCGATGGCACCAGCAAGTTGAAACAGTTCCGAGCAACGGGCGTTCTCAAACCTGACTTCGACCGAGATGGAAACAAGAAGGTTAACGTGCTGTGGTATCTGCTTACTCTAGGGGCGGGAAGTGCGTCCAAAGGTGCGGTCAGAGCAGCGGTGCTTGCTGGCATCTATCTAGCCCTGACAGCCCTGAGGGACGGCCGAATTCGGGCCCCATGGGTTTACGAGAGGGTAAAACAGATTGTATACTAGGATAACCATATATACCTAATGACCGGGCATGAATATAAGCATCATCAAGCTCGAACTGGGTGATGGACCATGTACAATGTATTGTAGCATGAAGAGAGCCTCGCCCACCACACCAACAAGCCTGAGCGCGATGCCAGGGAACAGCCACAACTCGGATCGGTTTGCCTGCCTTAGTAATCACGGTGTGAGCCACAATCCGTGCAGCCTGAACGCACTGGCAGTGGCACTGGCAGTGTTGCACGTCATCACATTATCTGGACTTTTTGCTGGAGTTGAACCCTCCGAGTCGTCCATATCGGCTGCTAGTACCGGGGTTCAAGTTCTGCTGATACTACCGCATCTGCCACTGATACGTCCTGACAACCTAAACACCTGCACGATCACGAAACACTGCCTCTGGTTGGATATTCGGATCCTGCCACTGCATCTTTTTTAATTCCCTGGCTGCTGCAGTGCATCTCGGTCGAAAGCACGTACCTACACAGAATCAGGCTCAGGCTCTGGCTCTGTATCTTTCCTCCGCGTTCGAGATCTCACCGTCGACGGTGGCTTTCCAGCATCCTTCGCCCACTCGCCCACCCGCCCACCAATTCTCCATCCTTCCCCAACATCAAACCGACTGTCTACAGCCAGACTTCACCGCAGCGTCCTGTACAGTGGCCGAAGCCAGGACGCATCCCCCCATATCATGACATCAACCTCGACGACGCCATTTGCAACACCTGCTACCTCGCTACCGAGCTCAAGGCCGGGTACTCCCCCGCAAACTCCCACGGCCACTCCCACCAGTGTGCCTCCAGATGCCCAGTTGCAAGATGAGACATCCAAGCTGAGGACCTTCCTAAGCCTACTGAGAAAGTATGTCCAAGCGATATAGGAGCCTGGATAATGCAAATACCCCAGGACAAAGTGGCAGAAAAGGTGGATGGGACCTGGGCTGATTCAGGATGAACCTGACAGATTTATCGGCGTTTCGGATATCGCCAATGTTCGCTTTTCCCTACCTTCGCAGTTACTAGAACCTATCCCGAACCTTGGTAAGCACTCAATGGCGGATGTGTCGAGATACTTGGATTGACAACGGACAGAGTACTGGCACTACCTCGATCGGCCTGAGACTTTTGCAAGGTGAGGCTCGATAACACACTGGACACCCTGCGCCAGATGGCTGTGGCTGACGGATACCTAGTATCGGCACATCAGATGACGAGCTTGGTCGCATGCTGGAAGTGCTCAGGTTCTGGTTCACCAAAGATTTGGTCCGTGGCTCCCTATCAGACCACCTTAACTGTGTCATACTGAACGGGAAAACAGAAATATGTCAAGGGCAAGCCTTGCAAGCCATATAACTCAACGCTGGGGGAGTTCTTTAGGGTTTGTTCTTCCTCAATCCTATGCTCAGTTCCTCTACGGCGTGAGACAACTGACTTATCGCTTCGTCTATCTAGTGTAATTGGGACATCAGCGAGCCCGCACCACCGATATTGAATCCATCTAAAGCGCCGCCCCAGCCGCCGACCGACCCTAAACAGCCCACTGGCAAAGACCAGCCGGTACGGATATCATTCTTGACCGAACAAACGTCCCATCACCCGCCGGTATCAGCATATTGGTACGACTGTCCAGAACGAGGTATCCATGCCCGGGGCTATGATCAGATTTCCGCTCGCTTCACGGGTACATCTGTGCGGGTCGTCCCGGGCATGTATAATCGAGGAATCTTCATCACCCTCACCAAGCGGGACAACGAAGAATATCAGCTTGTGCATCCGGCAGCGTCATTGGGTGGTCTGCTCCGAGGATCGCTATATATTTCCGTGGCCGACACGTGTTATGTTACGTGTCCCAAAACAAAGCTGAAGTGCCTTTTGACATACGTTGAAGAAAGCTGGTTCGGCAAGGCTCAGAATCGCGTGCACGGAGTCGTATTCCGCTACGACCCCAACGACGACAAGTACACGCGGGTCAAGGACGTTCCAGATCGGGACATTCTCGCCAAGATTGAAGGTTGTTGGCAAGATCAGATTTACTACACGATTCCCAAAACGGCGGCAGTCAATGAGCGGAACCTGCAGCCAACCTCAGAAAAACAGTTGTTGATCGACCTGCAACCGTTGATGCCGGTGCCCAAATCCTGTCCACCAACCCCAGAACAATTACCCAATGAGTCACGTCTACTCTGGAAGGATGTGACGGTGGCCATCAACGAGAAGCGGTACTCGGACGCCACACGCATCAAACAAGACCTCGAGCAGGCGCAGCGGGACAAGGCGGCTAAGCGGAAGGAACTCAATACTGAGTTCAAGCCACGTTTTTTCACCGCCGTCACCGAACCGTCGGGTAAGCCCGAGCTGACCGACTATGGCAAGCAGACTCTCGAAGGGTTGCGGAAAAAAGAATTTCGGTTGGAGCGTATCCCCGAGCCTGGAATTGACGAGTAGCTGTGTAGTTTGGTCATGTGAAGCGATTTGGTTTGCGTTTTGCGAGAGAACACAATATGACAAAGCATGCTGCATGGTTGAAGGTGTACAGGTTCAAGTTGTTGGTGATTGGACGTGGGCTGGGCGGGCGGTTAGGGGTTGCCCCAGGTCAACACAGGCGGGCAGGGGAGCAAGTTAGAAGAGGCATATTTATTCCATCATGGTCAACATCTGGGGATGAATCGAGTGCCCGAAAACGATTGCATTTATCTTGTCCTTGGGACGTTTGGTTTTTTTGTTTCTCTTCCCGTGTTCTCTGTAACCCACCTGTAGATGTAATGCACTCGCTCGGTAGTCAGAGTACTGCCGCCGGGGGAACTACTATAATATATGACCCCTGGATGATGATGGTGGTGGTGGCGGTGATGGAATAATCGAATACATGTACCTACCAAAAGCTCCTGGACGGTGCTCGCATGCGCGCAAGCGAAATGCTTGAGGAAGGGAAGGAAGGGAGAGAAAGATGGCTGCGTCCGTCGATCTGGAACGTCAGAATCTAATAATGCAAGTGGCGCGCATGCCGACAGATATAATCTGATACTTAGTAACACGAAATCGTGGCGATCCATAGAATAAATATTTGACTTCCTTTTTCTTTTTTTTTTGTTATTTGATATGGATTCTGCAAACCCAGCCCAGAACAGAAGTAGGATCACCACAGATTGTTTGCAGATGCATACCTATGCATGTCACGAAGCAGTGGCATGGGGAGAGAAAGGGCTCCGGCAAGGAATGATGGACACAACCCATACATACCCAGGTACAGACAAACTGTGTATGCAACCCAGAAAGGATCCTTTTTTCTAAAGTGAGGGCGGGGGGCATCCAAGTACTTCGCAAATACAGCAGCCCCATTGCACGATGCACAATGCACACTAAGGTACACACTGCCGACGGCGACGAGGATTGTGCGTGTGTACAGTAACAGCAAGTACACCCATTAGTCGGACGTGCTCTCGGAACGGGGGTCTTTCTATCATAACCTCCGCATCGTCGAGCGAGGGCAATGACAAATATGGTGGTCGTATGCGAAGGTATTTTGAAACATGGTCGGTTGGCAAGGCTGGAACAGAAGAGGATGGCGTATATCTCATCTTGTCGAGATGAAACAACAGCAATGGCTTTCCAAAAAGTTGTAGATAAATGTTGGCGTTCGTAGTAGGATATGTTGAAACAAGACATGCCCGGCAAGGCTGGCACAGAACAGCATGGCGAATATCCCACCATGTCGAGATGAAACAACAGCACAGGTCGGGAAAGGTTGTAAAGTAACAACTGCCGGTGTTTGCAGTAGTGAGATGTTGAAACAAGACTTGCTGGGCAGGGCTGGCAATCGGAAGGGAATCTATCTCTTCGTTGACATGAAACAGGGCTCAGCGACCATTGGAATTTCCAACTGCAGAGGGAACTTCTTCGGTGACATGAAACCGCTCGGTAAGGCTGGCGATAAAAAGTCACTACTACCTCGTTGTTGAGTTGAAACAGGACTCAGTGAAGGCTGGAAAATGCAGAGTAATTGTCGTCGTTGACATGAAACAATTCGGCAAGGCTGGAAGACTGAGTGAATCTCTTTGTTGAACATGAAACAAGACTTTTAGCCGGGCTGAAGGTTGCAAAGAACACATCTTGAAGTTTGTACATGCTGAAACACTGGAGCTAGATGGGCCTCGTAGGGCTGCGCACTATTACTAGTCTTCATCTTGAAACAAGGGAAGACGTGATGCGAGGAGGTCAACTTACTGTACATACCTTACCCATCAAGTCGAGCCGGAATCTTGGGATCACACGCACTAGACTAGAGCATTTGATATTGGACGGGGTCAAAAGAGTTAGCCTTCGTGATCCGTGCCGATTCCGGAACTCTTAGCGAGTCTTATGCATGGGTTGGGTCCCATGTTTGAGATTGTCGTCTAAGTTGGATTGCTTCGTCTTGCAGGGTCAAGGTCTCTTTATGAGGCAGGGGATAGGGGCAAACATTGTAGACAGCAAAAAGAGCCGAGCTGCATGGTGGTGATTGCATTGGGCAGCATGTGGCAATGTTATGGGATTGCGACTTATACCTACGGCAATAAGTTCGTCCAAATAATGAGGTGTGGGATTCGCCATGGTTTGTAAACCGCCGAAGGCCGCAGGGCAATGTAGATCCACGTTTCATCTCTCTTTGCTAGGCCTGATTGGTTAGCGCGATGCTTCTGGCTCCTTCTGTATCTCAACAGTTGTCGGCAATATATTCCTTGTAATGTGATCTGGCCATATGCCGCTAGCTAGGGCGTATGAGCTCGATTGAATGTATGTGCATTTTTGGATGCACTCCCCGAGACTGCTTGCAAGACATAGACGGGGCGTACCACCAACACAGGGCGGCTCCGGCGATTGAGTGTCGGCAGGAGCCGTGGTTGGCTGGAGCGGCGCTCTTCTTTAGACACCTCGAGGAAGGCTCTGCTATATCGGCTTTGTGGCTGCATTCGGGCGAGGTGCCGTCAACGATCTCGGTTGAACTCACAAAGCTCGCCAGCAGTAACCTTGCGTACGGGATCGTCAACCATTCCGCTTTGACTACTCCGCATACAGATAGTCAGGATTCATCGAGGATTGTTGGTGTTGAAGGATGAAACAAGCCCATACTCGATTCTAGATAGCCTTTTGGCGAGATTGAGCACTAGGGAAGAATCAAGTGGGTTCCATGAACGTTAGCTCACAAGCCACATATGAGATTGCTTCTTTGTATATGCCAATGTAGAGAAACATGGTGAACAGACGTGGCTTGTTGTGGGGCTTCGTCGTTCCAAAAGGGTAGTCGGGTCGGCATATATGAGAGGCCGGCGGAGAGTGCATCAAGTCCTGCTCCGCGTTTTTTGGGCTAGGATCTGGGAATGGTGGTAATAATGACGAACCACAGGCATTGTGGAGGTCATTGCCTGGGCGGTATTGACAGTCACATTCTAGGCTGCCATGATTACTCGATCACTTGATATGCGATGTTGCACAAATTCCTGTGGTGGTGTTGTTCCTGCAGGTCTGTTCAGCTGGACATTGCAGGATGTCTCGAATCAGGCGTGTCCATGTGCTTGATTCGATCAATATGCTTCTTTTGTGCCACACACCCAAGCGCCGCACCTCCTCGCCAGCGGGACGCCGATGGCTATAAGCCTAACTCGACCAAGAACGGAGGATATCTTTGGCCGTCCCACAAGTAGTGCTTCCTCCAAATGTCTTGTAGATATCTGGTCTAGGTAGCACTGCAAATGGAAACCTGGGTCACGAACGACCCGGTGGCTGGTTCTAGCTGATGCCCGCACGACAGCGACTATTCGCGATTCCAGCTTTTGGTTGACATAACGAATGGGCCATTGTGGAGACCCAGGCTGGCATCTGCAAGGGCTCGTACTCGTACGGTCAAGTGGTGTGACCCGAGGGAAGCGAGAAGTATACGGCGATGAAATCGGCAGTGACAGGGGTATCAACCGGGCCAGCCACGGACTAACCGTGGAGATTCTGAGATGGACGGAAGACGGGGAGAGAAGGGTGAAGTTGATGAAGGACAGGGAGCTGCGACAACAATCACCACGCAGATGCAGTAGTGCTTCAGGTAAGGCAGACTCGCGCCCGTCTAAACAAAGTTATTTAGTCTAAAAAGAGACTTAGCGGGCGGGAGAGGCTTGGTACGTGGTTTGGCAGCCAGTGTTTCAAGCCTAACTCGTAATAGAATAACCTTATCCCCAAATAGCAGGAACCATGCCGTAATAGGGCAAGCGGCCGTGATAGTCTAATCGGGCTGCACCACCCACTCGCACCCACTTGAGAACTTCCCTGTCACCATGCATCAGTCTGAGCAAATTCCTCTCCACAAGATGCAATTCCATTCGCATGGTGGAATCAACGGCCGCAGGTACCAACGACCCTATCGTCTGGAGAGCTTCTGCTACTGTGCGGAACGGAACACACAAAGGAACCAGAAACAGGCAACTCACGACCCGAGGGCGACGGGCAATCCAGCCGCGATCGGGAATGGTTGCACAGGCGGTCACGAAGGCACTGCAGGCTGCCCGCGCGCCCGTCCACAATCCGCAATCCACGATCCACAATCCGTCACCGTATGTCAGGTCCCTGCTGCTGTGCCCGTTACCGCAAACCACTCTCCCGGCTCCCAGGCTTCCTGGTCCTGGTGTGAGGCTCCTGGTCGTGCTCTCTTTTTGCGGTGCAGGATGATGATCTCGTCATCTCACCTCAGAAAAGCCAATCTCAACACCTCTGGGGAAACCGGGTCGCCGCTCTTCCCCATGAGCCACTTCTCCCCGTAAGCATCTAGTCGGGCTTGACAGAAGACGGCCAGAGGACTCGATATCCCCATCCGGACCAGGACAAGCCTGGCCCAAAGCCTCACGTCCTGTACACAGCCGCTCCGCTCTTATTCGCTGGCTCCGGCTCCGGCCGCTATGTCTCCTTGACCTTTTTAGCGAGTCCTCCATTGGGAGCAATTTCACCCTGGGTTTGCGTGAGGACGCCGTCTACAGACAAGAAGGCTGTTGCTATTGTTCCATGCTGTCATGTTAGCTCACCCTGATCCATTCCCCTACGGACAAGAATAACTCAGCCTGTTGTACAAGGACACTTTCTGTCATCGCCCCACTGGATGAACACCCCGGCTGCCCTCTATCCTTCTAGTACTCAGCCCTGCCAATGGATGTCAAGATCGCTCTAGTCTTCTAGCCTTCCCTTCTTCCACCCTCAAAACCGTCATCGCCCTCTTCACGCACACTTCTCATCCTCAAACCCATGGCGGAGTCTCCATCTGCTCAAACAAGCTTAATCTTGTCTCGAGGCTCAGAAGGGGGCGGAGGCTCCCAAGCATCTGCACAGACTCCACCGTGAAACGGTCGGCACCAACCTTCTGGTTGCTACCTATACTCTTATATCTTCAATACTACACCCTGATCCCGTCATGGCCCCAAGAAAGCACTCTCATACATCTCGACATAGGGGCGTGGCCGCGTTGTCCTCGCCCATCATTCCTACCGAACAAATAGCTCTCAATCCTTCACGTCCTTCCGCTGCTGTCAACCACAATCTCCAGTCAATAGAGTATACACCAGGCACGCCGCCTTTTCCAACTCAATTTCTTGCTGAAAATACTGCTACCTTGACAAGGCCGCCGATAGCAGGAGACTCCCCGCTTTCGCCTACTGAGGGCCAAACTTTGGACTCGACATCCCGTCGCGAAAGCACTTCCACCATGAGGACCTCGTCCATCCCCCTCGAGGGCACTCCGACCTGCACGCCCACCGGACGGATCAGCAAAGCAAAGAAGGGAAAACGAGTTCATGCTTGCGAATTCCCTGGATGCGGCAAGGTGATTTTAGCTTTTACCATACGTGTAATGCGACAGCCAGCTAACATTAGTCTAGGTGTTCACCCGTGCAGAGCACAGAAGGTCAGTCTGCGATCGAGACTGGGCATCTTCCTTTTCTGACGTTCTCGTATAGGAGACACCAACTGAACCATAACCCTGAAGCTCTTTTCCCTTGTACCCGACCTGGTTGTCGAAAAGCATTCCACCGAATAGATCTTCTTCAACGGCACTTGGAGAGACACGACCTCGACAGCATGGCCGAGGCCTCGTCGACGCACATGGGCCATATGTCGCATATCTCGGCCGCGTCAGAATCGCCGTCCTCAGTCATTCCCACCCCGATCATGAGCAGTCCTCACGCCAGCCAAAGTACTCGCAGGTCGAACTCGGGGGCTCTCTCCATCGGGTCCCTCGTCAACCCTCAGGGAGATTATCGCTACAATGTGGGAACACCGGCATTCAACAGCTACGGGCGACAGTCAATGCACTATATACCACCAGGTTTCACTTCGTCCGAAGATTCAATCTTCTACACTCCTGAGAGTAGCCAGTCTCCTGTTTCAGATTACTACAGCCGCTACCACCCCAACCGCCAGAGCATCTCCTCATCTTCTTCTGTTGCTGCCTTTGAGCTCAATGGAGCCTCTCCATTGACCAGTGGGAATATACCTGGGCAGTGGGCACCATCTTCCGCACCTCCGGCGAGTATGCCCGCTGCCACCGGCAGCATACTCGACGAGGGTGCCTATGTTCCTGTATGTGACCCTATTTTTCATTGGTTTGGTGCTTGTACTGAGGCTGATCAGTCTCCCGCAGACTCTTCCCTACCAATTCCACTCTCCGAGCTGGATGGAGACGAATGGAACGTCATTCGACGAGAATTATCAACTGCATCTGGGCTTCTTCCCCGAGATTCCTCAACCGCTGTACCAGCAGCTATAAGGTGGCATTGCCTGGATTACTACTGGCAATACTTTGATCCATACTTTCCTGTGGTTCATCGTCCGACCTTTCTCCCCACGATGCCTAGTCCTCTCCTGGCCAGTGCCATGGCCGCCATCGGCTCTCTCTACGACAACAGACCGGACGCCAAAGTGTACGCTCTAACCCTATTGGAAGTTGCAACCAAACTTTTGAGACGCCGAGACAACATCACCAACCGGTCACGGTTGGCTGATTTACAGACTGTCTTCCTTCTGGAGGTTCTGAGTAAGTACTGCGCCAGACGTGTCGAGGTCGAAATGTCGGCGAGGTTTCGGTCCCTCCTAGCAAGCCTCGACCAAACTCGTCGATTTCTGGCCAGAGATTCTCTCGCGGTTTTCCGTACTCTTTCAAAGGATCGATCAAGTGATGACCTGGCAAGAGCACACAAGTTCTGGCTTGAACATGAAACACGACGGCGTATTCTTCAAGCAGCAACTGTTTTGGACCAACAGCAAGTCACCATGTTTGAACAGCCGCCTACTATCGTTCAACACGAACGGTCGCGACGGCCCAGTCTTGATCTTCGATGCAAGATACCTCTCCCTTGCTCAGATGAGCTCTGGGAGACCAGTCCTGTTGAAAAATGGGAAGAAGTAGCGTCGAGAAGCGGTGGCATATCTAATTCAGGTGCTACTTCCAAGGATATGGGTGACGTGGCTTCCGGTGTCTCGTCAGGTCTTGACTTTTTTCAAATTCAGGTCAGCCTTACGGAGAACCCGGATGTGCCCTTTGACCGGTTACTGCTGCGACGTGGCGGCCCGTCCCACGCCCATGATCACGCTCGTCTTGTCTTCAACCATCAAGTGCGCGAACTCGCCCGACACACTCCTATCCGACAACTGCTTATTGTCAGCGGCGAGTCGTGGGTTTTGGGCAAGAAGCTGGAAAATGAAGCAGAGTTCCAGGCCGCCAAGCGCAATCTCAGAGCTTGGGTAGACACCAATCGAGAGAGCCGGATTGCGTTTTGGTATGCCACGCAATTGATCCGGAGTCGCGTCGAGATCACAACACCTTCGGAGACTGAAGACGTCACCGTTTCATTTCTGGACACTTACATGCTGCACGAGCCGTGGTGTCTGTATCTGGCAGCACTTGTTTGTTGGGCATACGGACTGAGCGCGTCGATGAGACCAACAGAAACCAGTGGCGGACGTATGTCCGGCCGAGCCTCGTCGACTGTCAGTGAAGCCCAGTCTCAGCTGTCTCATTGTTCCAATCCGCAGCCGCCTACTGGACACCCGGCACTTCTGGAGCCCTGTGAGGCCGCGTCTTCGATGCGCGAATATCTAGAAGCAACCAACCTCGACACACCGGAACAGCTTCTCCAGCTGGATCCTCTCGCCTTCGGACAATTCCGGGGCTTACTGGAAACCGTGCGTCTCCATAAGATTGGACACTACCTAGGCGGCCTTATGAACGATGCTGAGCGGGTTTTGTATCGATTGGTGGAAGGACGAGGTCGACTATCCCATTTTTAAAGAACAGTCCAGCCTACTTACTTTTTTTCTTTTTTTCTTTTTTTTTCTGGCTTTATTGATGTTTTCGACTAGCAAGCATGCGTTGGCGTTTGAGCGAAGGAGTCGACAGATGTTTTTCTCATGGCTACGATGGCCTGCAGTTCATTACGACAGCAAGTTTTGATTTTTTGTGGCTTCGATGCAGGGCCCTGGTGCCGTCAGAACTGGCAGCATCGGATTCTGCAGTAACGACTCGGATCGGCCGCATTTCATGGCGAGCGGACGACCGGCGGCTCATGAAGATGATGATAAATGGATGCGGCGATTTTTTGGTTATGTGCACAGTTTCGACTTTATGAGCGAGTTTATGAGCGTTTATGTTACATTGGATTTGCTCAACCCTGATATCCCATCTGTTTTGCACGCGTTTTCGGAGTTTCAAAGACAGGCCGTTGGATGTCATCTGATCTAGATCAAAGACATATACATATCTATATACATTTGTATAGCATGTATAGTTTACAGAGTACGGTGCAGTTTGTTCGTCACCACAACGAGATATTTAACATCCGACCATTTGACTTCTAACCTCGAACCTCGGCGTTAGCCAACTATCTGCTGTGCGAAAGTCGTCTTTGCATTATCGTGACCGATTGACTGCTGATGGCTACTGCAGTGTACTACGAACAGTTGACTGCTAGTATTTGCCGACTGATTGACCCCTGCTCTGCGAGCCTTGTCTAAGCCACAGCCACACTACTTACCTTATTTACAGTGATTACCCACTGCACTTCTACCCCCATGCACATGCATAACCCACACAGCCATAGATACCTCTAGGTACTGTACGTAGCCTGACACACTCGGCCCAGCACTACACTACACTGTAAGGCGAGGCTGACTCAACTACGTCGTTATATTTATCTACATTAATTACTTGCTTGCGACACGCGATTCTAGTTGTACTCTAGCTTGACATACTCACCGACAGCTCAGCCTCACTGACTACACATGTACTACTGTACAGACCACTACTGCATAGAAACGATAATTCGAACAACCAACCATCAATGGGTTGTCATTCTCGTCATACCGATTTACTGGGCTATCCCGATCACCATACTCGAAAAACACCCTGAAGAACTTCAAGTCAAAGCCCTTCCCTTACTTACTGTACAACTTCAAGGCCTCCCTGCCTTATTCAACGCCCAAACACCAAACAATCCACCCCAAAAGACGATTCTCATGCCGGCATAAAATAAGGTGGCCTCACCAGACTTCTCAGTGACAACCAAACCAAACCAAACCACACCACACCACACTCCCCCAGGGAATCTCTTGTGTCCAGTCCCAGACTACTCAAGCCCATAACCCGAAAACAATACTCCAGCCTGGTTCTTCCTGTTCCCAATCACTCCAGGCACTAAAGTCTGGGTTGTGGTGTATCTATGCCTCCGTCTCAACAACCCTATACCCCTCCCCGAGTTTCTTGCTAATCTCCTCATTTTTATGCTGCAACAACGACAGAGCATAAGCAGTATCGTCCCACTGTCGTTTATTCACGCACCGACCGAGTCTGGCGGCGAGTTTCTCCGCGAGGTTTTTGGCGTGTTTGTCCTGCAAGGAACAGTGTCAGTCAATCACATCTGAGAAAAGACAGTGCAAGCGGCAAAGGAGACGTATAAACCCCATACCTTTTCAATAAACCCACACAAGAACTTGAGAATTCTCCTAACGGCCTCTTCCTCCATAACTCCACCATCGAGTGGTCCCTCCTGCGTCAGTACCGAAAACATATCGACAAACTGATTATAAACAGCATTATCCTTTGTCGCCAGTTCCGTGAAAAACATCCTAGCTAGATCGGCAATCTTCTTATCCGCATCCTCGAGACATTTGGCCATTTCGCCCAGCTGACCTTTGACTTTGACCTGGCCCGCGAGGATCAAAAACGTCAATGTCATCAGACAAGTGCGCTTGACAGATTCATCGGCATCGTTGAGTCGGCGGTACAGGAAATCGGTATTCTCATCAATCAAATGGTTGAAACACACCGCCATATCTCCGAGTGCGATGACAGCATTGGACCGGACTATGGGGTCGGTCGATCTCTCGAGGATGGTAATAAGCAACGGCAGGTTCTTCTCGCAGTACTCGCTGCTCACGCACATGAGCTTGGCGAGACATAAAGTAGCTTGTGCTTGGAGTTCGCGGTCCTTGTACGCTGTATTGTTGGCGCAGATTTCGGTGACCAGTGGGCCGAAATTGGCTAATAGCGAATTAGGTCCGTAGAGTAATTCGCGTTCGCGGATGTGGGCAATGGCTTCGGTGAAGTCGTCTTCGGTTGTGCCGCCGATGAGGTCGAGTTCGTCTTTTTCTTCTTCGGCCTTTTGTTGTTTCTCGGCTAGGACTTCTTCGGCAGCGGTCTTTTTTCTTCGCGCTGGTGTAGGTCCTGCCATTGATTTGTCGGGAGATGGGTTAGAAACAGAGGCCTTGTTCTTCTCTTGGTCATGTTTCCGTCGTTTGAAGTCCAGTTCACACAGTTCCAAATGCACAATCTGTTTGATGGCAATGTGTCCTACGGTAAACAACAATTGTGACAGCGCAATTGACGGCTTCTCTTCTGGAGGCCGTCGTTGTGATTGTGGTTGCTCTTGCTGTTGCTCCTGTGGCGCCGGTTGTGCTTTTGGAGTCTCATGCTCTTCGTCGCCGTCCACATCCATCGCGTCCGGTTCTGGTGACGACGGTCGTGACAACGAAGAAAGATCTTTTGTCTGTTGGAAGACCAGTCGAGTCTTTTGTCTTATGACCTCGGAGCACAGGACGTCCGGGTGGTCGGAGAGAACATAGATGGCACTGATGGCTTGTTCTGCCATGCCGTACCAATCTTTGCTGGCGGACGTCGTCAACAAGATGGAAGCTAGCATCCGCAAAACCTCGCTGTTGTTGGACATCCTCGAGAGACCCACTGGAGCGGTCTTCTCGTGCGCTTTCTTTGCAGGGGGTACCATGCGACGAAGAGCGACACAAGTGAACTTTGCCAGAACAAAATCTTGCCTTCCAAGCTGTCCCAAACCTACTCGCAACATGGTGTCGAGTTCTTTAACAACCACTTCTGGGTTCGCAAGAGCGATCATCCCCAGGACAATGATGGCGCCTCGTCTCTGAGCCTTTGAAATCTCCTTATTCACTCCGTAGACCTGCCACAACTTGGCCACGACGAGCTCGGAAATATGGCCAGACTTAAACATGGTACTCAGAAGTTGTTCAAGCGACGTCAACTCGGCAGGAGTGGCACCAAAGGTCAAGCTGATCATGTTCCTGGCCACAAAGTTTGCAGCGTCGTTGGCGCTGAAGATTTCTGGGGCATCGAAAAACAAACCTTTGTAGTTGTCGATCAGGTGATTCTGGACTCCTTTCCCTTCATCACTGTTGCCCTTGGTCCAGATCAGCCGTAACATGCGCCTAATACCCTTTCGTGCCGTTTCCACCTTGAATGCATCGATGGTGACGAAAAAGTCCATCACGTCGATCACCTCCGTCTTGTTTGGCGAAGACAGTAGTTGAACTGCAATCTCGGAAGCCTCGTGCACCACCTCAATGAACCTTAATGCTTCAAGGTAGTATTTCCGGGTTAGTTGGAGTTTCCCGATGACTTCAGCAGTGGCCGCTTCTTCTTGGGCCTTCTTGACCGCGGCAATCTTGTCTTCCTCGGACATTTCTTCTTGGGCTTCTTCGGCCACGGTGGCGTCGTCCAGCAACTCTGTATCAACCTTCTCCTCCCCTGCTGCTGTTTGAGCCAGTCCAGGCGTGTCTGGAGGAGGCTTCAGAGCATCCAGTTGGGCTTCCACGGCTTCCAATCTCTCCTGCCACTCTTTCAACGCAAGCGTGCCACCATGCATCAAACTAAAAGGATGCGAGGAAACAAGCTTCTTGAGTAGCTTGATAGCGTTGCGTCGTACGTTGCTGCTTTTATCCTGTAGACTCTGCATCGCCAGTTCCGTGGCATTTTGTCTTCGTTTCGGGAATTTTTGGTCTAGGTCGCAAATCTTGGTGAAGACTTGCATCGCACGCACTCGGCAGAATGGTGCCGTGTCAAGGAAGCGTTGTTCAAGGGTATCGAAGAATGCGTTGATTTGAATTTTCGTGGTTTCGGTCTTCTCTTCCTGTCTGCTCAGGTCCGCGAGCAGGTTCCCACATACCTCAATCACCGCGCACCTCAGTACGTGAGACTCGCTGTCCAGGAACTTGGCCAGCAAACCCATCTCTTTGATCACCAGTCGAGGCTCTAACTCGGAAAGCTTGACAATGAAAGCCGAGACCGATTTCGGCCCTTTTGTGTCGTTTTGGCTGAATTCTTTGGCGGCCAACTCTCTCAAGATGTCGGCGGAGAGTTGATGATGATCATATTGTTCAGATAAAATGTGCAAGAATTCCGCCATTGGTTCTGACAGATGTTCAAAATATGTCAGGTTCTGGACGATCGACGTCTGTGCCCCAAGAGCATGGCCATGGTGTTTGACGGCAACGCAGAGTACTTTGAAGCAGAACATGCGTACTGCCGTAATCTTGACCCGGGCTTCACTCTCCATAATCAGATATACGGACCGAGTGAAAAGATTGATGAATGTGTCTCTGTCGGATGTGGTCTGGAAAATGCGATTCAGCTTCAGCTTCATCACTCGACACATGACATCCATGGCGCCCTGTATTTGACTTGAGGAGTCCCAGACATCATCTTTGGCGGCCGACTTAGACTTTGCTCCTTTTCCGCCTCGTCTCGCAGGGGCGGTCGCTGTTTTCTCGAGCGCCTTGGCCTCAACCGAGGAGATGGACCACTGTAGAAGGAACGCGTACATTTCGAGTAACCGCTTGTGGTGCGGAAGCGTATCTTGCTCGTCATTTTCGATGTCATGTCCTGCAACATCGGCTGCCGTGGCCAAGCCCGTCACGATCAAGTGCAGGATTTTGCTCAGCGTTTGTGTTGGAAGAAGAAAAGACTGTCTAGCACGGCGAAATAGTTCAGCTTGATATTCCTGGGATTGTTCAGGGCAAGACGGGGGATGCGACGGGACGCACTTTAATAGGAATTGTAACGTGTCGAAAGCAGAACTCCTCATCAGCCCTTCCGGGTTCTCTGCGATCAAATCTACCACCGGTTCCAGCGCATTGTTGACGAGGGCTGGTGTGAGACTCTCGGGGTCATTATCGCAGTCTAGGAGGTCGGCGCTCGCCTCTGGGGTGGGAATGGTCGCCGCGTCGCTGAGATACAGCTTTAGGGCTTCGTTGATGTCGAATTCGACCTGGTCCGCCATGTTGTCGATGTTGCAATGCGAGGAGTTTGGTGAATTGTAATCGTACTCATGCGGTTTGTTTCGGTACCCGGTTGTCAGGCGGTGACGCGCTCACAGTGACTCGCAGTGCACCAGCAGCACTCGCAACACAACAAGAAGATAAGTGCCCGATTGGCGACGGTCGACCGCGCACCGATTTCTTCGACTCGACCAGGCTGCGACCTGGACGTTGGACTAGTTGTAGGCTGCGTGGTTATTGGACGGCAGGCGAGTGATTGTTGACATTTCCCGAATCAGATTCTGCCCCACCACAAACAAATGGAAACTCGGGCCATGAAATTGGCGAAGAGTGCCAAAGGCCTGATCAAGGGTCTGGCACCAAAACAGAAACAGACCCGACAAAAGACAACAAAGCCCTTGAAGCCCTCGCCCTTGACGACCTCACTCCCACGCGGTCATGTTGGATTAGATACTACAGAGCCAGATAAACTCTCGAGGGTCGGAGAACAAGACGAACACGAACACGCGGCGCGTCCAGCCAACATCATTGCGGAGGCACAGCGGGCCGCGACAGGGAAGTCTGCTGCAGTGATCCTGGGCAGGAGGCCGAGACACGACATGGGCCATCCTGCCACTGCCATTGCCATCCACGAGGACCAAGACGCCTCTCTGCGCGATCCTACTACACGTCGCTCGCACAAGGCTGCAAATGCCAGTCTTACTGCCACCGTCGGTGCCGATGAAATGGTGCAGACATACTCGGACGAAGAAGAGTCCGAAGACAACGGCTCCTGCTATTCTGAAGAGTCCGAGGCCAGCGAGGACGACGTCGACGAGAGCGTGGTAGAGGACATGCGCAAACTGGAGGAGAATTTCAAGGGCATTTCCCAGCGATACAGACTCATCAACCGGATTGGCGAAGGTAAGCTACTCAGAGTCTTGATCACCTTCCTCTACCGTGAACATCGTCCGCTCACTCTACGTACCAGGAACATTCTCCACCGTCTACAAAGCCGAACAACTGCCCCAGCCGGACGAGGTCGACGAGAACGACGAACCTGCCGACGACGATGCCGATCCAGACGCACCGCCTTCCAAGAGGCGGAAAACCAATGCTGCTGTCGGCAAGCCTACAAGGTCACGGCGCAAACCGCAGATGGTGGCCCTGAAGAAAATCTACGTGACATCCTCACCTCATCGTATCTTGAATGAATTGGAACTTCTCCACGAACTGCGCGACTCACCCTACATCTGCCCTCTTCTGACGGCATTCCGACATCTGGACCAGGTTGTGGCGGTATTGCCGTATTTCCGACACCTCGACTTCCGTCTCTACTACCGAGACTTCCTAGTCAATGACATGCGCCATTATTTCCGAAGTCTCTTCAACGGCCTGTGGCACGTCCACAAAGCCGGTATCCTGCATCGCGACATCAAACCGACAAATTTCCTGTACGACCATTCCCGTCGCGAAGGTGTGCTGGTTGATTTTGGCCTCGCTGAACGGCAAGGCACCGACTGGCAGCCCTGCTTGTGCACCGAGGCCAAGGATAAACGCAGAGAGAAGTTTCTCAATTCCTTTGCCGTACAAGTGCTGCACACACAGCCGGACCTGATTTCCACGGGCTATCCCAAATCCGACAGTCGGCCGTCACGGAGAGCAAATCGAGCGGGCACTCGTGGATTCCGAGCCCCAGAAGTCTTGCTCAAATGCACATCTCAGACTACCAAGATCGACATCTGGTCAGCTGGCGTCATCCTCCTCACGCTGCTGGCCAGGCGATTCCCCTTTTTCAACAGCGCCGACGACGTCGATGCCATGATTGAGATGGCTTCGATCTTTGGAAGGAGAAAGATGCAGACCGTCGCGGCCATGCATGGACAACTGTTCGAGACCAACATTGAGACCATTGGTGAGCGAGGGTTTACGCTGGACAAAATCATTATCTGGGCCAGCTGCCGCGAAAAGGAACACGACACTCTTCGAGCGGGTGAGGCTCAAGCGGTGTCGTTCCTCCAAGGGCTTCTGGAGCTTGATTGCCACAAACGGTTATCTGCAAAGGAAGCGCTACAGCATGAGTTCTTTACGGCCCCTGTTGAGGATGAGGAAGAACGGGCCGAGAGGGAGGCGCAAGAAGCAGTCGAAGAAGCCGAGAGAATGAAACGTCGTTAAAGACGTCTGCTGTCGGTCTTATTGTCCAACCAGGGAGAATGGCGGTTGTTCCTCCTCTATCAGAGCCGTCCCGTCGTTGTTCGACTGTCTAACTATGCCTTGGAGCAATTGAAACACCCAACCCGTTTGTTGCTGGAGTTGGTCACCAGCCCTTTTTGAACCGTGGGCATATTTTGACGGGACACGCCCATCCAGGACTGAGAGTGAGACTCGCGATTCAGTTCCGCCTTTATTACTAGCATATATACCCTCGTGGCATGGCATGGCATGGCACGGTGTTGCAACGGTGTATTATGGCATTGCTTGTACTGGAGCTAGGCGTCTCGTTACCTATCTACCTAATTTTGAGTTCCATGAAACCCGGTATTTAGATGAGATGCACAGAAAAACACAAGAAGACCAGACAGAGATGAAACCCAGAATCCAAACATGAACTATTTCGACCTGGAATTCGATGCCGTTCGGCTGATGTGCGTAGCAATTGTTTACAGCTTCTCTTATAGCGAAATCAATCGAGATGCGGGAGGTGCTACTACACTCAAGTACTAATATTGCCATCAACTTGACTTTCAAAATAAATCATATTGCTCTCTGGAGTGGGTTGGAAGAAACGTACTCTGCCAGGTAAGATACGTCGAGTGTCTGGAAGCCTCGAGGGGGTGCTGTTCGAAGTATCTGTCATGTACCTACATTGGCATTAATAATTATTTTTATTGTGTCATGACGCCAAATCAGCCGCACGCGACATCAATCTCATCTCCTCTTCGTTCCGGTAGTCACCTCTGGTCAGACATCATCATAGCTGCCTTCAGAGCAATCGAGATTCAAAAAAGTTTGTAACCGTACCTAAGCATGTTCTCATAACCATTTTTGGGCTCGTCGGGAGAAGACCATGCAGTATTCAAGTTCCGCACCATTACTCTTTCGTGGACCATCATCAACAACGACAGCGACAAAGCTGAGCTCGAAGCTTTTTATTTTATATACTCGTACACCATCACTTGCACTTGTACCTACGCGCAGGGCCGGTACTATTGTCTCTAGAGCAAAGGACCCCGAAGGTACTCTATCAACTCGACGTGAAACGCAGAGGCTGTTCTCATCGCGGCGATATACACATCTACCACCTTTACAACCTCCCTCTGCAGTCCATCGAACACAAACACGAACAATCACCACCTCTACAACCATGTCAGCAGGAATCCCGTCGACGCCGCCCGTCCACGATGCGAAGCGCAAACCGCGACGGTTCGCGCCGTTAGATCCAAATGCGAAGCACGGCCAGGATCTGCCGAAGTTGAAGGGCATTGTGTTTGATGTTGATGGGACGTTATGGTAAGTATGTTGAAAACCTGTGCTTGTACCACTGGAGTCAGATGGACGAATCGATCAATGCAGCGCACGTTCGGTTCACCCGTGTTCGAACTGTCCAAATCCTCTTTCCATCCAACAGAAACAGAGTCATGGCAATTTGCTCAAGTTGCTGCGACAGAACTCAAGCTGTCATGGTTGCCCAATCCTCCTCTTTCTTTCTCTGGCTCTCTTCCCTGACCTTCTTCACCCCTCATATCTGGCTTCCGCGGGCACATTTATAGCACCCTTCAAAAGCTGACCCAGAATCCAATCCAGCCTGCCGCAGAACTACATGTTCAAAGAGATGCGCGCGGCACTGGGCATTCCCAGATCCGTCGACATTCTCGACCACATCCGATCTCTGTCCAACGAACCAGATACGTCAGAGCAGTCTACAGATGGAAAAGGAGAAAAGCCGCCTTCTTCACCCGCCAACCCATCCGAGCCACCATCGGAGGAAATCCTGGCTCATAGCACGGACGAGCCGGATCCTCCCCCAATCTCACCACAAGCACGTGCCGTGGCCAAAATCCGCGATATTGAACGACATGCCATGACATCCCAGCGTCCTCAGCCAGGCCTAAAAGAGTTGATGGCTTACCTCAGCCGCCGCGGGATTCGTAAAGCCCTGTGCACCAGGAACTTCCCGACTCCCGTGCATCACTTACTGGACACTCACCTACCAGGCGAGCATTTCGACCCCATCATCACGCGCGAGACAGAAGGGATCAAACCCAAACCCAGCCCCGAGGGTATCTGGCAAATAGCTCAGGCTTGGGGTCTGGATCGAGATGTCGATGCTAGTCCCGAGGATCTGGCTGCCACAGTCACCGAAGACGGGGAGCTAGACCCGCTGGAACTGGCGCGCCATGTCCTCGGATCCGGTCTTATCATGGTGGGCGACAGCATAGACGATATGGCGGCCGGCCGGAGAGCTGGCGCCGCCACCGTGCTGTTGGTCAATGACGAGAATGAGCACTTGGCAAACCATGAGTATTCAGGGCTGTGTATAAGACGGCTTGATGAGCTGATAGACATATTAGAGAAGGGATTTGCAGAGACAAAATAAAAAGGCAATTGGAAAGCAAAGTCGAGACTTCTAAGCGGGCCATTCAATCCCTGGGATAGTAGCACGGAGCATGCACGCACAGTTCAGCCTCACCTACCGTATAATTCCTGTAGCCTGGTTATGCCGGTGATGCCAGTAGTGGTGACATCAACCGAGCTTCCTCCGTCCGTTGCAGAACCACCCAGATAGTTGGAAGCACAACACCTGGACCACAGAATAGCCAACGAGGTGGCGGTAAAGCCACATTATTCGATGTAAAGCAAACGATGTGTTGGCAAGCGTGTTATGCGGTGTGCCCGATGTTAGGCGATAAAGCTTTCTGTTGTCCCACCCCGGCAGGTCGCTGTGCAACGCAGCTTTGGGACACGGCCTCTAACATCGGGACTTGCGAGCGACGGTCAAGCCTCAACGCTCAAGTGGCTGCCATGTCGGACGCCATTATCACAGTGGAGAAGCGTGGGACGGCGGCAAGGGGCCGTAGCATTAGCATCAGACTATTTGTCCAGCCAACCGCCTTCTCGGATCTGCTAGTGACAACATCGTAAACTCCTCGCTCGTAGCAATTCAACCACTGGCATGGCAGTTCTAGCCTCCTGCGTCGGGCATGAACATTGGCGGTCAGCGAAGAGATGGACGCGGACAAGAGGATCGCGGCCGGGAGAAGGGTGATTGATGCTCGTTCTATCGTCGACAGGTGACTTTGCAAGCATGTAGCTGCAGAACATGCCTTTGCATTCATTAGTGGTGGACGCAAAGGACGGCCAAACGCCTTCACCTTGCCCCGTGGATACACTGTACGAAAAGAACGTGCTACTGTAGTCTGGCTGCAGCACCACTCGAGCGATGGCCTTGGGCCGTTGACACTGTTGGTCTGTGCTCAAGCAGCGTCACGACCTTGGTATAGTGAAGATGTCAGTGGGGAGAGGGCCGCGGCGAGGGGACGTGCTGGAATGAAGCTCGGACTGCCGCTGTCTAAATGATAACCATAATTGAACGAGGATCTGGAGAAAGAGACTGAGTGATGGACGACAGATTGCGATCCACGAACATGGATGCAATAAATAGTGTCATAGTTGAGGAATTGTCACAGCCGCAGGTGATGGTAGTAAACACTTCTTTGCGCAAGCGATGGAGGGGCGGAGGGAGAGTTGGGAACAGCTTGAAGCGAGGAGCTGAACCACGCAAATGGGCGCGCAGAAGGGCAACTAGGGTGCCTAAGGACTCCTTCAGTCGCCTAAATTATTAGCACCCGCCCCCGGCAGCATCCTAAGCCCCGGCCCGGCTGTCAACTCCCAGTAGCAACTCTCCGCCTGCGCCGTGCCTACAAACCTGCACATCTCACCACCATTGCAATCGGGCTGATGCGCAACCATCAATCTTCCTCACTGGCACTTCGTCTTTTCTTTTTCTACTCCCTCTACCGTAATGCTAGTCTTTGCCCTTTGACCGATCGTTGCATCTACCTTGAGATACCCTTGAGCGTTGTTTGTCCGCCTTTCAAGCGTACGGATCTCTGCCTCGCCTCCTGTCGCAACCTCTCGCTACGGAGCTACTGAACAATAAGCGACTCCCAGCCTCACAATTCTTTGAGGCTACCGTCTTTACAGCGGCTCCCTGCTCTCCTACCTGCAACTTGCAACCTGGGATTGTTTGAGTGACCTCTACCCATAAGCCTCTTTTCGACATTATTGAAGAAAAGCGACCGTCGCCCTTCCGAAAAGCCCTCACGCCTTTGTTTACGCCTAACGCTTCTGGGCCGGACCCTCTTGTCCCACAGCCATGACGGACCTCAACCACCTTTCTTGGAGATAATAACATAGGATTGCATCGAGCCGCGCGAAGTATTCGGCGCGTGCTCCAGACCCCGGCGTGTTTGAGGCTGCTTCAGAATGGGCTTTACGAGTCGACGCCCTATCCTACCTGCGCCGACCGACTCATTGTTGGGTTCGACCGACGACGCTGGAATCAATTCCGACGTGGGCACTGATCTCTCTCGAAGGAGTGACAAGACATCTGAGACGATACCGGAAGACGGAAGGCCCATCACCATCACTACTTCACACAAGCGTAACACGCTAGGTAAACTGGGCAAATCCAGCCAACAGTCGCAGACATCTCTCCTGATCGAGTACTTTGAGGGAAGCAAGGGAACTGATCCTGGTCAGAGGCGACCAAGTCTGAGGGTTCGTGTCACCCCGTCCAAATCGCATAAGAACAAGGACAAGGGCGAAGGACATATCTTGGTTACGGAATCCAAATCAACGCGGCGACCGTCCCATACACACGTCATCCCCATCGGAGGAAACGAGACGCTTGAGCCGAACGAGATCGATAGCAATATCAGCTCTTTGGGGTCTGCAGAGCGCCTCGCTTTTGCTTCGGCGGCCCCTGTCGAGATTGAGGTCTTACGCAACAACGCCAGTGACTTGTCCGGGCAAAGCGTATCCCCTGAGCTCAAGCCTATCATCCCAGAGTCCGATATCTCTTCCATGCCAGCGGAGAGTTCTCTGGGTCTCGATCAACCTACCACCATGTCGCAATCTGTTCCAAGGGGGAGCTACGCATCCTCTGAAAATGCGACATTGAAGCCTCCTGTTGTCAACGCTGAGCGGAACTTGAGCAATGAGCGAATTACGCAGAAGGTCATCGAGAAACTTAGCAACAAGCCTCGAACTTCGGCCGGTGGAAGGCGTTCCAGCGGGCATCGGACCACCGTCCATACAGAGTCAGAGGGCCCGAAAATTGAATCACGAACCCGCGTTACCAAGACTGTTGATGATGATTCAACCCCCAGTGCCACGAACTCCAGCCTACTCAGCGCTTCTCACTTGTCTGCGGAACCCCGGCCGGCCGATGACCGGTCAATACGCTCGGGAGCATCCAATGTGTCTATCACAAACAACCCCAAATTGTTACAGACTGTCGAAGATGCCATTCGGCGTCTGATCCTCCCTGAACTCAACGAAATAAGACGAGATCAGAAGCACTCACATCGTGTTCGACATGACAAACCGAGTAACCCTTCCGACATTTCGTCCAGTACCGTTTCCCGAGAGGAGCAAACACGGCGCAAGTCGTCAGGCAGCAAGTCAAAGCGTCGTGTAAGCCAAGAATCTGGCTCTTCTCGACACCACCATAGACGTCACAAAACAGCGGACTACGACTCGGCATCAGAACAGAGCTACGAACAATCCGAAAGTAGCAGCCTTCGCAAGGAGAAGAGATCCCACAGACATTCGAAGAGCAATCGTGCCAGGGATGTGGCTGCTGGAGCACTCGGCGGCGCAGCTCTTACAGCTGCGGCTCTGAAGTCGCACGAGTCAAATTCAAGCCTTGACTATCCTGAACAGCGCAGACGGAGAAGAAGCAGCAAGAGCCGCAGCAGTCATAGCACCAGTATCGTGGAGAGAGACGATTCCTTTTCTAAGCACAGAGTGCCTCCCATGCCATTTATCAGCGAAATTGGTACGGACCTCACGCGAAGCTCACTGCAGTCCTCCAACGATGGCGGTGCAATGACTCCCACTCAGCACGAAGTACGAGAAGTGGTACGGGGGTCTCCCCTTGAGCTACCGCTTTCGGGATCTCATACCCCTACAAGAAGCTCATTTGACCTTAAGAGAGGACTAGGGACTCATCATGCCAATTTTTCGGAGCACGACCTGTCGGCACATGATCTTACCAAAAACGCATCTCCTCGTCCTGCAGGCGGCGATGAGGCGGCTGAGGATGATATCGATTTTGCTACACATGGGTTCGCCGCCTTGACCGACCCTGAACGAGCTCGACAGTACGAGAGAAATTTGCATCAACAACACCCAATTCGACGCGGTCTCAGTCCAATCCAGAGTGTGGCCAGTTACACTACAACAGAGCCCAATCGCAACTCTATTATGCAACAACGCAGCTTGGACTCGATTGGGTCGTCTAAAAAGCTACCTCAGATGGATGACCAAGTTTCTATTTCTACCCTCTCATCGGCACCGACCACCGATTTAGCCCGCTCCAGAAGACCACATGGCTTTAGTCTGGAGAATCGCAGTGAGATCATGGGCCAGCACGGCGATTCAGTCAATAACACTCCCCATCAGGGCAGCCCAGAAGCTGTCTTTGACGAGCAACACCTGGAGAACGAAAGCTATCGCGATGCCCCATATACCGATCAAGTCACTGCAGGACAACAAGTTGCGAAAGGACGCGGAGCGATCGCGGAGTTTGTTGAGGCACCGTTGGGCGTCGAATCCGCCGTTGCATCCCTCTGTGAGCCCTCCGTGGTGGACATTCCAAACACGTCGTCTCGTATGAGTCAGGGTGATTCTTCAGGCAATAGCGACGTCCGAAGTTCTCGCACCTCTCAACGTGATTATGAGTCGCGGTACAGCGGCAGTCCACTGAAACAACAGCTCTCGCATGACAGTCGGCAGGAACAAAACTACTCAAATGCCGTTGCAGCCAAGGCCTCTCCACCGGTTCGTTCTCCTCAGGTCACTGAACACGCCGAGGATAGATCAGCTCGTTCAGTCCGGTCCGCTCAGAAGACCGTAACGGGTGAGGTTGCTGATGCTCAAGCGGAGCATTCTCCTGAATCCGATATCACCACAAACCCATCTATCATACGAGGGCCGATTGGCGGGCTCGCCCAAGGCAGCACCGACCATTGGCCATATGATCCGACACCGCCGCGCTCGCAGGCAGAGCTCAAACTTCCCCTTGTCAGCCGCGATATTGGGTCCGCGGGCACCGATCTCGTCCCTGAAGCCCTGACCATCAATCGTGACCACGAATTGGACCCAAACCGGGATCCATATGTGAAACCACAATCTCTGGCAACACCGCCTGGCGCGAAAGATGAAGGTTATGAGACAGGGGCCAATGCTCGTTCTCCCGGCCTCTATTCTCAAGGTCAAGCTGCGCACAATGATCGTTTCACGCCGGAAATGCCACTGGACAATCATGGGCCTCATGAAGACCCCTTCACCAATCCGCGTGAGCAGTACATAAGTGGTCTATCGCACGGGCTGTCTCCCATGTACGATAGCGCGACAGGCCGAGGCCGCGATCACATCCAGTCGAAAGATATTGTGGCTCTCATGGACCATCTGACTGTCCGCGACGCCCAGCGGAACGCACGGGACACGGAGATCTTGGTCACCTTGGTTCGTAGTGCTGCTGAAATGCGCAACTCGTTTGAGGACATGAAGAACTTTATCGCCAAACAGGATGAAGCGATACTGGACGTGACGGAGAAGCAACACGAGAGGACACAGAAGGTGGTCGGCGGGCCTCGACCACAACCCGTACCAACTGCACGACCAGTGAAGTCTGCTATTTCTGAAGAAGACCTGCCTACAAAGCGTCGCAACGTGTTTCAGAGAGCACTGCGTGGACTTGGAGCTAAGAACACGCAAGAGCTGCAGAATATCGAAGCCATGTTAATGCGACTTCTGGATGAAGTCGAGGGTCTCCGTGTTCTGCAAGTCACAAGTGGTACACAGGAGCAACCTCGATCCACCAGTTTGGCGTCTGCAGACAATGCTCGTGCTCCCACGGACACGGGCTATGAGCCTGAAGGCCAAGCTGGCACTTCTTCCACGGGTGACCGTTCAGGGTTTTTCTCGAACAATTCTTCCCGCCAAGCTGACTACCGAAACTATAATATCCGTCGAGATTCTGGTAACCGGGTCAGCACGGTCATGGAGGGGGATGAAGAGTATGATGACTATGGTGAAGACCTTGGGGCAGGAGCTCCAGGAAATATTCAGAGCCCCGGCCATGCGGCAATGGCGAATACATCCGACGGCAAGAGACATGCTCGTGGCGGTTCTGTACCTCTTAACACTCCACCACGAATGCATGACCAGAACGTGGGATCCCTCAGCAATGAGAACACACCTCATCTGTCTACAGGTGAGGGTTCTGGGCGGAAGCACAAGTCGTTCGCGTCGTCGTTGTTGCCCAAGATGGTCTCGCGGTGGTCCAAGACGACCGCATCGTCTGGGGACAACTACCGTAACAGCACACAGCGCATTCGGCCCTATTCAGACTCTAATTTTGGCGAGTACGACTACGAGCAAAACCAGCGGATGGACGAACGTGCCCATTCAAGCGCGTCGTACCATGATGAATACAATGGCGGAGAGGACCGTCCACCGTCACCCCTAATCCCCAGTCAAATTTCCGACAATCCCAAATATCAAGCTCATCGAAATAGCGTCAACCTCCAGCACCCTCAACCCAGACAAGGCCCAACTGGGCGGTTCCAGTCGCGGTTGGAGTCGGAAGCGCAAAACTACAACGATCAGCTCTCCCCCACTTCGCAAATCTCATCTCAATGGGATAACAATTCAGGGTTGCACAACCCAACCGCTGACGAAACGCAATACGGGAGACAATTCAGCCCGATTTCGGATATGGGATACTCCGACAGACATGGGACACATCTTGACAACAGGAGTATCCGCTCTGGAAACTCTCAAGCCCCTCCTCGACCGCCCAAGATTCTGAATGATGAGCCCTTGGTGCCTCAGCGCCCTCCCAAAGTCCTGATGAGTCCTCCTCTAGGGCAGAGGCAGCCCACGTACGTCGACCATGTGGCCGCTGCCAGGGCTGGGAGTCCTGCTTATGACAAGGTATGTACCGAGCCAATCCTAGACTGTTATTATGGTATGCTAATGATGAGACAGTCTCCCGTTGCGGCGCTACGGTCGCCCCAGAGCCAGGCTCCGGGACGAAAGCCATCCGGACCCAGACCCCTTGCGAGCGGCGGCGGTTCCAAAAGTGATATGAATGCGGTCAAGAGGACTCGCTTTAGGGGCAGCCCGAATCAAATCGACAGCGATGATGAGGTTATCAGCCCATATTGATGATGTACAAACGACTCGTCAATATCTGATGCTCTTAGTGGTAATGAGCGGGTGACATTTTCGATTGCTTTTGGGCGTTGAAGTTGCCGATAAAGACATGGAAAAAGAACATGATAGATACCCTCTTTCGCCAGCTGGTTTCGACTACGACGTTGTAGTCGTTCAAGTTGTGGTTGCATAGCTGGCATGTGCCTATCGCGGACCGTCTTGGATACTAGTACCGGGCCTGGAAATAATGACTATCGTTTTGTTTTCACAACTTGGACATGCTTATATCTAGAAATGATAGTCTGTCTTCCTTACTTACAGAACTCTTGCACAGTAGTAGACAGGGCTGTTGATCCGGAGTGCCAGTGTGCTCCAACTTGAACCTGGTTCAAGTTATGTACTAGTATCCAAACCCCCGAGGCTGGACGAATTGAATGTCGATCGCTTAAATGAATTCCTGAGGACACCTGAAGTCCAAGTTGGTGCCTCAGGCCAGATTTACATTGCACGGCCACGGGGCTCGCCACGATTGGTTGCCTCGCCTCCCTCGCAACCAAATTGTGCCCATCACACCTTTGAACGCACCCCTCGCATGCCGGTCATGCGCACTGTATGGTTGTTCGTGTAACTATATCCAGGAAGTGTGGCATGCGCCAATCCACTGATTGGTCGTAACCAACAATTTCGCGGCCCAAATCTATATCCATATCCATATCCCTCGGTCACCAACACCAGCACCTTCCCCGCGTGAGTAGGGAGGTCGCAAAACGAACAAAAGCAGAAGGTTCATGGCTGGAGAAGTGAAAAGTCGGAAGACGCGACGGAAAGATGATGGCGAGTCCGAGTCTCTGAGAAGATCACACAACAGCAAAAGACCCCTCAAGGATGGCGGCAGCGGCGGTGCGACGACGAGATCGAGGACGTCATCTTCTACTACCACTACCGAGAAGCAACGCCCCCCAGCCGACCTGGATGCGCTCCGAGAGGCACGTCTCACGTACCTGGCGGCGGCGGCCAACAACACCAACAAGTCAAAGTCAAAGTCACCCGAAAACAAGGACAAGGACAATGACAAACGGCCAGAAGAGAAGATGAAGTACGAATACGTCAAACGGACGCGAACGCTCGCCACCGAGGACAAGGAAAAAGAAAAGAGACGTCGCAGCAGGACGGGATCAGTATCAGTATCGAACCACCACCACAACCACAACCACAACCACAGCCATAACTACAGATCTGATACAAAGAAGTCTCCTCAAAAATCGTCCATGGCATTGGATAGCAAGAGCAAGCGTCGCGCGCAGGCGCAGGACAAGGACAGCGAGGACGAATATGTATATCGCAAAGAGGAGCGGGAATCTATACGCAATAGGACCCGAACAACCGTACCAACGTCCAAGCATAAGAGTAAACCCCTACGTGTGGATATGGATACAATCGCAGACCATCATGGAGAGACAAGACGACGGGCCCCTGAGCGCAGGCATACTGAACCGGTTACTACTGGTAGTAAGCGACGGTCACGTCACGGAGAACAACAAGAAGAAGGAGAAGAAGAGTATGTCGCTCTCTCTGTAACCTAACCTTCGATTGAAAATATATGGGCTAATAATGTTTTTCTGCCAGGCCGTCGAAGACTACACATGAAACAGAAGCGATGTATTGCCAGAGCAATGGGCCTGCTGGAAAAGCACAGCGACCACGACCACCTACGATCAAAAGAAGTGCGACGACAACAACACCAATAGCGAAGAAGACGAAGCCCAAAACTGAAGCTGGAACTGGTGCTGGCAATCCCAGTCCTCGAAAACCACCCAGTCTATTCAGCGCCCTTCTCCTCCCCAAACCACCCACTGCACCAAAACTAGTCTCATGCCTAACCTGCGGCTCCGACGACATCCCCAGCTCTGAATCCGCCAAACTACCATGCACCCACCGAATGTGCCACTCATGCCTCAAACGCATCTTCAGCATGTCCATCAAAGACCCAGCGCACATGCCACCTCGATGCTGCACCGACCAACACATCGACCTACGTCACGTCGACAAACTATTCGACCAGAAATTCAAAGTCCTCTGGAACCGCAAGTTTGAGGAATACAAGACCAAAAACCGGATCTATTGTCCCGCGCGCCGATGCGGTGCCTGGATCAAACCGCATTACATTACCGTCGAACACGGGCGCAAAGTCGGCCGATGCAAGCAATGCAAGACGCGCGTCTGTGGGATTTGTTCGCAGAAAATGCACACCAGCCGCGATTGCCCGAAAGATCCGGCCACAAAGGCCTTTGTTGAGGTTGCAGAGAAGGAAGGCTGGCAGAGATGTTATAATTGCTCGGCGATGGTCGAGCTCAAGGAAGGTTGTAACCATATGACTTGTCGCTGTATGGCTGAGTTTTGCATGTTGTGTGGGTTGAAGTGGAAATCTTGTGATTGTCCTTGGTTCAATTACCATGCTGTTGATATGCGTTTGGGAGAGGGGGATGAAGAGGGAGATCCGATACGGTATCAGCAGGAAATGGATCGGAGAAGAGATCAGATTCGGAGAGATGAAGAGTTGGCTAGACGGATGCAGCAGTTAGGTATTGGTATCTTCAACGGTGTTGGTGTTAACAATAACCGGCAAGCCGACGGTGAGGGCGAGGACGCTGGTGCTGGGAATGGGAACCAGAACTTCATCCAGCAGGCTCGCGAGGCGCTGACGGCAAATTACGCCCAGGCGGGGCAGGCGGCTCGAGATCTGTTGAATGGGTTTGTCATGGGCCGCGAAAATCGGATGCCGGGTATGCCGGTGCAGATGGAACAGATGTTGGAGTTGCTTGGTGGTGGCGGTGGTGGCCAACAACCTCGAGCGCGACCCCAACCGCAGGATCCAGCCGAGCAAGAAGGTCAAGACGATACACAAACATACGACAGACCTGAAGAAGTAATACGGCATCGTCGTGGTGATGGGAGACCTCGAAGGATCTCCGTCCGACGCAGGACCGCCGTCCCCGACGGAGCTGGAGGTCATCGAATTGCTAGAGATCATGATCATGTTGTCGAGGACCAGAACGGAAGACGGATTCAGGACTGGGCTAACAGTGTACCTGTGCCTTCTTAACGTTACAAAGACGACAAAAACAGAGGCGCAAAACCTGCAGTGAACAGAACGAAACGAACGTGATGCATCACAAACATTTGAACAGGACACGACGGAAATCTACCTATTGATATTTATCAAAACAACGATCCTTTGCCGCACAGAAATGTCGAGAGAGAAATAAATTGCTGGATGGATGCGATGGATTGGTTCGGTTTGGACAGAGAAGAATGTCTTTCCCCTTTTTTCACTATGAGAGGTCCTTCTCCTCGAACGGTGAGATGACTACAAATCTACGATGGATGAGATGACATGACGACGAAAACGACGATGACGACGACGATGGGAACACTAATGAATGATTCGAACTTTTTCTATGCAGGCTTTGTCTTTTAGCTTTGCAGGCGCTCTAATTCACGGGCAATGGGGAACGTTTCTAAGGACAGACAGGTAGCGACTGGTGGGTTATATCTGGGTTGAGATCATATATACATGGTAATATCGAGAGAGAGATTCACTGGCATGAGCTCGAGCTCGAGCTCGTGAGCAGAACATATTTACTTTCTAATGTCAAGCCACTGATGGATATCCTATCTGGATGATATGATTCTCTTCACTTTACATTCGTCGATAATCAATGAAGAAATGCCTTATGATCAATCTGTTCAATCTTGGTATTCAGAATACCCGATCCATGCTTTTTGCTATTTTCTTTTGATATAGAGGAGGTACCTACGATAGCTACTGTACCTAGCTACCTAGCTACCTGGGTATATACCAGGTAGGTAAGATTTCTCCCGCGATGTGAACTTGCAATACGCGCGCGCGGTGCGAATGGAATTGAACGGCAGCAGAACAGAATTCCAAAGTCCCGGCTCCGCTCTGTGCTCAACGCCGCTGACATCCAAAAACAACCAAGCAATCACCAGAGGGGGAAAAAAAATCAAGACCACCAATCCAGAAACGACGGATGGTTTTGTTTGCTGGTCGGCGCTTTTGGCGCTTTCCAGTTTCTTTCGTCATATAGTCCACACACCGACACAATTCCTTCATCACTCAGTATGTATGCCTGATGCGAATGGATTTGAAATCGCGAATCGAATCCGAGAAAGCGCAAAAGTCAAGAACCCTCCGGGCTTTGGCTGAGATGCTCAAATAAGTACGTCCTCGAGATCATGTTGTGTCGTGTAACCAATCACCATGGAGTGATTGATCGTCTCTACCCGCTTTGCACGTCCAAGGGCTTCTCCTCTGGGCATTTCAGCCAAAGAAGTGACACCCAAGGGCGTCTCGTCTAGAAAGTCTTGAGGTTGTCAGCGACCTTGAAGGGAGCTTCGGTCTTTGCCTTGACCTCGTCGACGGTGACGCCCTCGGCGACCTCGATCAGAGTCAAGCCGTTGGTGAAGTCGACGTCAAAGACACACTGGAAGAAAAGAAAGTGGTTAACTTGAGCCACTCAGGATTCTGAACAGTTCATATCAAAACTTACCAGCTCAGTAATAATTCTGCTGACACAAGCGCGACCCGTAAGCGGGAACTCGCACTGTTTCAGAATCTTGGGGTTACCCTTCTTGTCAGTGTGCTCCATCAGAGCGACAACTTTGGTCTTCTCCGGGTTAGAAACAAGATCCATAGCACCACCAAAGCCCTTGACTTTGCCGGGCAACATCCAGTTAGCCAGATCACCACGGGCGGAAACCTGCATAGCGCCCAACATGGACATGTTGATGCGGCCGGAGCGGATCATGCCAAAGGACTCTTCGGACCCGAAACACGAGGCGCCGGGGTTAAGAGTGACAGTCTCCTTCCCGGCGTTGATCAGGTCTGGGTCTTCCTCTCCCTTCTTTGGGTAAGGACCGAGCCCAAGAATGCCGTTCTCGGATTGCAGCTGAACTTCAACCGAGGGATCGACGAACGACGGAGCAAGCATGGGCATGCCGATGCCCAGGTTGGCGTACATGCCGTTCTGGAACTCCTTTGCGGCACGCTTGACGATACGTTCGCGCTTGGAGGCCGTGTCTCCTTTGCCCAGGCTGTCCTTGATATCTCCCTCGCCTTCCTCCTTGCGGTTGACGTACTTTTCAATCTTCTTCTCGGCTGTGGATTGGATCACCTTGCTGACGTAGATGCCCGGCAAGTGTACGGCGACAGGGTCGATCTCGCCCACCTCGACAATGTGCTCTGCCTCGACGATGGTGACCTTCGCGTTGCGGCCCATGGCACCGTTGAAGTTGTTGGCCGCCAGCCGGAACTGGCAGTTGCCCAGTTTGTCGGCGCGGTAGGCTTTGACGAATGCGTAGTCACCTTGGATGGCCTCTTCCATCACGTAGCTTTTGCCGTTGAACACTTTGACGTCGCGCGGCTTACCGAACGCAGCCACCGTGCCGTCCGGGTTGTGTCGAAGTGGGATTTCGCCCGTTTGCACTACCGTCCCGAACGCAGCGGGCGTGTAGAATGCTGGGATACCTTTGCCGCCTGCCGCGCATCGTTCGGCCAGCGTGCCTTGCGGTGTAAGTTCCAGCTCCAACTCGCCGCCCAAGTACATTTGTTCCAGAACCTTGTTCTCTCCGACGTAGCTGGCTATCATCTTTTTGACCTGTCGAGACTCCAATAGTTGACCGAGCCCGGCGCCGGGGATGCCTGCATTGTTGGACACGGCTGTCAATCCTGTGATCGAGGGTGTCTTTGCAACCTCGTTGATCAGCGTGTCGGGAACGCCGCAGAGACCGAATCCTCCGCACAGGAGCGTCGAGTTGGACTTGAGGTCCTTGATTGCCTCGGCGGCAGATGGGACGATCTTGTTGATTTCATTGCGGCGGAGCGTGGAGGAAAAGGAGCGTGCGAACATGAGGTTTTGCTTGAACAAGCAGTTAGTTTTGGGTCTCTACGGCTCCCTGATGGAAATGCTAATGCTATGCTCACTCACCTGTCTCTTGTTGCGCGTGAAATACCGCGCTGTCCGCCAACACCTCGACGCCTCACTGGATGCGCGCATCGTGGACTCGAGAAACGACATTTTGTTTCTGACTCTCCTTCTCTCTCTCAGTCAAACCCGTGGATTCACTCGATGGAGCAACCGGCAGACAGGTCGTAAATCCAGGTCAAAGGCAGGATCGGATTGTACAGTAGGCAGTGAGACGCCCAAGGAAGACAGACGACAAGACAAAAAGCGTGCGGAAAGCTTGAGAAAACAAGACTGATGACTATGAGTCCTTCTCGCCCTCGCCCTTAGCTGTCGACTTGTAGGTAAGCTACGGCTACTAGTAATATAAACTACTATCCGAGCATCGGCTCGCAGCGCGGAGGTTGATATTTGGAGACGGGCAGGACACGGGGAGGGATTGAGAAACGACGAAACTGACCCCACCGGGGGCGAGCGAGCCCGGAATCATACCGTCGGTGTCCTCGAGCGGGACTGGGAATGGGACTGGGACTGTCGACCAGTATTGGGCAAAGTGTGCCTCTGTCTGGGGGGGAGGACGGTACAGATCCGATGCGAAGGAGAAGCCGCGGCGCAGGCGGAATTGTCCTCTCGGCCGCTGCCAGGTATCCAACCCAACCCAGCCAGGCCGTTACTTATTCAATTAAAAAGAGGGCGTTTGCGGTCTATTATCACGGCAGCTACACTCTCGAATTTTACTGCAACAGTTCGCTTTCCAGCATGTTGCCTTTCTGTCACGACGCGCACCGAAGGTCCAGGCGAGTTGAGGAGGAGCTGCGTGACCTCGCACGTGACCATCGTCACTACAGTGTATAGTGGATAGTATGGGCGCGGTATTGTCGGCCCTGGCGCACGGCAAAGAATCCTTGCAGCAACATTGGCCACGGGATATCTACAACGTACTACTACGATTAATTTTATAGCAAAACGCCTTATCTGCTCGGAGACAATAATATTTCAAGGAGATATGGCAGCTTTTAGGGGTTCGTATTTGCAGCGTCAAACAGTTCTCCGGGCGTTGGCCGGCCTCATTGGTCTCCCGAGTTCTTACCCGGCAGTATCCGTGTCCACACCAGCGCAGGCCTCACATCCGATGATCATCAACAGTTCGCAGCGAACCGCGCCGAACAGCCAGATCAGGGCGAGACCACTAAACAGCCAACACCTGTGATTGTGGGATCGCATTCATTAGGCATAGATGCCTTCAGGGGACGGTGAAACGTCAAGTAAAATATAACGGCCACTAATAGTAACGCAGAATAAATGATATGTACGGTTCTTTTGCCACGGGTAGCTTCCGGTCGTCAAACGCGTGCAGCCCCGAAATGGGCACTATCCCATTGCGTGTTATCCGCATAACGAATCCACCAACGCCATGCTATGTCGTATAATAAAGGCAAATTTAATGATATTAATGAAGAAAGTCGGACCACCGATACCTTCAGCTTTGACAAGAAATCACCCGCAGTCCATGTCGTTGGAGGACTCCTGGTCCTCCTCGCGCCCAGCAGACTCCAGATCGGCGGCCGAAGCAGCACTGTAGCTCGCCCCGGCTGTCGCCGCAAGGCTACCACTCAGGGTTGCTCCTCCCCGAATAGCAATCATGTCAGAATCTTCGACTTGAGCGGCCGCAGTGTTGAGAGCTCGGGCTCGGGCTGCCTCCAAAGCACCCAGCGAGCTATCTTCCGAATACTCTTCCCCAGGCCGCTGATCGGTAGAGCTTGATGACCACTTCCACAAAAGTCCGGCCGGAGCAGGAGATTCTTCCTCGGAGGACGACCGAGACGTCGAGTCGCTGTCAAGGTAGTCCTGCTCTCCACTGGACGAAGAACTGGTGAAGAAAACGTAGCTTGGTGGCGGCAGGCGAGAGGGTTGAAGCGTCAGCATGGTGGTTTCAATGACGCGGTAGCAATAGCCTGACGCCTTGCGTCTCCCAGTCACCTCCGGGCTCGCAATATGCACCTTCGTCCTTTCCACCTTCACATCTATAGCAAAGTTGTCTTCCGGCCGAACACCGCCAATGCCAGATGCTTCCAGCTCCATTGGCTGCGTCTCATCTTCGCCCGCGGAGGTGATAGGTGGGATTTCCCAAGAGAGATCGGGACATTGGTCAGGTGAGCAAGGTTGAGCTTCTTCGGCAGGCAAGACGAAATAGCAAGCAGAGGCGTCGCGAAGATTGTCCTCTTCTGGACGCGGCTTTTCGAAGATTCCCAAAACCGCTTCGGAGTACGGATGTACATCGGTCCTCGAGGAGACGAGCAACTTTTCACCACTCAGGTCAATGCAGAAATGAGGATTGCTGAAGATTGTCAAGAAACCTTCGCGCGAGTCTGGGCTATTCCCAAGGCTTGGTCGACCTAAAGCATCGGGAGGGCCGGTGGCATCCGGGGACACGTCGCCAGATGAGCTTGAAGAATCCAAGTAAGACTTATGGCCTTTCGCAGGGTGCTTCTTCCCACGGTACACGATTGGCTTGTAGTCAAACGACGAGGCCTTTGACGACAATGCCGACGGCTGACCAACGGCCACGTTGGAGGAAGTTGCAGTGGAGTCTTCCCTTCTTGATAGAGCATGACTCACACTCGGCGAAGCTTTGTCGTCTAGAAGCGATGTAGGAGCAGCTTCATTGAGCGTGGTTGCTGCACTTCTCGCGCTCCGGCGCCCGCCCTCGTCGCCCGCCTCTTCCAAATTGGTTTGCGTGATAGCAGCCGGGCTATGTTCTGTTGGATGTCCACTGGGTTTGTTAGGATCGCCCTTCCAGCGAATCTTGTGTCCATCCTTCGAAAGCTCAAACTTAGTGCTCTTTGCCTTTACAGCTTTGCGAATAAAGGCAGGAGTGACATTGAGCGTATGAAGCTGGGCCATACTCATGAGCAGATTCAGATACATCCACGGCTGTTCCTGAGTATTCGTGGCAGTTCCAAATTGTGGTGATGAGAAACCTAGATGTTGAATGTACCGGATGTTATCCACCGCGATTTGTGCCCGATGTATATCCAGATCTAAGGGTCGAGTAGGTCGTTGATCTGGGGTGCCAGGGTGGTCCAGACTTGATCCTGGAGTGTCGCTTGAAGCAGTCTCGTTGGCTGACGGATTTCCCCCACGCTGTCCATTATCTTGAGGAATCGAGTCGAGGTTGATACTTGAATCTGGTGGGAGAACGTGTGCCTCGCGTGCACCCTCCGGCTTACTTGTTCGGTTCAGTTTGAGATCTTCCCGGCGATCTGCCTTGGCTGCAGAACGAGAAATCTTCTGTTGCTGGACAGGTAGAGAATGTTCTCCTGGCACTGCCAGCTTGCCGGTGAACAACTGCTCCAGCCTCTGGACCACGAGTTCCATTTTCGTGCTCTCGCTGACAGACAGTGTGTTCTGCGGGAACAACGAGTCGGGGATGTCATGCAGATAGCTTTTAATATCCGAGTCTTTCCGGCTTTTGTTTTCGGCCTCCTGGATCCTCGGGTCACCAGCATTGGACGTTGAGTGAATGGCTGAGTTGGAGATAGAAGCGTATCCGGAGTCAGTGTTGGTGTGCTCCAGTCCGGGGGGTTTATTAGCACCAAAAGGTTCAGCATTGGTATTGCCGTTGCCAGGCGCAGGCTTGCCCACGGATCGTGTGGAACAACCACTAGGTTCCGAAGCACTCTCGCTGGCGACTCCGGTTGCAAATGTCTTCAAGAGCTCTTCCAGTTCTCTTTTCTTTTCCGGTGGCAATCCGTGAGTGCGAACTTCAATGACCCGATCTGGATCACTGCTGGCAGGACTCGCCCGGCATTGCCGGGTACGGAGTAGACTCTTCAACTTTTTGTTTTCGACGGTCAAATCATCAATGACTCCGCGCAGCTCATCATTCTCGCTGTCGCCTCTGCCTAACTGTCCGAAACTTTCCGCATTGACAGACCGAAGATTGTGTGACGGTTCATATCTTTTTTGATGGGTCATATAAAAAGGCGACTCATCTAAACCAGCATTAGCATAAAAGGAGGCTTTGAAAGGCGGTTTGTGGCCACCTTCGCGCCTCGCAGGCTTCTTCGCTGGACCTTCGACATTCTCATTTGCCCTTCTAAACCATTTGGCGCCGCTCTGGTCACTGCTCGACTCTCTCTCTCCTGGTGCAGTCGCCCGGGGTGACGCCGCTATAGCCTGCCGAGCGGATGCAGCGGCCGATTCATCAGAGCTGGGGATCGGATCGATCCGGACTTTCTTGTTCGTGGGAAGCGACGTCGATGTTGAGGGAAGAGAAATGCCCTGGTTGGCGTTGATTTGGGCGAACGATCGTTTAGGTGACCGTGCCGACGATGGGGGATTGTCTAACATTCTGCGGCATGGCTCCAGAGTCGCGATCAGGACGACCTGGAGGAGGGGCGGTTCGAGAAAGGGTTCGACGCTGGGTAAACTGGCTTAAGGTCACGTCGTGGGCTCCAACGTGACACGATGAGTCTGGTTGTGAGGTCGATACGTTGTAGTAAGCTCTGCAGGTTGATGCCTTACTCCCGATTTTGCATGGTCAAATCGATCAGGAGCGGCGCAGGGGGTTGTGGTATTTTATTCCGACGCCGTTGAAGCGAGCTGTCGTAGAACGACAGCAAGGTGGTGTGGTCGGAGGCGAGAGAGATGATTCTACCACATTTCCGCAGGACCTTGCCATTTTGGCCAGTGGAGAGGGGCTGAAGGGGTTGAAGCAAGGTTGTCTTTGGCTCGATCGCCAGTGCCCTTGAGGGAGAGATGAAAAAAGAGCACACAGATCGGACATCAGGCTTCTGGATCGCGATTGAGGCCAAAAGCCGCCAAGCACTATTGCAGGCATTGGCCGGGGCGGCTGACTGGGGGCCCACTGTCCCGAAGCCCATTGCATTGCTCCCAGCGATCACAGCCCATCATCGACGCTTGCCACAAATGGTTTGACCACGAATGGCCTGAGCCGGTCACTTGCAGGCCTACCAGTTCTCCAACGACTGCGTACTCTAGTGTAGTGCAGTCCGCGCAACGGGTGCCCTCGTGATCTAGGCCCCTGGCTATGATCTTCTCCTTGCGCTGTTCGCCACCAGGCACATCGCCGATTTCTGGTTGCCTGTGTTTTACCCCTGGTTGTGATTGGGTGGTTCGTTTCAGGTGTCTCGAAGTGTCTGGCCATGCGTCGACCATGTGATTGTCATGTTCTAGAACGGCCGGCCCTGAGGGAATAGTCTACCGTTTCGTTGATCATTATTCGATTTCCATCGTACCTATGTGATGTAAAGTATCGCATCGTCAGCTGTACACATATGTTCGGTTCTCGACTTTTTATATGTCGGTTTTGCTGGGGATCTTCTCAGGAACAAGACACTCAGGGCCTCAACCTGGCCAAGATGGCCTCGACAACTTCACGCTCACCAGCCTGAGCCTCAACGAATAGGATGCCAGATTCAATGACGTCGGAATACCTTTATTTCCATAGTATCACGTGATACAAAGTCACGTGTCAGAGGTGCTTTCGGCACAATCGTTTTCCCTCCGTGACCGTGGCATTGGTGCTAGCAGGGAGTAGCTGTTCCACGGTGGCCTCAACACAGATGGTTTTTCTAATGCACTGCAGCAGCTTTCGACCCAGCTACCTAAGGTACCGTTGTATTAGGTACCTAGTTGTACAATGTACTATTGTAGGTACTGTGCTACTATGAAAGGCACACCATTAGCTTGAATGGTAGAGGTGCCTGGTAGCTGGACGCCCAGTGGTAGAGACCACGTGCCGTCCACTTCCTGGTAGCAGCACCCACAGCTTCGGGTGAAGCTGCTGGACCTGGCACCTACAGTAATAGCCTTGGTACTGTAGCCTAGGGCGCCTGAAAGCAAGCTTTTCTTTTGGCAGGTCCCTGGCCGATAGCTTAGCTCCCCGTGTTTCGCGATCCCCAGAGCTTACTCCCTAGGTACCTTATCAACTATCAACCGTTGACCAATTGCTCTACTTTGGCCCCTGTTAGCGAAGGGTTTACCATCCACCGCGAACAGGGTCCGTCATTGCGGCCGACCATTGACAGCGCCTTCAACAATCTGTGTAGCAAGCACAATACTTTCTTCTGCTGGCTGATCTGCAGCTATTCGTCATGCAACTATCACCTCATCAATGCCGCGGCTGAATGGTACCTAGAATGGCACATTGGGGGGCTGACTAACTTTCAAAGCTGGTTCAAATTTAACTGACCATTTTTGCAGCTTTGAAGCTTCTCGCTTGTGATGAACATTATGCAAAAATACTATATACTAGTAGCAGTGCTATCTTGAACACCACCTTCTGGTTCAAGCAACAATATGTCGGTTGCGAATGCCGGCTTAGTTGCTGCCGCAACTGGTCCAGAGCTGGCCGATGAGGCAGATCATAATGCACAGCTTTCGCCAGATCCCCAAGATGAAGAACGTCTCGTGGCCCCTGACCAGTTCGATCCCAACTACGAAACATCAAAATGGGAGCGCTGGGCGTATTACTGCTATTACGTGGGGAACAACGGGCTGACCCTCTTCAACTTTGCACCGACGTTGTTCCAAGACCTGTTATACCAGGCCGCCGGTGACAGTGGCCGACTTCAATTTCTTGGTGCTTACCGGACCATCAACAGCATTGTACTGCTTACCAATGGCATTTCCTTTGCAATTCAGGTTGTTCTGTTCCTCCTCTTGGGCAGCATGGCAGACTATGGCAGGTGGCGGCCATGGATCCTGGTTTTCTGGACCATTGTAGCCTTCGGACTGGGCTTCGGGTGGCTTGGAGTTCATACTCAAGAGAAATGGCCCGTGGCCACGGGTATGTACGCAACAGGATTGATTGCGTACCAGATGTGCATAACTTTCTGGACCGCCGCCTTTCCCGGATTGGCGAGGAACATGCCCGAGATGCGACAGAAGGCCGACGAGTACGAAAAGCGAGAGATCACTCGAGATGACTACGATTTCGCCGACATGATGGAGCGCAACAGAATTTATAACGTCGCATTTATTATGCAGAGTGGAGGCGAGATTATCATCCTTGCAATCCTTGTCGGCATTTTGTTTGCGCTGAATGTCAATGCAAGTGCCGCCAACAATCTCTGGGGCCTATCTGTTCTAATCGCCTACGCCACGGGCGTGTGGGTGCTGCTCGCCATTCCTTGGTTCATGATCGAGAAGAAGCGACCAGGGCAATCCTTGCCAGCTGGAACGAACATCATCAGCGTGGGCTTTTGGAATATTTACCGTGCCATAACACAGATCTGGGAATTGAAGCAGAGTCTGTTATACCTTGTTGGTAAGCATTTTATCTGCCGCACGCTGGTCGAATTGAATTGGTCTCTTTCTAACGTCCACTGAGGGTACTTCTTACTCGGCGATTCTCTTAACACGACCGTCACCGTGATCGCAACTCTGCAGAACTCGGTGGTTTCTTACAACACCTTGACACTGACTTATCTACTCATTGTGGGTATTGCAGCTCAGGGTGTGGGAATCTTTGCGTACTGGTTCATTCAGAAACGATACGGGTTCAGCACCAAAACCATGTTCGATGCCGTAATGATCGGCATACTTGTCCTCGACGCCTGGGGGCTTATTGGAATCTGGACCCAGCGGTTTGGTTTCCATCGGGAGTTCGAGTTTTGGCTCTACCAGACCTTCTACGGCTTGTTTGTTTGCCAATGGTACGCCTACAGCCAGACGATGATCAGTGAGGTCACACCTCGCGGAAAAGAGTTCCTATTTTTCAGTTTATATTCAGTTACTGGAAAGGCTTCTGCGTTTGTTGGACCAATAGTAAGCAGCGCCATCATTGATGCGGATCCCAAAGGAAACGACAGCCTCCCTTTCTACTTCCTTTTTGGGATCAGTCTGTTGAGCTTCGGCCTGCTCTTCTTCTTCATCGATTTGAAGAAGAGTCGCCGGGAACAGGAACGATTTCTGGCGAAGGAAAAGGCTGCAAAGGAAAGACGTGCGAGTATTATCAGTTCAAGGCGGTCATTTGGCGATGGCACCACGAATGAGACGTCACCAGGCCGGGAAGTTCACAAAGTCAAGACCGGAGAGTGAAGGGATTATGGTCTCTACAATCGTACTTGTTCGATTTACAGACAATTCTGGGGCTAACGACCAACGATTTTTACCGCCGCAATGCTGCGTCCATACCCGCTCAATCCGGTTATACGAGCAACGAGGTTCACTGATCTAGAAGCCCTGGTGTTTAGCGATATGAAGGCGGCACGGTGTGCGACTGTGGTCTCCTTTTTCTGGTATCGGAGGACATCCTGGTTTTCTGCCTTCGCTCCATGTCAGCATTGGCCTTGGCTTTGGACTGATAGGTGCGAATCGTTCGTGATGGACATTTCACTATCAACATCATTTGTTTCGATGGGTGAAATCATGAGTCAAGCAGTCTGAGTTGCATCCAGCAAAGCGAAGAAGAGTATGATATAGGAACGGGATACCCCAAGGATAAGGCCTTAACGATAAGCCCCTTGCCGTATATTCGTCTTATTTGAACGGCTCTCGCCGAGACGAGACGACAGTGTGCCTGCTCGATGGCTAGCATAGTCCTGCCTTTCATGAGTTTTACGCGGCGAGAACCATTGGCTGGACCCGATACGAATATACTCGATGTCCTATTCTCTTACTGTACGCATCGCAGCAACAGTACCAGCGTGAACCACATCCATTCAGCGGGCTCTCGGCCTTTTGTGATATTTCATATTCGCCCCGCTACTTAACGTCGATACCGCCGGCCAGTGGAAGCATCGCCAATGGCGTAACCTGACCTAGTGAATCTTATACTTGATCTGAGTACGAAAGCCTGTGAAAGCCGAGGGTCGGGTTTCCTCACCCCACAAGGGATCATTCAAAAGGACTACAAAATAGCTTTGAGGCGCCGCTTACGAATGGAGCAATCGACCATTTGACTCGGCGACACCTGGATCGACTAGCCGCAATGCTGATGCTCGACTCCAGGAACAACGCAAAGAAACCACTTGGCTAGGTCATTCAGTGCATCAATGAGCGCCAATGGCCAGGGGTTCGTCTGGTTTTTATAAGGATTACCAGACAAAAGAGGCACTGTCACGATGATTGCCAGCTAGTATCAGATAAGTGGGCACCGAGTCAGTACAGTGGTGGACATGATCGATTTGACGGCGCATCGGACCACCAAAGTCGGTTCGTAGGACCATAACATCACGACTTCGGGCCATCGCTCGATCGATGGGTGGGACCGCAGGCTCCGTTTTTGCTCTGGCGGTGAGCTCGTCAGCAAAGGCGTGGAACAGAGTTTGTCCATCGGCATGGCTTTTCCGAGCGGACCAACTAGCATCCTTCATCCCCTAGAGTTTCTGGACATGGTAATTGTTTCCAACAGCTGCTAGCCAATCTCATCCACGGAGGTGCCTCGGCCTGCCAGGCGTGAGTCAACAGGGCGTGCTGATTTGGTTAACATAGAACGGGTCCCTCGCGGCCGAATTGGGCATTTTTGCATTACTGATGGCCGTGCGAACGAATCCCGTGCGAATAGTACGGCAGACCGTGCCCACTTCACGCCCTGTTACTTTTTGAGGCTTTGTCAAATCTGTCCCGAGCGGCTCGGGCGGCGTGTTTACTGAACGAACACCTCGTACTGATAACTACGGCTGACGGAGCAAGGCCCATGCACGTCCGGGTGATTACACCTGCGATTAGTTATTATAATGTCGTGACTCAGGCACTTGTCGACGGTCCTCCTGACCGATATCCGACATATGATAGTTATATACAACGATCAGCGACTCCCTTGCATCGAAGCAAATCTCTTAGGGATATATCTACGAGCATTGCGTGCCAAACCAGAGCCAATACATCGTTACCTACTATTCGTCGGAATTGATTTACGAGTCTACCGGACGACGTAGTTACGAGGTGGAGGAATCTTCCGAGTCGTGATCTCACAAAAAAAGGGGCTTTACGCCGAGATCTCAGCAATCTCAGCCTTTTTTTACGCATGTGAAAAGCAAGGCTGTGGCCCATCTGGATTTCCTCCCGAAACGCGATACCACGACGACACCGCAGTGCTACCTCAAAAAAGAGCCTGAGCCCACAGCACCGCCATCTCAAAAAGACATTTTTCACACCCACGCGCGTACCGTATCCACTTGCAAACAATTTTCTCAAGAGAAACAAAAGTCAACGCGTCCGCCACCACTTTGCGCTTCTCTCACAGATCCGTTATATATCCCCTAAGGGGGGTTCATTTCAGCATTAAATCTCCTGACCGCTTCACATACCAAACATTTTTGATCATCAAAATGCCGCTCTCCATGATGCAACCATTGACCCGACCGCCCTCACGTGATCTCGACTGCAACACCATTAGTCGATCACTATCACGTGAGGAGGCGTACCATTTGGCCGACACGGCCCGAAGAAAGTCCTCGGACAAGCTGGTGCGGGACGATCTCCGACTCCGGCTCAGCCACGGACATCTCCTCGAAATGCTTCTGCAGGACATTGCGCGAACCGAGCGTGAACTGCAGACATCGCCGACGGAAGACAAGTACAACTACAAGGAGAGCAAAGGATCTCCGCGGTCGTCGACACATCCGCATCAACCGAGCGACGCCGAAAGCCGATCTTCCTCCTCCACATCCACATCTCCATCTTCGTCCCCCTCCACGTCCCCGTCCTCCGAGGTCGATGAATACGGGTTCCCCTTGACTGAGGACCTCGATGAAGAGGAGGATCTTGGAGGTCTCGCTCTGACAAGGACATCGTCGAGACGACCCATGAGATGAAGAATTTGAATCTTTTTGCATACGCAGAAATGTTATGCAAAGACCATGGACGACTTGATTTGACTTGTTACGACCTGATGCGACCAATTACTTTTACGACACGTTACGTTTGCTTATAAGCAACAGAATTATGATACCCCCGAACCCAAACCTAATATTATCCACGCTTGCCGATGATGCATGCACCTCTCGACCATTGAGAGGCATCCTCTGGCTGAGGAGCGATGGAACAGAAACACCACACACAATCCAAGCGTCGCAGATGATGACTGGCCCTGCCAGTGATGGCCATTTGTTTTATCTCCGGGAAGAGATTGTGAAGCGCAGAAAGAGACGGAAACAGGGCTGAGGCACTGATTGATGGTGTACCCGACAAAAGAGACGAAGTGCACCTCACCGTCACAAGCTGATCTTCAACCGATCTATGGCCCTTCCACTGCCAGGTCATGCTCGTCAATCGACTTGACGTCGATAGAGGCGCAAAGCAGATCTCAGACGGGCCATTGGATTGAGACTCGGCGCTCTACATCTGCATCTTACCTCTTTCGTGGCATCACCGACGCCGGTTGAACTCAGAGAGGGCATCCAGTATTCCCAACATCTGTTGAGTATTATATTGGACCTCGTCTGAAGAGTGTGGACAATCCACAACCAAACAACCATGAATAACATGGTGAGAGAGATTCCTCCGTTCAAGTGCTGAACGATGAACATCTACCATAGGCTAGACAAAAAGAACTAGCCATGGAACCACAGTACAAATCATATAGGACATAATAATACTGCCTACAGCTTGAAGCCATCTGCTTGCTTAATTTCCTCGTTCCATAGGTGTTGTTCTTGTTGATTCTCGAGCGCCTTTCTTCTCTTCTTTGTCTCTCCTCCCTACTAGTAGGATCTCAACTTACAGATTCATACAGGTCGAAGATATCGTGACCACGACCCGAGCAAAAAGTCTGTACATCAAGAAACTGACAAGTCTGCTGTCACCGTAAAGGGGGCCAATATGTAGTAGTGATTACATCTGGCTTGAAGAGGGTGGCTCCTCGATGAGACGCGTAACTGTCACTTTTAGTGACTATCAGGTTCGAAAAACACTGTGCGCCAGCGTCCACGACCAAGTCTCCTACCGTTGCAGTGCCAACTTGCCGGGCAGGTACAATGTTGTAGTACTGGTAGTACTGGTGGGGGTGGAACCATTTTGCTCCTGTGGCATGGCAATACTAATAGACATGTGAAAATCATACAGGTTGGATAATCGACACACGCGGGCGGTCCTCGAGCGGTCGCGATCCCGCCTCAAACTTTCGCATGACCGTCGACGGTAATTTCCATGGTGAAGATTTCTCACTTCCGAAAAACTATATACACCCTCCCCTCGGCGATGCAACACCGAAATTATTCTGCAGACATTCGATTTTGAAACGTGGCAATGGCAAGAGAATCGGACTCGGTTTCCTCAAAAGGTATGATGCGGCGGCGGTCGTCCTCTTTCTCTTTTGTGCCTGCATGCTTTTTGCCAGTGACTCCTTTTTGGTGGTGGAGTCGACACGACATGACACGCCACGCGGAAGCACCGAGGAAAATTTTGCTGTAATTGTATCAGATCAATTGATAAAAGTGGCTCTGCGAACGGGCGTAGTAGTGGAAACTGCACGAAAAATAGCATTAGGTCCCACCGCGGGCCGAGCCTGAAGGGTTCTTCGACAGGCGCCGCCTTGGAACTTGAACCGGAGAATTTTGCCTTTTTGGAGAGAACAATTCAAATTCGTCTTTTACAGTACCTTTTCCTTTCGAATGAACCGCCTCATTGACTTCTGCTGCAGGTGGTGATGGCCAGTGTCTTCGAATGACGGTATGGACACCCAACAGTGCTAAATTATTTCCCATATGGGAGGGAAAAACAAGTCCTCTTTCCTATCCAGCCATGTCCGTCGCATCTCCAATATTGAGCCGGAGACAGCCATGGTCAATAACACTTTGCACCAGTGGGTTCAAGTCCAAGCCATCACCACCTACGCCATTGGTCCCAGAGATATACAAGTCTAGAGTCGGAAGGTAATAAGCCCAAGCGGCCCGGAAGCCACGATGACCCCAAGCCTGTTGACCAGCAAAGGTATCATTAAATATACCACATCCCGAATAGCCGGTCTTCTCGGTCGTCAACATAAGCTGCAAAAATGCGTTGCTCAGCACTCGTCCCGTGTGAAGCGCCCTGGTGAAATAGTTGAGGTCCCCGCTATTGCTTACAAGGCCGCCTGCACCGTACAAGTCGAAGCTCGCGTCGGCGTGGGTGGCATCCTGCCTTGGAGATACTGACCCGCCCGCTCGAGGACCTTTTCGTTTTGCTTTTGGGTTGGTGTCGGCTCGAGGATCTCCCAGTACGTCGATGGCATGTCGAGGGTATCGAGCCTGAGCAACGTGCGGCCAGCCTCTGCAAGGTTTAGCTCCGTCACATTTTCGATGACCAAGCCAAGGTAGGTGTTCCCCGTGTCGGAATAGTGATTTCGTTCTCCGGGGAACCCAACACCCGTCACATTGGCTGCGGCCCACGCAAGAACAGTCTGCTGGGTCCATCGATATTCGGGATTCGCCATAACCTTTGCCGTCTACCGTGGATCTGTGGCGTGGTCGCCCAGTCCGCTTGTGTGGTGTAGGAGCATCCAACTGGTGATCTGGCTGGCGTTTGAAGCTCGTGCTTCTTGTTCCAGATAGTTGACAGCCCACGCAGGTTAGAAATTGACGACTGGAGCGTGAAGGTTGAGTTTGTTTTCCTCAACAAGCTGCAAGGTTGCCGCGGCCGTGAATGTCTTTGTGATGCTTGCAATGCGCCAGGGAGTGTCCTCCAGGTAAGGCGGCTCATGGGTGAATTGGCTCAGGTTGGAGTTCACGCTCGTTTTGCAATCGATTCCACAGCGCGGAAAAGATATAGCTAATTGTACGCCTGGGAATTCAGGATGTCTAACCAGGATGTTCGTGAGGTAAGGAGTCACCCATGGTGGACAAGCTTTGGCATTATCTTCGGCGATGGAAACGGAGATGGAGATTAGTAGTAATGTAAGTAGGTATAGATATCGCGACATGTTGATAAGGGATCGGAATTTTGGCAAGACTTGACAAGACATTCACAAACCTGCTTGATCACTCTCCAAATATATATACCTACCTAGATAGGCCTGCACAAAAAGCCTCGCCTTGGCCGGTCCTCCACGTTTCCCAACAACACACTTCATACAAGTTTGAATCGAGGATGGTGTTGAAGAGGCACAGGATCTCGTTCAAGTTCAGAGTAATCTTCCTAGACTAGCTTCGCGCAAGGTCCAGGTTAAGCAGTCCAGGACGAGCGAACAACCTCGGCGGAACAATGCATAGTAGCTGGCGACTTCAACTGATCGACTTCCTACATAGTTGTATGGTATGTAGCTTTCCCGCAATATCCAGATCAGGTTGTCCAGGACGACCGAACAACCTCGGCGGAACAGTTAGAGTGCATCTGCATGATCAGTAACAAGAAAGTCTGTTCTTCATCGGTCGAAGTAGCTAAGTATTTAAGCCCAGTGTGGACTCAAAGCGGTGGCTGTGGCCCTCCACCCCGCGTTGGGAAGGCCCTGTCCTTGTTCCTATAAAAGCTTGAGAAACTTGAAGTGTGAATCCGACTCACGCTTGTCGTCCATGAGAGGATTCGTGGCTACCACAGTACCAGTACCACTGTAGTACTAGCACAGTGCTAGTAGTGGCTGAGCATGACTAATGACCGCAGCGAGGCAACTTTTCCGAGACGCTTCCCCACTGCACTGGCAGTGGCAGCCAAAGGCACCACTTCAAGTTGGCAGGTACCTGGTTCTTCCCCTCTATCCGCATCAGACACGGCGCGTCCCACGTGCAGTGCAGTGTACTTGTATACCTCGTGCGGGCACTGTCTGTACAACTACCTAACTCCCGGGCTGTGTACCTAGGTAGGTATCTTTGTATCCGCACTGGTAGCATAGGCGCCCAACCAAGCCGCCATCCACCAACCGTATCCTGCCCTTGGATGATTGCGCCTCCTCCCAAGATGAACCAGGCAGACTCAGGACTGCAGGTGAGAACAATAATGAGGGTTTGCATCAGATCCCGGCGGCTACTGTCCCCCTAGCCTCATTGATGATATTAGTATATTTCTATCTTGGGTCTCCGGGCAATGTTGGCCCAGCCTCGACCACTGCAGTCCTCGATTGAGTGAGAAGCCTACCATCACCGCTTTGCTTCCCCTGTCGAATACTGCTTGCATCGACTGAGGTTTCTGCTTGTTATCCCTTGCTTTGTACCAATAACTGCTGTTGAGCCATCTGTTTCGATTGCGGGGTGCTGTGTTGCGTTGTTCCAACCATCCCCTCTCACACCATTGACTTCACGCTGCGACCATGTCGTATCCTGCTCCTCCAGGGTCAGGACAACAATCGCAAGGGGGCTACTATCCTCGTACGCTTCCTCATCTCCAGCAATCTGAGAGCTTGGGTGAATAACAATCGCTAATTTACAACGCCGCTTCAGCCCCGCCGCAGGAAAATGGACATTGTACGAGATGATAGAACATGAAAACATCCCTCCGTACCGACTAACAACTCTGCGAACTAGCATATCCTCCTCCACCATCATCACAACACAGCTACTTCCCTCCTCCGCCTCCATCAGGTCCCTCTCCCGCTCCGTCCAGCGACTATCCTCCACCACCACCATTCACGCCGCAGAACGCAACCACCCCTCCGCTCCAACAGCCAACGGCGCAAAGACCATACAATTACGGCTCAGTCCCGGCGTCGGCACCAGCATACCGAACCACATTCGACCAGGTGCCATCATACAATGGACCACCTCCACCACGCGGCCAATTCAGCCCTCCTCCGCAACAGCAGCAGCAGCAGACACCAGACCAGCAACAACAGCAACAATCAGTGTCGTCCCCACGATTGCAAAAGCTGACTCAAGAGTTCGGTAACATGATGAAAGCACCGCCCAGTAATGGGCCGAAGCTACCAGGCGTGCCGGAGGGAAGTCAATTCGTCGGCGCGCAAGCCACGACGGCCGACGACGTAGGCACATTCAACGGCGGGTCGTACCGCATCTCGCATCGGGACACGAACTCGATTTTGACTGTACAATTGGCAATGGGATGTCCTTTGACCGCCAAACCGGGGGCCATGATCGCCATGTCTCCGTCCATCACTCTCAAGGGCGCCGTGAAATTCAGCATGAAGAAACTCCTGATCGGAGGCGAAATGACCCATTCGACATTCACGGGTCCCGGAGAACTATTACTTGCCCCCAGCAGTTTGGGCGATATCTCCCTTCTGAGGTTGGACGGAAATGAAACTTGGAGCGTTGGCCGCGACGCCTTCCTCGCTTGCACCCAGGGCGTGGTGAAAGAATATAAAAGCCAAGGTATCGGCAAGGCCATGTTTTCCGGCGAGGGGTTGTTCGTCTACAAAATGTCCGGCCGGGGGATACTGTGGATGTCTACGTTTGGCGCGATCTTAAAGAAAGATGTGAGTGATTACTTATTTTCCCTTCCCAATCGACCTCTCTCGCTCTCTGCTTGGAGTTGGGATGCAGTTTCGGGATGCTCTAAACCATTACGCGCCATAAGATCCCCAACCCTCCATGGTTTTACTGACTGATTGGTCTTCTGAAAATTCAGCTTGTCGATGGCGAAAGGTATATCGTCGACAATGGTCATCTGGTCGCCTGGAACTGCAAATACGTCCTCGAACGCGTCGCCAGCGGCGGCATCATTTCCGGAGCCGCCAGTGGTGAAGGCCTCGTGTGCAACTTCTCAGGGCCGGGAACGGTATATCTCCAGACCAGAAATGCCAACGCCTTTTCTGCCTTCATCCAGGGGCAGGCCGCACAGGTCTTTTGAGCTTTCCAAGACGTCTTTCTGGGTGACTAGGGCATTTTATATCGAGGAGCGCCGAGAGTTTTCTAGCATTGTTGCCATCATGAGTTCTATTTCACGTATTTAACTGGTTAATCTGCATCACAAGTGGATATGTAGCAACCAAACAGCAACAGGCAGCATTTTGAAAGCCCTAGCTTGCTGAGGCACCAAGGCCGAAACGAGGTTCGAAACGTCTAGTTCTTTGAGTTCATCATTTGGATATGAAGCTAAGGTACACACGACCATGCTCTTCCCGTGTACTTGTGAAGCAACGCCCCATACAGACCATAGACCCCAATTCCCCGGACAGCACAAAGCGTTGAACCATCTCGAAATGGTAACCTCCGTGTTTGTCACAGACTCTCTGCTTCCATTCCAATCTGCCACACTGCAAATCATTCTTTGAGGGCCATTCAAGTTTAACCGTTCATCCTCTTGCGCTTGCCGACCTGGGCGGTGAAACCATGTTTGATGGCCGCGACCGACCTTCTAGATCCGCAGGAATTGCACGTGACGAAGTACAATCTGTTTTCACCCTTGGACAACTCGGTGTTGGGCGAGCGACAGGTCTTGCAAGTGACATACTCGACAATATAACGACGGAGGACATTCTCAATCTGTTTCTGCTGGAAGCGACCCTTGATGACGAGGCGCTTGCTGCCATCGACGGAGCCCGAGGTACCCAGTTCGGCAAACAGGAACTGGATGACGTGTTCGTCGTTCCGGTTCATACGCTTGCAGATCTCGGCAATGTTTGCGAAAATGGTCTTCTTGTTCCCTTCGCGCAGACACTGCGGCGGCGGGATCTTGTATGACTTGCTTCCCGAGGCCAGGATGTCCGGGTTATGTTCGTTGACGAGCTGGAAGAACCGTTTGAGGAGCAATTCGTACGAGATGGGGGTGGTGGCGTCGTGGGCCCAGATACCCGTGCCGGCGTTCATGTCGCCCGTCTGCTCCTGCGCAGTGCCGTCCTCGCCACCGGCTTTGTTGGCGCCTTCTTCTCCTCCAAGCCCGTCGACGCCCGCGCTCGCCAGTTTCGCGGCAAAGTCGCCACCCTCGGTCTTTGATTTGGTCGACTTCTTCTTTTTCTTCTTCAGGACGGTCGGGTCGAACTCGGTATCAGCGGCGGGCGCTGGTGCGTCGCCATCAGCTCCATCTTCGGTGGTCTTTGGTTTCGACGATTTCTTCTTCTTCTTGTTCAATCCCGCGAACATGTCGGTCAATTCTTCGACTGGCTTGTCGGCATCAGGCGCTAAGGATTCGAATGTTAGTATTTTGCCCGTGGGGTCTGATGGTTTGGTAGACGTACGTGATGAATGTTTCTGCGCCGTCACCTTTTCCTCCGTGTCGCTGCGAGGCGCTTCGGAGATGTAGCCGTTCTCATCCATGATGGTGTCCTCGGCGCTGAAGGCGACCGACTTGCGCGGCTTTCGTTCGTGAAGAGGCTGAGGCTGCTCCTGCTGAGCAAGCGACAAAATGTCAGTATTGATATTGGTATCAAATTGTATTGCGGTGATAGTAGGACGTGAGGCGGGAATGAAAATGGAAGTTGCTTTCTCGCCGGTGGGGCGAGGTGCATCAGGTTTCAGATGCAAATCCTCCAGTGCGCAGTCGCCGTCGTGTGATTGTGGGGGGTTTCTGACGTTGCTTACCACTTCTGCCATGTTGGTTCGGTTCTCGAGTGCAAGGATAAGCGATGGGAGGAGGTTGTACTGATAGAAGCTTGGAGGTTCGAGTTGTAAAATCGCCTCTTGGAATGTGAATTGGTGATGGAGAGATGCGTTAGGACGGTGCAGTCCGGATTACATTTTGTCAAATTAAAGTGTCTCTCTGTGAGTCAACCAGTGACGCTGGTCACGTGGACACTAAAAAGCCGTCTGACAATTTGGCTTCGGCTCAGTTTCCGGCGGAATTGACCTGACCATCCAGAAATAACTGTAGTCAGACATGTTGATTTTACATTATCCGCCTACTGTGCACTACAACCGATAACCACCGCTGATTCGTGGTTTGCATCATTGACGACGGACCGCAGCCGACGAGTCTGTATACAACATCCAAGTTATACGTCCAGTCCAGACCGGTAACAACATCCACCAAGAGTCGTTACTGGTCAGACCCATCTTCAATCCATGGCAGCAGCAGTCTAGTCGAAAGGACTCCTAGAGAGGTGGCACTGCAGCGCAGCAACATGTCCGATATCGACGCCGACGCCGCAGCTTCGTTTCTCGATCCTCCTCCCTTGAACGGCGGGGACGACGAAGATGATGAGGTCGACTCGCTGCCCTCCGATGAGCCCGATTCCGACGAAGATACAGATGATGAGGATTACAATGGAGAGTCTGACGCAGAAAGAGAGTGGAAAGAGAGTTTACAGCAACTCGAACTGTTGCTTACAATGGTGATCGTACCCTACATGGGCAAATACTTTGGACGGAAGTTTGCATACTGGGGTATGTCTATACTTCAGGACAAATTCTACCATGCAGACCGGCGACTGACATGCTGTATAGGATGGAAGCAGTTTATGGAGTGGAAATATCCCGTTGAAATTGTGGTGACGAACAAGGCGGCCTTCCAAGGAGTCGGTGCAGTCGAAGCCGCTGCCTCATTATGACGCTTGAAGAGTTATGGGCGACGCCAACCACTATGGTACTCAGAAGCAACTGGACTTGCAAGGCTGTGGGGTCGGTATAGCCATCACAAGTGATGAAGTCGAAGCATATCATTTTCAGTTCACAAAGATGGCCCAAGAAATGACTGGCATGATCTATGGTTGGGTCGGATTAGAGCGACTACGTACACCATTTGACGTGCCCTTTATCGAAACGGGGTATCCTGCGTGCGCGATGAGTATTGCATGATGGGGGTGGATATATCTACCTGGTTACTATGCGCGACAAGTTGCTAGACAATGGCCCAGTCGACTTGTTCCTCACGCGAGAGCGCAGCGGAATAATGCAAACACATCAGACAGGCAGTGGGATATGTGAAATGATGATACAAAGCATTGTATTTTGTACAGTGCCCATTTTCCCGTTGGCTTACTGTTCTACCCCGGTTGGTCTGCTGCTGCACTCGGATCACCCGCCTGTTTCCTCCAAACACCGAGGGCTTCCGTACTGGTATTGTGTAAGACCGGCTGTCTGGCAGTATCTGCTTTATGCTCAGAGGTCGAACAACATGCCGCTATCCAATATGGGCGATACTCCAATGCTGAAGTGATTCGTACCACAAAAACTTCTAACTTCAACAGAGGTTGACCGTTCAGGTGCAGCGAGTCAGGGGGCGTTGAGCAGTGACATGGGTCTCTCCAGAAGAACCGCACGGAGACGGCTATCGCCAGGGCTGAAGATGCCCATCCCTCGAATAGCAAAACATCGAATACCCACCATGCGGATGCTGAGTGTGGTGAGCCACAATGCAAGCATGTCATTGCTAGGACAACGAATTTTCAACTTGGATCCGGAGATTCGGAATTTGACCACGGTATCTGTGAACTCTTCAACACGGCCGTATCTCCAAGCTTCCATTATATCAACGTAGCTTTTCTCAAGAACGTGCTCAGGAGTGATTCCAGCCAATGTTGGCCACGCAATAACAGGAAGCGTCATGAACTCGCCCAGCTGAGGATTTGAATTCCTGGCTGCCTGCCGAATCCATTTCCAATGGGCTACAACTCCGGAGACGGCGTCAATGTCCCAGAATGGCAGAAAAGTAGTCTCCCGCCGAGGGTCCTCCGCCGAAAGTTGGGAGATTTCTGACGTGCTTCCGTCCACTTCATGTAACATGAGACGCATTGTGGCTCTTTTGACAGCACCATCGTCCTCTTCAAGGATTCTGCGTAGCATATGTGACAACGTTATTGCTGCGAGATAATGCCCAGCCATAGTTCTGGCAGCAGTGCAACCATCCTTGAAACCAGGTCGACTACCATCGAGAAAGGTCGACGTCACAGGGCCGAGCTCCCAGTTGATCTCTGCGCGCATGCTAAAGAGTTCTGGAAGCAGATGAACTCTGATATTGAATGGCATCTTGCTTCGGAGAAGTGGAGCCAGCATGGTGCGCAGGCCGGTCATATACTCCAGACATATTGACTGTAGCTGGCTGGTGTCGTCGATGGGAAGTGCCCCCACTACCCAGATGTCCCGTGGATAATTCTGCGCCAACACGGTATCAACTAGACTCTTAAATCGATGGGACACAAGTCTGATCGGAAAGATTGAGGTCTGGCGATGCAGGAAGGCAGGATCGTTGGGACTGTTGAAAAGGATGATTTCAGGTTGGACAAGGTTCGAGAGAATCGTATCGAGCGTCTCGTTGGGAAGCCAATGGATTGTCGTTCGCTCAGACTCGGTAATGGCGTCTGGCGTAAAAGCTTGAGATACATCTGTTTGGGAAGCCATGCTGAGGGCACTTCTGGGAAGAAAGGGTCGAAGTTGATTTTCAGAATCCAATGTATTGGATAGAGCAGGTGCAACTGGTCGATGGCCGGGTGCAGTTCCAACTGTCGTCAGGGAGCCGCTCATGACTGGCCGAGTGTATACGTGCGGTAGGCGAGTCAACAGAGCGCCGCAGCCTCATGATGGACGTTGGAAGTGAATGCCACCTGCAGATGGCCGGAGCTGGATCGATTTCAAGCAACCAGCAGTCCACGCAAGTCTGACAAGACCCTCTGTAGTATTATTAATGTTGCCATCGACTTCTTGACGAGTCAAACGGCTCAATCCACATGCTCGAACGAGTGAAATTGTCGAAAAGGTACACCCACCACCTTCCCCACGCCATCAAACTTGATTCCCTCACTTCGAAGTAACTCGACTTTCTTGGAGGCATATTTTCCATCCTTTCCCCAGTCACCATTGAATCCGCCGATGGTGCCATTTGCGGCCAGAACACGGTGGCAAGGCACCTCAGGTGCAAAAGGATTGTTTCGCATTCCATTACCCACGGCTCGAGCCGAGGAATTAAGGTAATCCGACATGGCTGCGTATGTGGTATAGCGACCCCGTGGGACTGATAGAAGTGTGAGGTAAAGCTTCTTACGATATGGCGTCATTGATGGATGTGAACGGATGCGTTGGACTGTCCGTTTGAGCTCGTCGCTAAGCTCGCCACTCTCCTTGGGAAGGTCTGGTGACAATGGTCGATCATATTCTGTTTGCACGCTTGGACTAAAGCACAACATGGACTGTCCCTTTTCCGTCTTTCGCTGCTTCCCTGAGAGAGGTTGTGGATTCTCAGAGTCCTCTTCCAACGTCCGCTTCCGATTTGCGGCTATTGGGATGAAGTGTTGTTCTTCTGCCGCAGATTCCCCTTGCAAACGGTCGACGTAGTCCGTTTCATGCTTTCCCCTACACTGCAGACTGATCTCGTTCAAGTAACAGAGGTCAGCCTTACCTGATGCAACCTGTTCGGCTAAGGCAATCGCATCTTGCAGCTGTTGCTCAGTCATATTCCTTACCGCCGGTTTGTCTACGACATGGTCCCATTGTCTTTCACCGTGGCCTATTGTATAGTCCAGGATGATCCGGGCGAAGCAATGATCAAGAGTCACCGGCCAGCTCGTTTGTACTGGGGATCGTGCATTCGCCAGCTGAGGAAGAGTGCGGGCGTACAAAGTCGCCCACTGCTTGCGTAAGTCATCGAGGTTAGCCATGGCCTGGGATGACTGGACGGCCTATAGTATGAATATCGCTGTTGAAAACAAGCAATAATGGCTAGAGCAAGAATGAGAGTAGAAAATGTACTGAATCAATGTCGTGTGCTATTTGTTTCAAACCGGCGCAGGTATGTTGTTTGAGCATCTTGAAGTTTGACACAATACTACCAGATACAGTTCATGGAGGGGATGGAGGAGTAGTTGGTAGAGGACTGGCACTGGAACTGAATTGAGCGGCAAGGTCCTCTTATTAATTAGTAAGGAATGACGCCCGCCACAGTTCAAGTTGGGCGCGTGGCTTCTCCGCGCGGGCGTCACAACGCGTCCTCTTCCTGAGTTCCAGACACGCGTGTCGCGCCGTGACAATTGAGCCTCAATGCGCAGGTACAAGTACTGATTATTGCTCTTCTGCACGGTGCTCCATTCGAAAGACCTCTGCACCTACTTGGCTCAATGCCTATCTCTTAAAGTCGTTCAGTTCCACTCGTACAGTCAATAGTACGAAAAATGTCGTCGCCGCGAGGGTCACCCTCGCCCAACGGCTCACCACAGAGTCCCGCATCGAACGTCCTTACACCCAGCCGGAAAGTACAAGCACTTCTGGCACAATTCGACGATTCAGACTCCGACAGTCCTTCTGAGCAGCCTGGGACTAGGTCTGCCAATCCACCCGCTCAAATCCAGAACGCTGAAAGCCATGCTGGTCAAGCCATGGCCTCACAACCACAGGATGATTCGGAAGAGGAGGATATACTGCCGGCAGCCCCTCGTTCGAGAATTGCTGCTCGTCTACAAGGTGTAGCGATTCTTCCTACTGCTTCGAACGATGACCGCGAGAAGCCTGCGTCAACGGATGTGCAGCAAGACGTATCAATGCCTTCAGAGCACAGTGAAGATGAAGGACCTATAATGAGGCGAAGACTACTTACGAAGCGTAAGATCAAACCTGTGCAGTCAACGCCTGCTTCCCGCGGATCGAGGTCGCCCTCTGCAGACACTCTGCCGTCTCCATCAGCCATAAACCCAGATCCAAGCACCACTCAACAACTCCACGGTTCTGAGTCGAATGATGAGCATAGGAGCTCACCTGCAGGCAAATCGAAGTTCTTGGCCCTTGTTGAGAAACATAGAAAACAGCGTCTGGAAAAGGAGGCTGAAGAAGCCGCAAAAAAAGCCGCGCGCATTGAGGCTCAGAAGAGTCAAGAAAGTACAGGTCGCCTACCTAGGGGTTCAAGTCCGGCCGACGATTCCGACGAAGACAGTGACATTTTTGGCGACGATGCAGGCGAAAAGCTGGCTAAGCAGGCTCGACCTTCTCGAAAAGCCAGTAAAAAGGCTATAGAGGAGATGAACCGGGAAACCCAACGAATTACTCGAAATATGCAACTTGCACACCAGGCCCGCACGAAGAAGAAAATCACCAAGGACAGTCTCCTGGCGAGATTCAATTTCTCTACGTCTGCTAGCTCTCGAGATCAGAAGTCGCCGGAACCAGAGAATCATTTAGTCACCGGAAGTTCAAGAGCCGGCTCGGATACTGAAGCGAACAAAGGCCACAGTACACCTCCAACAAGCCCTATGATGGCAGATAACACCACTGACAGACCCAAGACCCCGACCAGTCAAGCCGTCGACACACGACATGGCTCTGGAAGCGAGGCCGGAAGCGAAGGTGAAGAAAACTTGTTTAAGACTGGTCCAAAAGTCGATAAAGGAAAAGGCAGAGCTCTGTCGGTCGAGCCCTTCCCGGACATCCAGCAGGTTCTCGCGGCGCAGTCGGTAGACCCACTGACAGACCCAAGTTTGGTGCGAAATTCATCAGACGCCCCGCAAAAGCCAACAGTTAAGCCGTTTCAATCTAAATGGTCAGCACTGGCTCTCAAAAACTCAGAAGACGATGATACAGAGTCGGATCTTGAGGTGGTCACGAGTCGAGGCGAAGTTCGAAAGTATGCAGCCTTCGAACATTTACCGAGACGCAAAGCTAAAGAGGCTCCGTCACATCTGGCACTGCGGTCTTTGGCAAACTTGATCGGTAGCGAGGAACGCAAGAGTTCAATGAATGCTGCCCAGATGGAAGCAGCTCTTCGAAAGGCAGCACGCATGCAAGCACGAAAGGAGCGGCAGGAGAAAATAGAAGAACTTAAAGCTAGGGGAGTAATGATCCAAACGGCTGAAGAGCGAGAACGCGAACAGCAAGAAGTGGAAGATCTACTGGAGCGAGCCAGGCAGGAAGCCGTGGAGATACAGAAACGGGAGAAGGCCCTAGCGAAAAAGGAGGGCACCCTCACGAAAGACGGTTTAAATGACGACGACGACGAAAGTGACGCCGATTTCGAAGACGACGAAGCCGAGATCTCTCTATCCGGCGAAGACGAAGATGGTGAAGTAGAAGACGATGATGAAGGCGACGGTGAAGCGGAGGACGCCGAAGATGGGGACGCCGAGGGAGGTGCCCTACTTGACGCAGAAGCTGACGAAGAAGAGCCGCTTGAAGAAGGGTCACAAAGTGATGATGCCGAGGCAGCCAGTCGAACTGGGGATGGCCTTGATCTAGACGGTCGTTCGGTTAACCGTCCCGCCAGGAAGAATCGCACAAATCGGGTGCTTAGCGACGATGACGAGGAAGAAGAGGAAGACTGGAACGCAAAACCCAGGTCACCCCAGCTTCCAGCTCCGGCTAAAACGCCTCAGTCTCTGTCTCGCTCTGCTCGAAAACAAATTCCAGGACTACAGATGTCTGATGACCTACCAATTGGGCTCACCCAGGCTTTTGCAGCGACGATGGCTGATTCTCAGTCTCAACTGGAACAAGAACAAGACAGCCTTACCATGACAATGGACCTGCCATCTCCCAACATCTCGATGGTTCCACAACTCAACCGTCTCGACTCTGTGGACATGATCAGTGACAGCCAACCAGCATCACAAACGCAGCCACTGAACGTCGACCTGTCCTTTTCGCAGTCTCAGCGGGTCCCTCAAACCCCTGGGACAGCTTCGGGAGCTGGAGCGCGGCAATTTACTCCTTCACAAGCAGCTGTATTTGAGCCAACTCAAGATAATGGGTACATGTTGACTCCCTTCGCCGGCAATCGATTCGCAACGGAGACACCGCAGCATCCTGGCCCACAATCTACCATGGACACTGTCTTGCTTACAGAAGACGCTGCAAACAGCCCCATTATGCAAAGGAGAGCCAGATTCCGCCGCGGCCGCGCCAACAGCCGCGAAAGCGATGAAGAGCAAGCGTCTGTGGCAGACGTGTCCGCATTCGATATTATGCGTCGGGCAACCAAGCAGAAAGAGCGTGACGCGTTCGATAAGGCGAAATCCCATGCTCGCGAGATTGTGGATGAAGCTGCAGAAGAATCCGAGGACGAGTATGCAGGTCTTGGCGGAGCAAGCGACGAAGACATCAACGACGAAGAGAATGAAGAAGACCGAAAAATGATCGATGAAGACACCCAGGTTGGAGCTGGTGATGAGGCTAAGTTAGCTAAGCTCTTTGCCGATAGAGAGCGTCAGCAGGATGAGGCGGCGGTCTCGAAACTGCTCAAAGACATCACCACGGGAGCTTTGCGACGGAAACGTGGGAACGATGATCTGGACCTCTCAGACGAAGAGGATGCCCTCGTACGTAGAAGAGAGGCTAAAAGACGGGAGTTTGCCCGCATGCGCCGCGAACTGCTCAAGGATGAAGCGGTCGGCAAGATCGCAGAGGACAAGAAGAAGGAAGCTTTCCTACGAAGTCTGGAAGATCGACCGGTCAGCGACGATGAAGATGATGATTTCGACTTGCCCGAAACGCCGCTCGAGGAGGAGTCCCAGCCAGCTGCTGAGGCTGAAACCCAGCCGAAAGAGTCCGAAGCTCCAACAACTGCCAAAGACGAGGGTCAAGGAAACAAGCAGCCTCTGACAACTGCACCAGCATCGAGATTGAACCAGATGAAACGATCTCTTGGTCGTGGAAGCTCGGCTATCAACCGACGACCGACCACATTGGCGGAGATTCGAGAGTCTGTGTCATTCCTCATTGAAGAGCCCGATTCACAAGCTTCCATGATCGACCTTGGTCTGTCTGACTCTGAGGACGAGCCCGAGGCTTATGTTGACCTGGATCGACATCTTCAAGCCGCCGAGGCGGACGAAAACGCAGACGATGGCGAAGACCTGGGCGATTTTATTGTTGACGACAATGATGGTAACGACGGTGCCAGTCAGGAAAAGTCCAAGGACGAGAGCAGTATCTTCAAGAAACCAGCCGTGCCTTATAGCCGTGCTGCATATTCGGAGCGTCGTACAAAAGAACGGCCAAACGTGGTCAATCGACTGAGCATGCTGCGGCAGTCATCGTCTTCCTCGTCCAACTCCTCCAGCAACACGAAGATGGCTTTTTACACGAGCAGCTCTATGTCTAGTACATCATCGTTCAGTAAGGTCCCGGCCTTGCTTCGTCGAGCAACCACAAAATCCAGCCTCGGCAGTATGGCTATTGGAGGGCGAGATGAGAATGTCTCGGCCACGGGAGTGGTGACCACCAACAACAGAACTGAGCGTGGAAAGGCCAGTGGGGAGAAGGAGTTTGTCAGGAAATCCACCGGTGGGCAGCGCGCCGCTGTCAATTATAGGCCGACGATCAGGGAGGAAAAGATGAGCCAACGCGCTGGCATTGCGAAGAAAATGGCGGCGGCTAAGAATAAGAAGACCAAGGGTGGGTTTTTGGGAGGTTTGTTTCAGCGGGACAGTTGGGCGTGATCACTTTTTTCTTTCGATCGGATCGGTGTGGACTGCCAGCGTACTGCATTGGATGGCGTGGCGTGGGATGGAATACGTTCATTGTGCGTGTTGTAAACGAATGGAAGGGAATCGTTGTTGGATAAACACATCAGCGTCGTCTGTCTTTAAGCATAAAGGTGGTTCTGCCGGTGCCTCTCGTTCTCCTTCTTCCGTACTTAACCCTGTTGTACAAGGGGATGGCGATAAGGTATAACACGAACAACCGGAGAACTACAAATACATCATATCAGCCTACAGTAGGTAAGTTAAGGTAAATTAAGGTAAGCCAAGCTTAGCCAAGCTTTGTTCAGTCTGTCAAGCCTAAGGTAGCCAGCTTTGCCATGGCCAACTTGTCCAACTTATCCTCAATCTCCCTACATCTCACAGCCCTCTCACCAAACGCAATCCGACAGACGTCAAGTTCTTTTCGTTTGTACTGTATAGACCCCAAAATGTCGTGTTTACGTTCCGCCCACTTGGCCATGCTGCGGTATGTGTTGGCTAATGGGGTGCCGAGGAGTGCTTCTTTTAGTAACAAAGTTTCGAGTTTGGTTAATGCTGTGAGGGCTTCATTGATCACATTCACACTGGCAGCATGTGGTTGAGGCGTACCCTGGTCGCCGAGTTTGGCATCATTATTGTGTACTGGCCGTCCGTCTTGGGGAGCGGTGGTGGTACTGGTGGGAGTAGAATGCTGGTGACTTTTCGCATTTTTGTTCTTCTTGTTCTTCTGCTTCTGCTTCTCCACTCGGTTTGGTTGTGGCGTTTGAGAATCAGTAACGGCAGCAGGAGCAGTAGCAGTAACAGTAGCAGTATTGCCATCGTCGGTCTTCGTGCTGCTGCTGCTGCTGTTGTTGATTGCATTGTCGCCACCGTCGCTGCCCACATGAACACCGTTCCGCTCCGTAGGAATATCAGTAGTATTGTCACTATACCGCTTCTCACATTCCAGAACGATCCGAAATGCCGCATACATCCCCTTCCTGCGCTCGTCGCTTCTTGCCCAAAACTCGGTGTGCGGCTCACAAGCTTCACAAGTACAGACGAAACCGTAGTAGATTTGCTGTTTACGCTGACGTTTGCTCCTGGTTTCAAACACCACCTTGTCGTAGTTGCTGCAGATTTCTTTGCCGCGGGCGATGTCGCGGATCGCTCGGAATTGCATTTCATTCGTGGTCTCGTCGTAGGAGAATTGGACGTTGGGCACGCAGCTGTGATTGAGACGGCTGGCGAAGGCGCCGATGGCGGAACCACCACCGGCAGTAGTACGAGCATCTCGCACCGCACTGCTGTCATGTTTGTTGTGTCTGCTGCTCGAGGTTGTTGCTGTTGTATTTGCTTGCTTCGGCTTGACAAATTCATCACAGTTGTAACAATTACTATAATATATCGAGACGACGCGCGACATGCCCGACTTCTCCGCGTCCCAGAGCCGGAGATAGACTTTCTGATCAGCCCTGGAAAGAGCCGCGAACTCTCGCTCAATGGCGGCAGGGTTGGTTTCTTCGTCCTTGTCGAGGATGATTAAGGGTCGCTCTACCAGGACCAGTGTGCCGGCTTTGATTTTTCGTCTGGCGAAGACGCCCATGCCTCGGTCGGGCGTGTTGATGAGTTCGAGGAGTGAGTCTTGAGGGCTCGGCTCGGAACTGGAGCTCGAGTTGAAGCTCGCGCTGGACGAATGATTAGACTCTGCATGGTGGGAGTACATGGTATCTGCTTCTGCTTGGGCGCGAGGTGTCGCTGTCTCTGTCTCTACAGGTGGCGTCTTGAGAGAGACATTGCCGTTACCAGCACGATGCTCAATTGTGATTTCCCCTTTTGGTGGCGATGGAGGATTTATGCCGTTCGTGAAATCCAAAGACAGCCTCTCAAGTCTGCTGTCAATGTGCTGTAAATACCAAAGCGCAAAAGGCTGTTCATCAGCTTTGGCTATTTTGTGGAACATGTTGATGTTGCTAAATAGATTTGTCATAAAGAATGGTATTTACCTTGTCCATCTTGACTTCAGTGCTGCAATGGCACGGTCCAAGTTTGGTACCTAGGTACTCCCTTTTGGGAGTTATGTTATTTCGACCGAACGGTCGATCTCAAAGGTGCCAGGGAAAATCGGTATGTCATATACCTGACATCTCTTTTGCTAAGGCGAACCAAGTAACAGAATTCGCCGATAATACGTGTCAGAGAATGGATATCTGGGATGCAGGCAAGGCTATTCTGTCCATGATCATTGGTTTGGGCTGACGGCCGGTTTGATGTATGGACATATATTGAGAATAATTCAGTATGGATGGAATGTCACACCGAAATGGATGATAGACAAAACAAAAAGAAGAAAAGAACGCGAGTGCAAGGGCAAGGGCAAGAGCAACGGTGTCAACGGCCATTCTGTCACTTGTCTTCACCGGTGACAGGAGATGAAAGTTCCGATTGGAGCGGAATGGCGACATGGCGGCCGACAGCGGCATTAGATTCGTACAGAAAGTCTAGACACGAGGATAGACTGTGCTAGAATAGCGGGAGAAGGTCCACTTGTGCTGTATAGTGATCTGTCCTAACTGGTAGTTGGTGGTCGGGTTGCGCGGAAAGCCGGCAATATCTTTTACAGATCAGATCAAATAACAGGTAAAATCCGGGTAGATAGGGGGGTGGATGCCATACGCTGCAAGGCTCGACATTGCAGGTGACTAGCCCGAATAAAGTAACCGCGTTGTTACATAATCAAGGAGCTTATGTAAGCAGATCGGCTTTTGGTTCAATTTGTGCATTTCCCTCGCTTAACCCCAGCATTCAGTGACTATCTGGACCGTAGAACTGATGTCCGTCGACGGCGGCAAGTACACTGCCCATCAAGACTGAGATGTAACTCCCAGAACTCGACACTCAGCGCCCATAAACGGAGGCAAGTCGGTCCTGGATGTACTGAATCCCCTCCGCTCGATAGTAGTCCGGCTCTGCGTAGAGCAAATTCGTCGAGTTGACATCGAACACGATATTCTGTGGCGCCTCAAGCGTATATATGGGCCATTGAACGCTCGTTGCTACTCCTCAGGAAATTCCGAGCGCCATTAGCAAACAGTACCAAGGACAAGAAGTTGTCAGCAAGGCAGCATCGGCCACATACCATTGTTCCCATTCGGAGTGCCCTCGACAATGAAACTTACCCACACCCGGCTCATGATCATGGCCAAGCTGTCGAAGCTTGCAGGCTCATTCGCAAAAGGATCCACAGCCACTGTCGTATTGTAGCCCAAGCCTTGTAGATTGTGAAAGACGAAAGCAACTTCCTGGAAGTGTGTAGCCCCGATAGTCGGAGGAACTCCATTCACCACCACATTGAAATGATAGCTCCAACTGCTGACGTTCTGCGATGCCCAGCTTTGTGAGGTCAGCCGTCGTGGTGCCTGTTCAACTAGGTCCCCTTGGTATGCACACTCCCGCTTCCACTGAGCACCCAGTGACGCTTGCGATGGTGGTGGGCGACCGGACAGGGTTGCTGGTATGCCAATGGCGGGAATATCTGGGTATAGGGCGGCAACAGTCTGAGCCGTAGCATTGTCAGGCCCATCTTGCATGACGGCGGCAATGAACTGCTCAGTTGTGTTGACACCAGGCGTGGCAAACGCGGTACCTTCGTCAAAGTTCGTCCCATGCAAGAGGGGAACTTTGACAAATTTTCCTTCCTGTAGCTGCTTCGTACCGGACTCAATTATTATGTCATTGTCGATCTGAGGGCCCCATGAAGGAACTTGAGCCGTGACGCTGCTATTGAAAACGGCACTGAGAGCCTCGATGGGGACTTGACGTAAGCAGGCCAGCGTATCCGATGCAGAGCTGCAGTTTGTGGCACGTGTAATGTTATTGTAATATTGGTCAAAACTCGAGGCGTTGACATATCGCGCGAATGTGACTGGACCGCCGCTCTCTTCAATGGCACCGCGGAAAAGTCCATCATCTCGCCCTCCATATGCCAAAGTCTGCAAACCGACACTGGCACCGCCGGCACTCTCGCCCCAAATCGTGACCTTAGAAGGATCGCCGCCGAATGCAGCAATGTTCTCTTGGATCCAATGTAACGCCAGGCGCTGATCGCGGAAGCCAAGGTTTGTGACACCAGCTTTGAGGATTTCGGTGCCGAAGAGAAATCCAAAAGCGTGCAGGCGGTAGTTCAGGCTCACACCTATGAAGGGCTTTCCCATAGCCACGGATTGCTCGACAATGAAGCTCATGTTATATCTGGGATCGAGGCTCCCGCCGTTGAAGAAGCCGCCGCCATATATCCACACCCCCACAGGCAATTGAGCGTCCTCAGAGATGCCCGCTGGTCGGATGATGTTCAGAGTGAGACAGTCCTCAGACACTGGGTTCCCTAGAACCCAGTCATCACTGCCGTAGCCGTAGCACTCGGCCGAGTACTCTGTTGCATTTCGAACCCCTTGCCATGTCGTGTTGAGCGACACTGGGTTACGGAAGCGGAGGTTACCCACTGGGGGTTGGGCAAACGGTATTCCGAGGAAGAAATCTTGATTGTACATCGTATTGTACAAGCCAGTATAGCTGCCATTTTTGATGGCAACCAGTGGGGCGTTGGTTTGGCGGGTGACAAAGGCTCCATGAGCCGATCCGCAGAGAAACGAAAGGGTGAGTATGAGAAGATACAACATGTTGAGCATGAATGTACGAGTACAGATAGATCTACCTGGACCCCTTCTGGAGGCTTCCGCTCCGGAGTCAACAGCGAGATATGATGGATCAAGCGATGGCCTTGTCAAGGTCGAGGAACACGTCTTTCAGCAGGTCTTACAACTCCTCACCTTTCCGGTTACCTCATTCTGTTGGATAGAAGAGCTCATATATGGCTGCTTCAGTTAGCCTGGCGGCCACACGCCGGCAATTGACATTGGGAATGGAAAATGGGTCGACCGGCACAGAACACAGCTGTACAACTGGTCAAGTGCGGGGATCATAGTCGGCGGTTAGACGGGGAAGATCCTGGGAAAAAAGCGGTCTTGCATGTTGTCCGTCTTCTACTAGTAGAATTCTGGACCTTTAGACAGGAAGTTACTGCTTGAGATCCCCAGACACCGGCCCCGTTGGGCGGTGGACAGTGAAGAGCGGGGAGCGTGAAAGCACAGAGTCACTGAAGATCAAGAGTTCAAGTTCGTTCCAGCTAAAGACTGGCGTTCGGCTAACTTTCTTCTTTAAATTTCCCATGTTCGTGAGTCGCGACTTTATTGACTCCCAGACGTACAAGAAACTGCGGTCGTAAGTTGAGGGCCGAGCAGAATGGACAGCTCTATCGTGAGGGAGTAGGACGCCTCAAAAGCTCCTCAAGCATAATGCTGATCGGTCACACTTCTCGACGGCTTTACTTTGCGCTTGGCTCTCGCGCACAGTAACTTAGACACCACTCCAGCGCGGTGACCCAACATGGCGACGCCGTCCAGATCTCAGACCGTTTCTACCCCCAAACCTCATCTCTCTACTCCTAATCGAATGATGGCCTCGCCTCGACCTGGTACCTCGGGCATTTCCAGCCGCCCTCTGGCCTACAAGTCTCCCGCCGTCAAGACACCTGCCTCAGTTCAAGGTCACACCCACGGAGTGAGTGTTTCCTCACAGCCCGCTTCTACACCGGCTGCCGCCGCCGCGTTGCATGACGATCTTCTTGCTCTCAATTCTCCCGCCGCAGCGCTCATCGCCTCGATCGGCCAGACAGGCATGACACCTATGCCAAGTGGCGGCGACGGGTTGGGTATCTCGACAAGTCTTCAATCCAATTCTGGCAGAGGTCCCGTTGCTCCTGCCAACCCAGAGCTGGAGCGCGTGCAGCGGGCGCACCTGGTGGCGGACATACTCAAGACCAAAGTAGCAGGGCATGGGACTACACGCGAAGGGGTAGAGAGGATTGCTAAGCTACAGGGCTTCACAACATTGTGGGACGATGAGAATCTTACTATTGCAGGCAATGCGGTCGACCTCGAAGTTATATTCGACGCCCGTGAACGCGACCGTGTTACAGATGTCAGCCTGAAGCTCAACACGTCGGAGACCGAGGAACCAGAGCTACAAGAATCGGGCTCTGAGATTTTGAAAGACAACTTACGGCCTCTACATACGGTCAATGGGTCACCTCAGTGGACAGACCTCAATACATTTGAGGCGAACCTCCAGTACCTCAGCCAGCTGGATCGTATCGAAGGCGGAGCTCCATGTTTTGAAGCCGTAAATGGTCTTTATGACGCTTTCCAGAAGATCTGGAATGCGGAGAAAGAGAGATTCAGTGGGCGGACAGCACGCCAAGGTCCCAGCCGGAGTGCCGTGGGAAGGCCTTTCATCGACCGGAAACCTGTCCTCGGACTAGGCTTGGATTACTGGTGTACCAGACAGGACCTTCAGGAGGAAGCACTGAATGGAAATGGGGAGCATCATGATGATCCATCTTCACATCTCTATACCGCCAGAATTTCCTGCGAGCCTGGTCCACCATCAACAGTCCTCACCAGCCGATGGGTTTCTGGTGATGTGCTGGTTCCAGTGTCGCAGACAGTCGGAGATATGGAAGCCGAGAAACTCATGCCGGATTGGCAGGACCCTGCACAGGACGCACATGGCTTGAACACGTCGGATAAGACAGATTCCGGGGAAGCCAATGGCGACAAGCCGGCTGGCTTGCCTCCGACGCTTCTAGACATGCACTTTGTCTCATGCTTGGAGCCTGAAGTCTACCTACCCCTGAATATTGCTGCCCACCTAAACGCCGATCTGCCAATGGTGGAGTTGAAGCAAGAGCTCACTGTAACTTATCAGACAGCCCTGCAAAAACATTTCAATGCAAACCACACTGGAAGCGCCAGCGCCTCTCAAGAGAGGTGGCCCAGATCACTACCGACCCTAGGGGAAAAGCCACCTCGACAGCACTCCTACGCGTTGCACTCAGCACAACACGCAGCTGTTCTGTGGTGTTATCCTGTGAAACAACTAAAGTTCAACCACCCCAGACAACTGGCGGCTGTCATCCCTGTGCTACGACAATATGCTCTTCTCTGGAGTGTATTGCGTAGTCTTGTGGATTACGGAGTTGTACAGCAAGACACGGTCTCCGAGTCCGCTGTTTCCCCTGCGCAAGCAAGGTCGTCGAGTGAAGCTGGTCCGGTCAAGCGGAGCAATGCGAAGACTCAACGCTCCAAGCTCGATTCTCTACTGAATCCGGACCGGACAGTGACAGAGATTGATATTCTGCCAGTCGACTTAAGCCTTGATGTCATTTCCGACATCTCCAAAGCGAAACTCGATCTAATCGTACCACTTTCAGGTTCCCCTTCGAAGATGAGACAGAGCCCTTTCGTCTCTGTTTCACTGGAGTTCTGCCCAGGCGGAGACATCCATGTTCCAACGATCCGTGGCGTCCAGTTCAACGATGAGTCGAAGCTGAAAGACAAGATTATTCGAGTCCTCACAGCGACAGAAGATCTCGGGCTTCTTGTGGAATGGCTCCTAGAACAGGCTCGCAGCCAACCGTAGAATCATGCCGTAGCAAGCTACTTGGTTACAACGCTTTTGTCAAGACAATGTGAACGAATTCTCCAACTCGTCAGAGGTTTCCTTTGCGGCGATCCCACGATTGGTCGCCACACAACCGTCGTGGGTCCCCGACCGTATACGTGGCGCCTGACTTGTCCTCGATGTTGTTTTCGGTCAATGCCGAATCTCCTCATGGGAAGCACTATGGGTCTTGACAAGGGTCGCGCACATGTCTTGGGGTTTCACGATTGTCCCTGGCACCCGGAACTGCCTGTTTCGGTAGACCGACAAGCCCGGGCTTTTCCCGAGCATTTGCTTACGCTTTTATTGGCTGTGCTCCTCGATGTCTCAATAATGTCGACACGGTTCTCGGCCAAACTCACGGCAACCTTTCTTGCAGCTATAGGAGACCGACTCAGAATCCCACGGGGTAACAGACCCTTGATACTGCAGGGTCCAGATGAGAGAAAGCACTCGCCATCTAGAAGCCCTGAAAGCAAACCGGGCGCTTCTCAGGCCTACTCTAACATGAACATGCAATCCCACGCAAGCTTTTTCTCGCTTGTCTAAGGACTCCAACCATCTCCTCTGTCGGTTACAGCCTGATGATACTTCGGGATAGCGATTGACATTGGACCTGGTCCACCACGTGGCATCAAACAGCTCTCTCTGGATCACAAAGTCTGTATATCCACAGAAAATTTCCGTCCTGTGACGATCTGGGATCCGAGCGTCCAGTATACAAAGATTTCCCAAAAATTTATACTGGGGAAGACGGGTGGCCTAGGGCAAACTCGGCAACGCTAGAGCCATCTCCCGCCCACGCAGATGTCATTTTCTTTTGTTGCGACGACCAGGACAGAATAAGCTCCGGCAGTTAAAGCCACCACCATCATCAGACTTCCCTAGGCCTCTCTGGTACTTCTGCTTCGGGTAATCCGGTCCGTTTTGGAGACACCTGCTATCCACATGATTGGCCCAACCGTTGGAGAAAACTACTGGGGCCGTTATGCCGATCCCTCCTCCACAAGACCCTTGTCATGGTCCCATCATTGCGACGATGGGTATGGGTTTGTATGCAAAGGCTGGCGGGTTTGTAAGAGGATAAGCCAACCACGCTGCAGAAAGACATGAACACGGTCACACAATGGACACGCAGGACGACAACCGACGCATTAATCCTTTGCTGGTCCACTGTCATGGCTTTGCTGGGTTTGATGAATGTTCTAAAGTTGGTGCATGCGAGGATCCTACATAAGAGCGGGATCCTCCTCCTCATGAATCCTCCTCTGGACAGCGGCAAGAGCCAACTACCTAGAATCGCTTACGATAACTTCAGGCACAATGAAGGTCTTCAACCAACGCTACTTGGGCTTTCGGGGCGCCAAGCTCAACATGATGATCGGTATCATTGCCGGCATGGACTTCTTGTAAGCGCATTCACTCCGGTCTGGTCATCATTGTTGTATACTCACCGCTGTGTACAGACTCTTCGGGTATGACCAGGGTGTCATGGGTGGTCTTCTGACCCTTCCCTCTTTCACCTCCGTCTTCCCTGAGATTGATACGACCGCCAGCGGGTTAACTCAAAGCCAAGCCGATCACCGCTCTACAATTCAGGGCATCTCTGTGGCTTCTTATAACGTTGGCTGCTTCGCGGGAGCCGTTGTCTGTATATGGCTTGGCGACTTTCTTGGACGACGAAAGACCATCTTTCTCGGATCGGCTATCATGGTCGTCGGTGCTGCCCTCCAGGCATCTGCGTTTAGCTTGCCCCATTTCATCGTGGGCCGTGTCATCACCGGCCTGGGTAACGGTCTCAACACGTCGACGGTCCCGACATGGCAGTCGGAATGTTCGAAGTCGCACAAAAGAGGACAGATGGTTATGATAGAAGGGGCTTTGATCACTGGAGGCATTTGCATGTCATACTGGATTGACTTTGGCTGTTCGTTCATCAACAACCAAGCATCATGGCGTCTACCTATTGCTATCCAAATCATTTTTGCCTTGATTATTCTCGCTTTCATCCTTGAACTTCCTGAATCTCCAAGGTGAGCAGGACTTATACGTTTTTCCCTTGGTACAACCGTCGCTGACACATAGCAGATGGCTCATTCTGAACGGCCATGAAGAGGAGGCAGTCGAGGTCCTTGCCGCCCTTTCCGACAGATCCAATGAGGATAAATACATTACGACTGAATTTGCCGCCATCAAGGACAGCGTCCTCGAGCAACAGAAAGCGACCTTCCGTGATCTCTTCACCATGGACGAAGATCGCCATTTCCACCGAGTTGCACTCGCTTATATCATCCAGATGTTCCAGCAAATCTCCGGTATCAATTTGATCACTTACTACGCAGCTACCATCTATGAGAATGAGATCGGTCTGACACCGTTCATCTCACGAATCCTTGCGGCCTGTAACGGCACAGAATACTTCTTGGCTGCCTTGATCCCTATTTTCATCATTGAGAGAGTAGGCCGTCGAAAGCTCATGTTGATCGGCGCAGCCGGCATGTCTGCTTCGATGGTCATCCTGGCTGTGACGAACAAGATCGGCGGCACGGCTGCTGGCATCGTCGCCGCTATAACCCTATTCGGTTTTAATACGGCGTTTGCGATTGGCTGGCTCGGGCTCACTTGGTTACTGCCTGCTGAGATTGTCCCTTTGAGAATTCGAGCTCCGACGAATGCTCTCTCGACCAGCGCGAATTGGGCGTTCAATTTCATGGTGGTCATGATCACACCGGTATCTTTCTCCTCAATTGGTTACAAGACGTACATCATCTTTGCTGTCATGTGAGTGCCAATCGTCTGTTTAAACGAAGAAAGAAGGATTGACTGACTGGAATTCTAGCAACGCATTCATCTTTCCTGTTGTTTATTACTTTTACCCCGAGACAGCCTACCGTTCGTTGGAGGAAATGGACACCATCTTTCGAAAGACCAAGAGCATTTTCTCTGTGGTACAAACTGCGAAAGATGAACCTCGACGATATGGAAAGAATGGTGAAATTCTGATTGCATATGAGGAAACTGGAGAGCATGAACGACGATTGAGCCACGTCCAACATAGGGCCAGTGTATTCAGCGCCAGGAGCCGCAGTGACGACGACTCGGAGAAGGCCTACCAAAGTGAACGGTCACTCTGAGACGTGTGGCCAGTGACCCAATGAGCCTGCTGGATCGGGAATGGCATAGAGAGATGACATAGATTTGGACTCGACAGTCCACGGACGAAAGGTGCAACGGAAGTTTGAGCGGCCAGATGCGATCACCGGAAAGGCCGACCATAGATTGGCGGTAGGAGAAAGGCTGCCGAGCTATCACGACATGAAACGTTTATGAGAAGATACCTTGTGATGGAGGGCGAATTGAGAGCAGCCGGATGGCTACTACAGGTAGTCAGCCTACGTCTTATCTCACAGAAATCAAAAATTACTGTCCCGATTAAATTGATATTTCTGGCAACAGAACCAGAACCAGAACCATTGAATGTGGTGTAGATTCACATATACCACATATAAAAGTACATAGTATCCCTTATGTCAGGAGATTGAATTCAAATTTAAGGGATTTGCAGCCTTAAGTTTGGAGCATCCCCGCAATTGACGGTTGAAGTCCGGAGCCGGGTGCATGGCTTGTCCAGTTTGTATGCTCTGTCAGCATCCCCAAGGACGACCATCATGATTACTTATATTACGCTGACCAGACGTCTGACTCTCGCCTTGTTCTTATAATCGAGCATACATAAACCCATCAATCATTTGAGATAGTCTTTCACTTGGTACACGATCCATACTGGAACCATTGTTACCTGAGCCAGTCTTGGTGATAATCACCTCCACTTCCACTCGCCTCAGTTCCGACCGCCATCTCGACTTCTCTCCTAGATAGATACCACGCAGAACTTACAAGCTTCTCCCTGGCGGTCTCTACCTTGACCCTCACATTGAGGTCGATATCTCATCAAATACGTACCTACAATCAGGTCTCGTTGGTACGGCTAACAAACCGGCAACCCCGCAACATGTCTGAGTGAGTGTTTACGACCCATCCTTGTTGTGTCTGTCAACTCAGGACGAGCACTCGTTCCTTTGTGGTTGTCTACAATCCGATCTAATTCCAGACGCAGTCTCGCCGACCTGGGGTCTAAACTCTTCAACCCAAAAATTGAGTTCCGACCACGGATCCTCGACACAGCCAAACGAGTCCGCGGCGTGCTTGACGGACAATTCATATTCGACACGACATCAGCAAAACTAGTCTGGGAAATCCCGTATTATCCCCAATACTGGATCCCCAAGACGGATTTTTTGGACGCCGCCACATTTACTGAAGACAAGCCGATTTCGGGGATCCAGTCGTCAACGAGCAAGCTTAGCGTGAAGCGGGGAGGCGGCAACAGCAACAGCACCAGCAAGTCTGTCCACACACTCCTGGTTCCAGACTCATTCAACTCCGAACTGGCAGGCTACGTCAAAATCGACTTCAAGGCCCTGGACGCATGGTACGAAGAACAGTCCCTGGTACTGTACCATCCCAAAGACCCGTTCCACCGCGTCGACATCTTGCCGTCCGGCAGACATGTGCGGGTCGAATTGGACGGAGTCGTGCTCGCAGACACGACTGATCAGGGCGGCGTCATGTCGCTGTGGGAAACGAATTTTCCGGCACGCTGGTATTTGCCCCAGACGGCTGTGAGGTGGGAGTATTTGACTCCGAGTGCCACGAAGACGGGGTGTCCGTATAAAGGGGAGGCGAGCTATTATAATGCCGTGATTGACGGGCGGGAAACAAAGGATGTTGTTTGGTGGTATCCGAATCCCACGCTGGAGAGTGGGTTGATTAGGGGGATGTTGTGCTTTTATCCTGATAAAGTTGATACGTGGGTTGATGGGAAGAGGATTGAGAAGATTGGGATGCCGAATATTAAGAAAGTTGTGGACGAGGAGGATAGGAAGAGGCAGGAGAATAACAGTAAGAGCTGTGATTGTTAGGGGGAGGGCAGGGGTAGGGGTAGGGTTTGTCTAGGGTAAGGGTTTTGTGATGGTTAGGGTAAGGGTTTATCTACAGTGAAGTGTTGGAGTGCTGGCAACGACAGGGACGAGGAGGACGCCGACCACCATCACCACCACGAGGCGGTGTTGATCTGAGTTGAACTTGAATGAGTTGCTTCCGGCAAGGCTGTGGATCAAAAGACAATTCTGTAATGCAGTTATGCTTATATAAGCCAACCATGTTCTTTCGCTGTGTCTTTATATCAACAAATACGTCATTTGACGACCATCACTGAACCGCAGTCTCAGTCCTAGCAGTACACTTTTTGAATAGTAGTTTCAAAACCACAGAGAAGTGGTTCAAGCTGAAACCAATATCTCAGTCGACAACCAGGAACCACCATCAGGTATCTGATATCATATCTACGGGTATCAATACATCCGCCATGACCGTCACCACAACCACCACCATCAACTGCCTCCGCCGAGCAGGACTGCGTTGTACCAGTACTACCAGCAGTATCCAGGGCGGGATTCGAGCCGTCTCGACACTCAGCAACAACCCACACATCGTAAGTCCGGAACATCCTCTCCCCCTATCTACCTCTTCGCACCTATTGAATCAATATATATCTAATCCAATCTGTTCATCAGTATGTCTTCAAAGACCCTTCGTCACAATCCCACCTTCTAACCCTCCTCCCAACCGTCCCCCCAACACCCTCCCTATCAATCGGCAAAACCACCTCAATCCCCCCCACTCCGTCCTCATTCACCGAAAACCCACACTTCCTACCAATCCTGCACTCCGTGATCGCCGAAAACGCCCACCTCGACCCAGCAATCCAATCTCAAGCCGCAGTCATGATCTCGTCCTCAGGAACATCACTATTCCAAACGGCCAGACGACAACGGACGGGCTCCGCGGGCGCCAGCGACCAAGGCGGCCACGGTGGTGCCGGACGAGGAGGATGGGTTCACGTCTCGGATACGCGACATGTTCCGGATTTCGGCCGCATTGCGGAACCAGAGGATATTTTTGGATCTGTGGAAGTTGATGGCGCGGGGAAATTTGTCGATGGACATGGGAGATATCAGGCTTCGGGGACGTATCGGATTGTGACGAGGGATGGGATTTTGGGACTGACGGATTTTATGAGGGAGAGGGTGGTTAAGAGGCTGAAGGGGATGGAGGAGGCGGAGAGGAATGACACCAAAACCAAAAAATGACGGCGGAAAGTGAAGAGGAAAATAAAAAATACTGGAAATCGCACTGCACCACACAGCACACAATTTGGGGCTGCTTGTGTTCCGAGATGGCTGGCTTGGTTGGAGGAGGAGGAAGAGCGTTGTACGCAGACAGGGGGGCGTGGCGTGTGTCTTGTCTTGCGATGGATCCGCCGAACAGTCCACATGCTGCTGCTGGGAAACAGGTGGGCTTGTTTGCATGGGCGAAGAGTTGCTGGTTTCCATTACCACAGGAGTTCGCTGCAAGATCACGGTGAATGATGGGTGGATCGATGAGTATTCGATGCATACAGTATGCAGAATCCGAAACGAAACGACTCCCAGTCAGCCAAACAGCGCGCCAGATGGACGGGCGAGTTGCCACCACTGCCTGTGACGGGTCCAATCCAGCCTGGATACTGAGGACGTCAGGGACCGCAAGATGGGCGTGAATGAGGCCGAGGAAACAAAACAGACTGGAGCGGCACAGCCGTGAATGTGCACTGGGAAAAGCTGTGTCCAGTGACATTTATCTTCGGACATTGTACGATAGTGTAACGTTATTTCTTGAACATATTTCGATGGCGTACTAGCTGAAACGGCAGCGATGGAAGTATTGTCCGCTGCCAGCTATAGTAGCTTTGAACAACGTCGTATGTAATGACAGCACTGTCAAGGGTTGCTTGTGATTATGTTATATGTACTATATATCTAGGTATACAAGTAGTGAGTACTCAGATCAAGGTCGAACAATACCCTCAATCAGAGCTCCTGCGGCTCCAATTCCAACAACGACCCAGGTCCATTTGTTGACCACTTGCTTGGCGTCGGGCCAGAAACTGTTCCTTTCGGTTCTGCTCTGCTGCAGATCCATGAGTTTCTCGACCGCCTGGGTCGCCTGAGTATCCTCGGCTTTGGCCACGGCCTCGCTGTATCTAGTTTCTTGTTGGGCCTCGTTCTCCCGATCGCCACCGACGTAGCGGAGGAAAATGTAGTTGGTCAAAGGACCCAGGAAGGTCAGAAGCGGGTTCAGGTGGACGGTGGAGGGGGATGAAAGAAGCAGGATCGGGAAGGATAGGTGGGTGAGGAAGTCGCCGAGGTAGCTGAAATACTGTATTAGCAAAGTCTCTTCTTGATGTCTCCGGATAGAAGACGGGGAGTATACGTACTTTGGATGTCGAACAATGCTCCAAACACCATCACCACATAGACCCTGGTCACCCTTTTTCTTCTTGTGCGCTTCAATCTGATAGTCCGACAAAGCCTCCATGGCAAATCCCGTGCAGAACAAACCGACCGCAATGGCTCTCAGCAGTGTGGAGTACTCGAGGCTGACGGCAGGCTGGTCCGTACCGCCTAGTCTGAGACCCGACCGGAACGGCAAGGTGAAGGGCAAGGTGATGAGGGATTGGAATATGGCCTCGGGCAAAAACGACGAGAACAATGCCTTGTTCCAGAACCCAGAATCTGATTTCTTTGCCAGTTCGTACCGGGGGTCATCTCGGCCGCGACGGATCCCTCGACTGGCGATGCGGTAGAACAGTCGCACACCCCATGCGGTTACGCCAGTCAGCAGTAGCTTTTCAGACCATGCCAATCGGCCAAAGGCGTCGAGGATCCCGATAGTAGTCGTGCCAGTAGGAGTTGTGACGGTGGTTCGGTCTGCGATGAAGGCCGCCCAGGTGTTGATCACCATGCCTGATGGCCATAGCCAGTCCTTGAGTTCGGCGCGGTCCGTCGCTCGTGCGATCGCGTAGGTGACCAGCGAGAGTGATGAGTGTAGTTTCAACGATGGGAGTAGAGTGTCGTATAGGACGAGGCCGAGGGTGTTCCCCGTCCCCGTCCCGGTTCCGGTATGAGGCTGTTCTACCATCTTGGCCGCTTTATGCCATGCAGTGCGGGAGTTGTGGAGAAGGTTGAGCGGGGGAATGGGCACTCAGAAAGACGATGGCAGCAAGCTAACGCGAGAGAAGTGTAGATGAGAAGAAGATGGGAGAGAACAAGTAGTAGAATGTATACAATTTGTATAAGTGTAAGGTAGGGATGATATCTACCTTCAGTATAAAAGTACCCGCGTCGGGACCAATATGGCGTCACATCAAGGTGCCTTGATTAACGTCACAGTACAACCCACTTGCTCTGAAGTCATAGTAAGGACCACCAGGCTGTTATCCTGCCCGGTATCCGTTCACAGGTGAATCCGTATTTTGATAAGCAGTGCTTCGAGTGCTTGCCCCAGGATGGCATTACACAGGAGCCTCTCCGCGACAGGTATATAACCATTGTATATCTGCCGCAAGAGAGTGAGCTGCAGTGTCTTTTGCGGTTGAAGTGCCAGTCAGAGATATTTCCGGAGATATTTCCAGAGATTGTCGGTGGAAAGTAAATCCGTTTCCGAAAGGCGGACTCAGCCTCGCGTGATGCTGCTTACATAAAAATACCTGCACACCGTTGCATGGTTAGATGTACTGTACATGGTAATAGCAGTCCAAGTTTTTCGGTATTGGAGGTAGCTAGCGTGCCTGAGATGCCTACGTATCCGGCCATATCGGGATCTCTCATCTAATCATCTTCTTCAACTAAACCAAGAGCCACTCGTCGAGACGTGCTGTTGGGATCAAAGTAAGGTCTTTCTCCAAGGCCCACAACCCGGTTACCAAACCGATCCCCCTGGCCCTTATAATCGTACGTTGCCGAATGGAACACGCTACGGTTATCCCAAATTGCTGCGGAACGACAGATGTCAGAATGATGTTCACTCGTAGAAGATCTGTGAAATCGGCTCAAGAACTGCACTCACCGATATCATTTGGATTCTTCCATTTGAACCTAACCTGCAGGTCATGGTTTTTGTGAACCAGCTCCAAAAACCAATCAAGCAGTTTCTTGCTCTCTGGCTCAGTCAAGCCGTTGATGTGTTGTACGTGACCACCAACAGGGAAGATACTCTTCCATCCAGTCACGGGGTTCGTGCGCACGACGGGATGAATTGCCCGGAGTTCTGACCCGATGTTTTCAGGAGCCCCCCTTTCTTTTTCGTAGAGCTTGAAGCCCCCTTTCTCTGCGACCTCTTTGAAGGCCGGTTGAGCGAAGGTCGCTGTCAGTGACTCGAGAAATTTTTGGTATGGTTCGCTGATGCGGTCGTAGATTTCATAACCGGATGCCCACAGGGTATCTGATTGGGGGACATGCTGAGTCAGTGTTGAATCAGGTAAGGGGAATCTCCACCGGAGGTCCAGGCAGCCGGGAGGCGGAAGGATAGAGGGTCAGGTTGGTATGGGCACACTCACCTCCACCCGTTCGTGGCAGCTGAACCAGCCGAAGAGAAGTATAATCCGCAGGCACGGGTTCAAAGGCAATATCGCTATGCCACTGCGCACTGCCTTGTTCTTTCCTGCTCTGGTGATAGGGGGTCTTTTTGTAGATCTTGTCCTGCTGTACAGAGCTGATTGTGCTGATTTCCGGATCATTGCCTCCCAGCTCGCGCTCGGAGTTGAGAATGGGATGGATGTGCAACTTGGAGGTTGATGGCTTGCCGGCAAGCTCTCCCAGTCGCTGAATGAGTTGCTTCTGGAGATGATTGGTGAGATTGTCCTGCTTGCGGAAGAAGACCACGCCTCGTTCGGATACTGTTTGTTTCCGCAAAAGCGTTGGGTGGTGAGTATCACTCTTATTCATCTGGTCACGTTTTGGTGATGCGCAGGTACGCCCGGATAGCCTTACTCTTGATAGCAAGGTCGCGGAGCAGCTCGTCCGCGTTGGGCGATTGAAGCCACTCCACCAGGTTGGCCTCAGGGAACTCTGTCCCAATCACAGGTGTCACGTCTTCGGAAGCATATTTGTCCAATGCCCCTGAGGCTTTGAGAGGCTGTCTGATAGGAAGGGCCTTGTGCTTGAGGGTATTGTCCGGGACAGGGGTCGGGACGACGACATCAACAGCTGAGGGTGCCATGGTGACAGATCAAGAGATTCTTGCAATGGACCAGAGGCCTTTTCAAGTAGATGCACAGGCCGAAGATGCTTACGCGGTGTAAAGAGTCAATGTTCTGGATCCCGGACAAATGCTGAGGGAAAGGCCATTTATCTCCCTTGAGTTGGCCCCATTCATGACTATCACGCTGATGTTTGAGAAATGTTGCCATCATTGGGATTAGACCTCTGATTTGTCCTGCTCATAGAGCTCCCATCACTTACTTCCAAGCAGTTATTTCGCCATCGAGGGGGTTGATTCATTCATCTTGCAATGAAATGCGGGATACTGCATGGTAGCCCGGGGTGTTTACAGAAGTACACCATCTCTAGCGCTGATTGCGCCACAGTATGGAATCGTGTCTCTGCGGCTGCAATGTTATTGTTAGTAAGCAACCAGACTTACTCAGTTGGCATGGGCTCGGCAGTCTGGTGCACGTCTCTCGTGCTTTCAAGAGCCGATTCGTTTCTCGTCTCATGGATTCCCTACCATAATATCGCCGGTGTTAACAGCCCTGTGCAAACAGCCGTTCGAAATCAACGATTTCGCCTGGCCCGATGCTACCTGCATTGGCACTGACGACTCGATATTGAGGTATCTCATGGCTAGGACAAGTCAAAGTAACTCCTAAGCTCGACTGCGTGCTGCATCTCGGGGAGTCCTGGCTGTAGGGTAGCCCAATTATCTTCTTTACCTCCTTGTGTCATCAGCTTGGTTGATTGTCCGTGAGTCGGAGTTCCTTCTATCCTGTAGGGCCAGCTGATGGGCGGCTGTGCTGCGTCGTGAGGACTGAACGTATTTGGAAAAGATGAGGACGCGAAGACCGCTGTCCAACAATCTTGCAGTCGAGAGTGCTGGTGGCTGTCTCAGAGCTTGATACCGTCGAGGTCGAGATTGAACGAGCAGTCTAGCTACTGGGTTGTCTTCCAGCATACCTGCTTGCTCGAAATACAGTCGCCGCCCCGGTCGCTTTCATTCTTTGTAAAGACGGCGAGGCTAGGGAGATCGGGGGCGGTCTTGTGAAAAACAGAAAGCAACCTCTCCTGTTCATGATCTCAGGCTCAAATTGATGGCAAATGAGCTTAGTCAGCGGTAATGTCGGCCCGGACATACAATGTAGTTGTAAGGCACGCACAGGTACCTCCTACCTTAGGTTTACCTCCCCTCCACCGGCTTCGGAGCATCATCGCCCTTAACAAACCCCCCGCGAAGCTCGTAAACGTGTCTCCCCCACCACATTCAGTAGGTGCCTGTCACGGTGCCAGTAACCAAACAATCGCCTTCAAGTTTAGGTCCCTCCCGCATCTGCCCCCGTCGGCACTTGACTCGGCGTGCCACCTGCTTCACCCACTGGCAGACCAAGACGCCTCTCACTGCGTTTCCTCCCCGTATTTTGATTGCGGTGCCCGGACTCGGACTCACTCTCCCCGTAGCGCTCAATCGTAGTATTACAGTACTCCGAAATCGAGGGGCAATTCCGGACCCTGAAATTGTCGGTCCTCGATACTGCTCCGTGGGATTGGGCCTTTTCCCCCAACCGTCGTGCCATCAATCGTAATTCCCATTCCCCAGGTACGTTCTAAAAGTCGTGGGGCACTTGCTTGTACGACGCTGATGCCGGAAAGGCAGCCGCAAGTGAGGTTCGAGGTTCAGGTGGCGTTGAATCTTTTGTCGATTGTTTGCTGCATTCGTTTGTTCTCACTTCTTCTCTGTCACATTGATCGTTTGGCCTCTCGCTGTATTTCGATCCCTTTTAAATTGGGTTCTTCTCACTGTGAACTGCGTACGAAACAAATTATCGAGATAGAGTACTTCAAAAATGCCTAAAGCAACGCACATCATCCGCTTCATCGCGAACGAAGACAACAGAATCCATCTAGGACAACTAGTCGACACCAGTCGCGATGTCGGGCTCGACAGCGTCGAGGGCAAAGAAATCAAAGCGTACCTGATCAATGGCTCCATCTTCGCACCGGAAGTCACTTCGCACGTGTACACGGTCAAGCAATTGCTGTCTCCTGTGTCGGTGGAAGATTGTAACTATATTCGATGCTTGGGCCTGAATTATATGGATCATGCAAAGGTAGGACAGGACAGCCCATACTGCAAGATTCGGACAGCTGGGCGATTATGACAGGAGTTCTGGATCGCTGACTCTCTATTCTGTGTATAGGAAGCCAACATGGCCCTCCCCAAAGCGCCCATTCTATTCACCAAACCACGCACCGCATTGGCCGACCCATACCCAACAGTCATCCCCGTGCCCAAAGCCGCTCAGGACGGAACCTCCGACTATGAAGCCGAACTGTGTGTCGTGATTGGCAAGACTGGTCGCGACATCCCCGAAGACAAGGCCTTTGATTATATCCTGGGGTATACATGCAGCAACGACGTTTCCGCGCGAACCATGCAGATGTTGACGACGCAATGGTCTTTTTCTAAGGGGTTGGATGGAAGTTGTCCTCTTGGTATGTTAGCCAACCCGGCCGATTGAACCGCCGGCAACAAACTGTAGAGTCAAATGCTAACCGAGCCCCAACAGGTCCCGTTTTGGTGACGAAAGATGCCATCTCGGACCCGCAGAATCTCAAAATCAAAGCGATCTATAATGGTCAAACTGTACAAGATGGTAATACCAAGTAAGTATTGACAATACCATTAGCTGTTATCACTGAGGGAGGATACTCGTCTCTCTTGATGTCGAATGCAAGCGTACTTATTGTCGATTTCTAGGGACATGATTTTCTCCATCGCCAAACAAATCAGCTACCTTTCTCAAGGCACGACTATTGAAGCCGGTACCATTTTCTTGACGGGCACGCCCGCAGGAATTGGGTATTTCCGCCAACCACGTGTGGTGCTTGAGGATGGGGGTGATATTCGGATCGAGATTGAAAAGATTGGCACGCTGGTCAACAAGGTCCGATATGAAGAGTGGTAGAAGAGAGAGGTGGATACTTGCGCATTGTCCAGCATGCAGTGGACACTGTTTCTGGACAGTTTTCTGGCTTGAGTTGATGGGCGTTGAGACAACTAGCTATGTAGTACAATGTACCCAACGACCAGAGAGCATTTCATAGCATTCAACTCAATGGCACTATATCACTCCATAGAGCAGCATAGGACATCAAACCGATTCAGCCACCTCAATTAGCTTGACATGCACAAAATAAACAACTGACACATGCATACATACGTAAACATACGAAATTGTTTGCTCATAGAAAGGGTAAATACTGCAACATGGTACAGGTAAATCCAGTCCGCGTCTGTTCAAATTGCAACAATCTGGTGAGGCCAAGTTCAACCTCTCCCCATAGGGCCCGGATCGTATTTTCTGTCAGTGGTGTCTCCGTGACTCCTCCGTGGCTGTTTTGTTCAGTTCCGATCACTCCAAAAACGACTTTGGCACCTCCGGCCCCCAAACAGCAAGACCCTCATGCCCAGCGGGCCCATACCCAACAGGCGTATCCTCATTAACCAGATCGCCATCGGCATAATGTTCGACCATGAACCCATGGACATCCCACCAATAATCAAAGATCTGACTACCCAAAATATGTCGTCCCACGCCCCAGACGGGTTCATATCCCTTTTCCTCGAGCCACTGGTGGCCCAGGGCCTGGGTATCAAAGTCATGCACCTCAAAGGAACAATGGTGGACATGTTTCTCGACTCCTGGACTACAAGTCGTCAAAAACATGGTATGGTGGTCGACGGGATCTTGACCGCGATCGATGCATGCGAACAAGGCGACTTCTTTACGTTTGGTTTGGCCGCCGTCTTTGTTGCTGTCTGGGTCTGGAATGTCGACGTAAAGGATGTCCGAGGGGATGATGTTGAAGTGCCGGGTGTACCAGTCCAGTTGGGCGGGGAAGTCTTTGACGTTGAGACCGAAGTGGCCGAGCTGGAGAAGATAGAAAACAGATTAGCATTGAGTCGAAGAATGGGTTGTGTCTCACGGTCCGCATTAGACGTTTGACAACGCTCCACGCTTCGCTTCGCTTCGCTTCGCGTTCCGCATGTACTCACCTTATGAACTTCCGCCGGACCAGGTTGAAACCTCTGGAAAAGCTTCTGTCTCGGCTTGTCACTCTCGTCATTGACAATCAATTTGCTCGGCTTCTTGCGTTCTTCTTTGACCGGTTCTTGACCCCAGATGAAATTCACGGGGAATCCCTCCGGGTCGGCAATGGTGACAATGTACCCGCCACCAGGGGCATCTTTCATCTCCTCGATGCCGTTGGTGACAACCTTGGCGCCGGGCACTTTGATAACCTTTTCGAGTTCTTCGCGCGATTCGACTTCGAATGCGCCTCCTAGAAATTCCTTTGGGCCTTGGCGGGCGTAGTAGACGTATTGGTCGGGGCCGTAGCCGCGGTACCAGCGTTCAGTGTCGGATTTTTTGGCCACGTGCATGCCAAAGTCTGTGCAACAGAGGGAAGGGGAATGTTAGCGATTGAGACCAGACTGGGCAATATACTGCTGGGGTGGGGTGTGAGTGTGCCTTGGAGAGACGTGAGATATGGATGAATAGAATGGATTGAGCGGATTGACTCTGAAGATCCCCAAGTGGGACCGAAAAGGAATGTGTTGTTTGCTCACCTCTCAAAAACGTCGTGATCTTATTCAGATCAGGATGCTGGTAACGCATATGGCTGAGCTTGACAATCTTGACCTGTTTCGAAGGGTCGATGCCGTGCTGCTTCTGCCATTCACGCTTGGACACCGAGTTGGGACCAATGGCTTCGACGTCGGGGACTGAGGCGCCACGGTTGGGTGATGGTTCTCGGGTCACTGTGCCGTTGGACGGCTATAAAGGAATGTTAGCAAATGGTTGAAGAACCAAGATATACCAGTAGTAGTATACCTTAGACGTGCTGGGGGATGTACTGTGCTGTTCATTGCTTACCTTTTCAATCTGTTGTTCATTGTGGATCTTCTCCTCGGTGAGGTTGTGCTTGAGATCGGCGAGGGAATTCATTTTGTTCTTGTAACAATGTGCGTATGATACGCCAGTTACTGTGGGTAACTTTGGTTGATTGGAGGCGATGGTATGATATGTCGGAGACACAGTTGGCGTAGATATCTCGTGTCTTTTTCCTTTTGTCGCTTGTTTGACTGTGAGAGATAATGTAGATGGGGTCGTATGAACTTGTTTCTTGTTTGTCCGGTCAAGTTCGGTGTCTTATAATATATTGGTGATGACAGGACTCTCGACGGATACGAGGCTTACAAACAGTGCGCGATGATAATTCCGTTAACAATTAGTCAGGCGGCGGGTATATGGCGGGCAGAACAAAGGTGATAGTGGTGATTATGGCAGACAATTCAGCTTCAGCTTCAGTCGAGTTGTGGCAACCAGCTAAATAGCTGTATGTTTACTCTGTTTGCGGGAGGAAAGTGATGGTCGATCGGTAGACGGACCCGTCAGTCAAACGAGCAGTTCAATCGAGTTCTGGTTCGATTACCCCACAAGCTGTCGGGGTGGGCTGGCCTTCGCTTTTTCCCGGAGACGGAGACGGAGACCAGGGTATCCATCACCAGCACCCATTCATATTGTGAAGTAGTGACAACTTGTAGTAGCTGGTTCAAAGGTGTATTGTAAGGGACTCGGATGTTAACCCACACGGTAAGCCGACATGTCTGTCCTAACAGGCAGTTAGGCTTGATGGAGAGACGAACCGATACAACAGCCCCATCCACGACTGGCTCTTGACCTACCGCTACACCACCTTTCAAAAATGCATTAAATGATATGGTCCAACTTGAGGCTCATCGCCCGGATGGTTGTTCGTGTGCGGTGAGCAGCCGTTTGCCATATTGCATGTACAATGTGGCTAGAACATGACCGAATACCCCAGTACACAGCACAAGTACCGTTCGAAAAGCAGGCAAAAAAACAGCCCCACGATGTCGCATGTGGGGTCAGCATCCTTGCATCGATCGTTGCAGTGCCAGTGGTGGGACTCATTCTTTTCCTTCCGTGCCTTCGGGAGTGGAAGTCTTTTGCAAGTAAGGGAGGGTTGATCCCGCTCGGTCGAGACTTTCGGCCTTCCGTTGTGCATCTTGCGCTCACTGCATTCTGTCTCGGCTTGAATTTGTTGTCGTGTGAGTTATGTATCATGTGATTACAACGTACTGTACAATGTAGTTTGAGAATGGTGGAAGAGATGGAGAGATTGCCCCTCGATTACGTTTGGAGGGGCACAGAGCTGCTTGAATCGGAGTGCTATCGATAAGAATAGATAAGATAAGAGGGGACGATGAGAGGTACATTTTGCTGTACAAGTTGTACATACGGTACTGTACCGTGTGGTGAATTTGTACAGTCGAGTCCACCGTGACCAAGTACTTCACCTGGCCATTATAAATAAGACGCATGTATACTGTTAGTAGTCTGTAACTGAATACCTGTATACTACCTAAGGCACCTGTCCTGTGCTCGTCACAGATGTGCGCACCTGCATTGATCCACACATTAACTATTACACCCTGTGTTCATATCCATGATCACACTAATAACTCTCATCCGGCATGGTAGTAAACGGCCCAACAGTCCCCAAACTCGGGATCCGTCCCAAAAGGAACTCAAGCTGCCGATACGCCGCGGACGGAGCATACTGCGGAACCATATGACCCGACAAATCGACCGTGACAACCGTCAACCCTCTCTCCGTATGATAATTGCCCATGATGCCCGCACCGGCCAGCGTGCCCAATTGATTATCATATTCGACATGATACGGCACATAAAAGTCGGCCCATTGCGACGGAGGGACTGAAAACCCCTGGCCGCCATTGAACGTCATATTCTGGACCGCAATCAGAGTCCCATTGTAGAGCAGAATAAAATCGAGCAATCCATGACCGATGATGACCCTGTCAGCCCGTTCAATGACACCCGGTAACACACTCAATGCCGATGGTGGAGAATTGTCAGTCCCGTTCACAAACACATTACCATTGGTACATTCGAGCCATTGAGTTGGAGGCGCGTGGATCGCTTGCTGAACGTCCGTTCGATTGAAGTAGATGTCAGCACCGTCAGGGACGTAGTCAAACGATCCGGGAAATCCCAATACATCCCATAGGACCGGACATGTCGTTTCGATCTGGTAGACGTCGAAGCACGGGTTGACCAGACTGGCGGCCGTAAACACTTCTTGCCAGGGCAGACAGGACTCGTCACTGAGATCACTGTTTGGTGGTGTCGGTAGTGGTCCTTTGGGTGGGAAAGCCAAATACTCGTTCAGAAACCCGGAATAGCCACATGCGTTCGAGACATTGTGGATATGTTCGACGAAACTGGAATTCAGGTCCAATGAAGGGGCCCAGAAATCCACAAACGCCGCTGTCGGGATCTGTTCTTGCACAACGTCGTAGCTCAGACTCGGGTCGTAAATCATGATCGAGCTGATGTTGTAGTATTCCGTGTCGTTGGCGTTGAACATGGCATCGGCAATGTAGGGGACATAGAATCCGGCGTAGGATTCGCCTGCAATGTACACCGTGTACCCTTGCATCGCGAATGTGTCGACAAAGTTCTTGAAGAAGCCCAGAAACTGTGCGGCCACGTCTGTCTCAGAGGTCGCTGTCGGAGTGCCTTGCGTGAATCCCGTTCCAACCGGTTCTAGTGCCGCAGTCAGTAGGTACGTATGTGCCTAGGGTTAATGACTGAAACTCACGTTCTACCCATACCACATTGGTTAGGTTGACCCATGTCCATGGATTCGGGACCGGCTTGTATGTACCGTACTGCCACAGAAAAGGGCCGTTCTCTATCCTCGTTGATCAGCGATGCTCAACAGAGCACAACCACATGGATGAGCAACCAACCTTGAAGCAATCCCTCCAGTGAGCTGCATCCTGGACCTCCATTGAGCCAGATGAGGATCTCATTGCTAGCCGCTGGGTTTGATGATGGGAAGAACCAGAAATAGAGCTCCGACGCGTTCGTCGCATTGGAGATGGGCATGAGCCCAGCATAGGATTCGCCAATGTCGAAGTCGACCTCGGGAATGGCGCTGCCGTTGACCGCATATTCTAACCAGAGTCAATCACAAGAAACACGACGACAAGGTAATTCCCTCTGGACAACATACTCTGGGTTGAGTTTGTCAGAAACGAATGCACTGCTCTCTTCCTGGGCTGTTCTGCCTCCACGGCAGCCGCTCGAGGTGCCACGTTTCTCTTGATCTCCGGAAGCTTCCTGCCAACATGCTGGGGGCTCCTGCGCGCTGAGCTGAGTGTGATGAGGCTCAGGGCCACAGCCACGGCCGCGATGGAGATTCTCATCCTACGGAGCAAAGCGAGTAGGTGTAGCGAAGTAGGTATTATAAGTGCCAAAGATAAACAGTACAGTTCTTCACAAGGAACCACAGACGAAGCAGTGCCTGAGCTCACTCACAACAACTTGAAGGAGAAGAGGTAGGTAGCAGCGTAGCGATTGAGAAGAAAAAAAGAGCAGCTCGCTGTAGAGCTGTAGCACAGCTTCCCCTCGTACCTACATAGCTGAGAGCATCGCACAGCTGAGCTTCAACCTTACCTACCTTGACGTACGAATCCGATGATGATGTTGATTCTCCACCACTGCATGGTGGTAGGGATGCAGCTATGCTATCCAACGACTGTGATTTGCGCAACATGCAACCGGTTAATCGTAGGTAGCTTTGGATGGGACCTGCATGCTGCTTCCGTGGGCACAGGCACGAGAGCGAAGTTGAGTTGCACCGATGCGACGTTGCAGGCCTGACCCCGGTGTAACCACCTCAGCCATGACGAGGAGAGGCAAGGATGGCCAGCCGGAATAGGCGCGGATTCTGGGGAAATGGTTCATCTTCAATGTCAGTGGTAGATAAGAACGCGCTTTATCCATTACTATCATATTGGCGATCGATAGGTAGGTGTGAACCTGAGGGACGCTGGAATGCTCATACCCTTGGTGTGGCAGCTATCGACAAGATATCCTGGGACCCATGCCATGTTAGGCAGGTAGATAGCGGGCAACCCAACTGTACCGCTAGTTCAAGATTCGAGCTTCGCAAGGCTTGTTATCATGATCTGCGTTTTGTGTCACCATACTTGTAGAGTCACGGTGCCTCTAGCGGCTCACTTGTCCTCTTTGAGTCAGATCAACTTGAACTGCACCATCGCACCGAAATGATCTCAGCAAGGAAAAACGCGATCACAGGCAAATCTGGCCGGATGTCATTGCAGAAACGCAGAACCCAGGGCAGTGCGAACCCCTCGAGGTGTTGAAGCCGGGCAGAATGAAATATCAACGGACACGATAGTATGTACCTCCCGGGTAGGTACCTAAGGCACTTGATAAACACTGCATGAGTTGCTATTTACGGGGAAGCAAGAGGTGTCAACACAAGACCTTAATGTAAATGTGCACGGCCTCGTCTACCTACCACGGCCACCCTTTTTCTCCAGAGCATTCAATCATTGTACTGTTTTCCGAGCATTTGGGATCCTATGACCAGCTGTTGGATCGTGCTTGTTGCTATATATGTCCTTTCCCTCCTACGCAGGCATCGCACAACCATCACCTCTCAAATCACTTCCACCACTAAAAACAGCCAGACCGGTCTCTTGATCGACATGTCTCCTAATAACCTGACCTCTCCCGAATCTCCCTCTCTCCCAGCCCTTAATGACCTCAACATCATGCCCCATCTGCTTGAGCACTTTAACCACAGCATCATCGATACCCTCCTCCAAGAAAACAGTGCCCATCTTTGTATCTCCCTCAGTCGGCATTCCCGCACCGATACATATCCTAGGCGCATCCAGGGCCTGTTGCGGATTCATACCAAAGACCTCCATGTTCAGCAGCACCTGGACATGACCTTGAGGCTGCATAAAGCCGCCCATGACACCAAAGACAGAATGCAGGGCTCGCTCACCCTCTTCACCATGAGTGATCATGCCCGGGATGATGGTATGGTAAGGTCTCTTTCCACCCCTGTAGATGTTGGGATGGTCGTCAGGACCCAGTTCAAAGTTTGACCCACGGTTCTGCAGCGTGAATCCACAGCCGTGTGGGATAATGCACGACCCAAACCCTTCATAGTTGGAGTTGATGAAACTCATGCCATTACCCTCCTTATCCGTCACGGCGAAGTAGACGGTATCGCTGTGATTTTGAGCCGGACTTGGTCCCGGTTGACCCCTGGCGTGGTTCTGGGCTTTATCTTTGTCGAACAGCTTGGCTCGTTCGGCGAGGTACGGTCGCGAGATCAACTCGGCCGCTTTCACCGGGCTGTGGTCCGGATCCGTCACCCACCAACTGGCGTCGGCGAATGCGATGCGCAGAGCCTCGATCACAGCATGTAGGTATGGGGCGCTGTTATGGTCTTCTTGGGCGAAGGTGGGGATCTTCCTAGTCCGCTCGAGCTCTTCCAAGATTCCCAACGCCATCAACGCCACAATCCCCTGGCCGTTAGGTGGATGCTCCCAGAGCTCGACGAAATGGCCCTCCGAGCTGCCGTTGGTCACTCTATCTTGCGCGGTATTGCTGATGTTCTGTCCGCGGAATTTCAACGAAATCGGCTCCGTCTCATGTGGTCCTCGATTCATATGGTCTTCCAAGTCAGAGAGCTCCATGTGTCCTCCGGCGGACTGCAGGACGTCCACGATCGCCTGAGCAATCCGACCCGTGTAGAATCCTTTTTTGCCTTCTGCTGCCAGGGTTCGAAACGTCTTTGCCAGGCTGGGATTTCGAAGGATCTCGCCAGCACGTGGTGCCCGCACGAATTGCGACGCTTTTGGATCTCGCTTGAGCATCTCTCGAAAATTGGGCGATGCTCGCTTCAAGTCTTCTTCGCCAGATTGCCACTAACAACGAAGATATCAGTCTCCTCATACCAATGGTATCCTGTACGATTTTCAACACTCACAAATTTCGCACTGAGTTCGCTGACAGGGAACCCTTCCTCGCCCAGTTCAATGGCCGGCGTTAGAATCTGTTCCAGGCTCAAGTTGCCACTGCCGAACTTTTCCACCGTGTCAACCCATCCAGCCGCCGCTCCGGGCACCGTGACGGCGAGAGCACTGTGGGTAGGGATCTTGCCTCGCGCAGAGCCGGACAGGCCCAGTTCGCCTCTGATCTGTTCGACCGTGGTGTTCTTGGGACTTCTTCCAGAGCCGTTGAGCGCATGCACTTTTTTCGTTTTGGCGTCAAAGTATAGACAAAACATGTCTCCTCCTATTCCGGTCGACGAGGGCTCGGTCATGTTCAATGCAGCGGCTGGGTATCACACTTATTAGAAAAGACCTCGTATAGAACTCTGCTAAAGCTCGAACATACCGACGGCCACGGCAGCATCCTGATGGGCGATGTCTCGTCAGTCCAAGTCCAGTGGGAAAGCTGCTTGCTGGGAAATATGTATACATACTGCGGCATTCCCACCCATCTTCAGGATCCTTTGTCCTGCCTCTGCGGCCAAGGGCTGTGTGCATGCCACCATTCCCTTGGTGCTGTGGACAACACTTCTTCTGCTGGGGAATTGGATGAAAGGTGGGTTGGCGATGGGGAAGACGGCTTCCGCCTTGAAGTCCTTGGCCGTTGAGCCCATCTTTGCAGAGGTATCCGATACGGAGCACAGGTGCTTAAGGATGGCGTATAGAGGGGACTCGCGGTGCGGACTCTGGGGGTATTCGTTTGCGAGTCACGTTGGCAATTCCTCCAGGCCTTGGTCTGAGAAGTATAAATCGTAGAGACTGGTAGGATAGGTTCCCAAATCTCTGCCCCAAATCACACAAGCAGTCACGCCGAGTCGTTGGGGCTTTTCGTTTTGCCGGACATCGACCTCTGTCGGGTCGAATGCCGTGCGATAATAAATCGTCCAAATGACGAACTTGGACCGACCCGAATTGAGGGGCTCGACAACAAACAAACTGGAGCCCAAGTCGACATCCACTGCACTGCCAATGCATCGCATATTCCCGTTCAGCATCATCATTACTTCAACCTTCCTCGCCTGCCTAGACGAGCCAATATGAAATCACCCTCGTCTGTCGTTCCCTTGCTCGCTGACGTTGAATGTCTACCGCACTGCATGCCGCTCGTTGTTTGTGCCACGCTTATGCTCATCAGGCAGGTCGATAGCCTTTTCTGCCCCGCAAGCGACAGGGTGCAGGGGATGAGGACTTCTCCGTCCCAGAATTCCAGATAACGAACGACACACATCCCCCGCATCGGGCGAGCTTACAATTAACAAATGTTCCTCAATGGAAAGGCAAAACGGAGGCCACAAAGAGAGGGACAGAATGTCTGGCAAGAACAATCTTATCACACAGCAACAGTTGTTCGTGGCCTTTCGTCATCTCAAATCATTATCTGGTACAGTACATTGGTGGTGGCACACATCACAGGTTATATAAAGACAAAGAAAAATCCCTTGCGCGCGCCACTATCCCAAGATCAAAATTCAATGTGCTACCCTCGTCGTGTTCATACATAGAACTTGCCGCGTATCCTCAAAAAGCCTCCTCAACACTACTACGGAAATTCGTGTCGCAACCCATCAAGAGAGCATTGTTGTACATGCCTCACGCTCCGACGCGTTCAGGACGCCAAAAGTCTCGAAGACTCGTGTGCTCTGCGATGGTGTTGACCATCCTTCCAATCAATCCCGGCTGTGGCGGGCGGTGATCGTCATAGTAGCGTTTCTGGCCCCTTGAGCTGGAATGTCTTGACATTTCTGGCCGCTCGCTGGAGTGATGGCGTCTGCGGGATCTGTGCTTGTCTTCATCCTCGTGCTGTGACCCGGCCCTGGATCCGTGTTCCCGGTGTCTTGCATGTCTGTGTTCCCGATGCTCACGGTGGTGTGATTGACTTGGTTGTCCAGGGTCGTTCAAGCGAACAAAAGCAAAGAGCCTTGTGTCACTCTCGCCCGTGCCCATTCTTTTCAAGACGGTTGGAAAGCCTGCTCCAGAAGAGCTACTCCCGCCGCCGCTCGAACCTGCGAAGCTTGGTCTTCTCGTTTTCCTTGATCCACTGCCACTAGTGGCATCAGTTTCACGAAAGCTTTCAGCTTTGGCTGCAGCTTCTCGTCGCCGCCTTTCCCGTTCAGCCTCAGCCTGAATATGGACCTGTTCAGCAAGGCGTTGTCTTTCTCTTTCTTCTCGGCGTCTCTTGCTTCGCTCCTCACGCTCCGCGGCTTCAATTTCTTCCTGTCGTCTCAGCTCCTCTTCTCTTTCGGCTTCACGCTGGGCCCGCCGGGCCTCCCTTCGCTCTTGCTCGAGACGCTCTTTTTCCTTGTATTCTGCTGACTCCCGGCGAACGTGCTCTCTTCGTTTGGCCTTACGAATTTCGCGGGCAAAGGCATTGTCGAAGAGTCCAGCCTCATCCTTTTTTCTTTCGAGTTTCGCCTTATGACCATTCAGAGGGTCTTTGTACTGGTCCCAGCTGTTAGAGCGGTGCCTGCGTTTTTGTCTGTGAGACTTTGAGGAAGAAGACTCTGTGCTGGCGGCTGTTGCTGCAACGGCAGCCGCCTCTTCCGCAGGGGGTTCCGCAGGAGCTTCCGCTTGTTGGG